CGGACGATGCGTACGGGCAAATGTGCGAGGCCATCAGTAAAACTCGGCGCGTACGATGCGTACGGTGCTGACAAATGTACGTTCAGCTATGTCCGTGCCGTACGCGCCGAATTTTAGAATTCGTTGTATGAAATCATATGAAACCTTGCACATTACACACGCACCGTACTCGCCGAATTTTACAAAATGCGGTAGGTATACGATATCGAAGGATGAATGCTGCTGACGTCATATCACGCGGCATGTGCTGATACTCAGTGTTGTCTAATGTGGCCAACTTTGTGGATTTTCCACTATAACTAACTAGTGGTTTCGACTTACATCATAATTTTTGTATTTTTATAGCTTAATTAATTCGTAATTAATTATACATAATTTGAATGATTTTTGCATCGATTATCAATATGTATACTTAGCGATAAATCGTTTAAATAATGAATTAACAAAAAAAATTGAATTTTATTCAAAAACCCATTTATACTTGATTACTTAATTTTCAATAAAAATAATTACCTCAAACATATAACAAGTCTTTTTTCTGGTTCAATTGGCCTTCTAAATGTTGGGTTTCCCGTAGAAGATATGGTTTTAGTATATGTAACAATTATTGCAATTTCTTCAATGTTAAATTAAAATATCTAAAATATCGTTCATTATCATCTAATACGTCTTTAAATAAAGTATATCCCCTTCATATTCTCCATACAATTGATATTTTTAATTACTATTATGAATCCAGAATCTTCTTTTTCTTCGAATTTTATTTTCTTCTTCTACCAATGAGCAGGTTATTACTATATTTCTTTCCAAAGTGATTTCGAGCGATCAATTTTACTGTACTGTTTCACACCAGTGGTTGAAAGAGTTGTTGGCTATCCAAAAGATCCGCGTCCGTGCAAATGTGCGAGGCCATCAGTAAAATTCGGCGCGAACAAATGTACGTTCAGCTTAATAATGCGTATTAACATTGAAGTCGGTTGTACAAAATGTTTAATTTCATTGGTTGTCTCTCTTCCTCTCTTTTTAAAAAACGTTACCCCCGCACTATGATATTCTCCTGTATCGCAAGGACAGTTTACATACATAGAACAGACCCAGAACAATTATTTGTAGGCTATACAAATACTTGTTCTGTCCGGGATTCGAAACCTGTAATTCGAGCGCTGTAAGTCATTACTAAGCCACTGTGCCACGGAGCCGTCACTTCTCTGTTTAACATTGATTGCTATTTACAAACATGCGAAACGCGACTTCATTATTAATGAAAGAATGTGTGGCGGCGCTGTCGTTACTCTCTGCGCTACAGTGTTCGGCGGAGCGTTGGCCGCTCCCCGGGCAGAACACCTTGCCCGGCGAGAGATCTCCCCTTTTCCTTCTACTCGTCACAGTGGTGACCCCGACGTGATATGAACACGCAACCAACAACCTACGGAAACTACTACAACTTCAAAAACCTTTGTCATCGTCCTCAAGTACATTCATTCGCTCCCGAGCAGATATTGTGTCTGCAGTCTTCACATTCTGCAAGTCATCTAGCTTTACAAAGGTTCATCGCAGCACTGGAATAATAATGCATCCTGTTCCTTCAAGCTACTCTCTGCGCTACAGTGTTCTACTTCTACTCTCGCAGATTACTTGCCTTCTTCTCAACTCATCGTAGACTACAAGGCAATCCCTGCCACTTGGTCTGGCTCATCGTTCTCACCGGGCATCACTTGCAAGTGCGTAGTACGGCATGCATTACACACCGGCATATCGTTCGCACTGGCGTCACTTGCTCTTACGTACACAGCATGCATTAAGGACGCACCGGCAATCCGACTGCACTATCGACCTCCGGTCTGAGCAGGGGGGTGATATGGCGGCGCTGTCGTCGCGCCACAAGCGAAAACACATCGAAGCCTAAATCGCGCTAACAAAGTTCCGAAATTAAAGCAGTATATATAGAATAGCTCCGAACTACCACTCGGAACGTTGGCCGCTCCGTGGGCAGAACACCTTGCCCGGCGGGAGATCACGCGTTTTCCTTCCACCCGCCACAAATGGCAATGACAACTACTTACAATCTCTTTCGTCTATAGACCAAGTGTTAAACTAATAACCAGTATATGCTGATCTTGCATTTGTAGGCAGTCATTAGTACTGGGAGGTCTACTTACACTTTAAAATGTTTTAAGGTCATTAAAACTGCGAAGCTGTGGTCGGGTCACTAATCAAATAATAACTCTGTAACTATGGCATCAGTAACGAAGTACCCAATTATCTAGGTCTACCTAGAAATAATAATATATTATACCTTTCGGTATCCTTAGAAACAGTAAAGAATGAAAAGTTGACATTACTATTGTTTAAGCACCCGTATGCTATGCAGTACCTTTTGGCTTTTTGAGAGGCCATACTTAAATAAAAACTGAATAATAAATATTAAAAGTGCCTAAATACTTATTAGAGAAAAATAATTATTATGTTAACGTAAACCGCTCGTCAGCTCGAGCGGGCGCGTTACAACCTCACGGAATTAGCCCCGCATACGGGGCCGCGTAGCGTAGGTATATTTTCAAGCCTAAAGCGCGGAGTGAGACAGGCCTGATAATTAGTACCTATATTGATGTTTTAACATTCCTCAACTCTTCAGAACAAAAATCTGGATTGCAAGCAAAAAAATTTGCCACCATCAAATATTTATCCTTGGTAGATTAGTACTTCCTGCTTTTACGAAACCGTCTTCCATGATGCCTTTTCAAGAAAATTCGGTATAAACTCAACAATCGTAATAACTTTAAAAATTTCGAAATTAGCTAGTTAGTACACAGCACATTAGCTAGTTCTCTTGACCAGGGACGTCACTACGGTATCTAATATGGCGGACAGCGTTTTGCAGATTTGAGGCACAGATAAAAAAATCTTTATGTTGGGGCCACACAACGAGAAATGCCGTTAATTATCACGTTGATGGACGTTGTATGTAGGTGTGGCCACAACTTAACGCTTTAATTTGACAACGGCATTAACAATGCCGTTTGGCGATAACTTGAGTGGCGGTACATCAAAGAAATTAACGCACGAAATAACGCGTTGAAGCGGCCACACCACAGAGTAAAGAGTAAGGACCAGAGGGGAAGATTCTTAACAACGTCGAAAATGTATACCTATTCTGATAGGGTTGTCACCATGTGATGGTGTTGATGGTGCCACTGTTGGTCCACTGCCTACCACCACTACCTACGCTATACTGCCACCTCCACCACAACTGACACCATCAGCAACACTATCCACCAACACCAGCACCACTTCCACCAACACCAAACCCACCAGCCCCACCAATGTCTGGCGATTGTATTCCAACCATAATGCAGTGGTATTTACCCCTGGGGTCGCGACTTGCAAAAAGTAGCTTATATCCTTCCCCAGCAACCTCTATATTAAACTGGGTGGATAAAGTCACACATTTAGCCTTATTACGTAGGATATCCTGCCATCTACAGAACTGTCAAGGTTAGACTGACTAACGTTTCAAGTAGATGAGACCGACTTCATCACTCGGCGACGTACCTACCTATCAATGTTATTACCTAGTTTTATTGTATATAATACGTAAAAAGGTACTTACTTCACTTGATCTCTCGGGTACAAAAAAAGGAAATATCCATATTTTCTCTAGAATTATTCATGCATACTGTACAACTATTAGGCATTTTGCTTATACAGAACGCTTATGATTTAATTATATCAATTTATAATAACTTAATTCTTAATTATTTTAATTAAAATACTTAAACCTAATTATTTAATAATTGCAAAAAATTTGATGCATAAAATTTCGAAATATTGTTGGTCTATTTATTTAAACGCGCACGACTAACAGCCCTTTCATGGATACTCTGACTGAGCCGGCGCAAACCGGTTTGTACTCCGACGGAGCGTCGGTGAACCTGTCGGTGAGAGCTCACGCACACATCGCTGCGCTATGCATGGGTGTATTCGCAGCGAGCCATTTGTATGTAGCTTCCCCTCTGGTCGGTTTACTCATGTGGCCACACTACATTTGTCTCATTGTGCACGGTGAGCGCAACGGGGTTGCACGTATCGCTATGATGGAGTGGAATAATGAAAAAGTTATTATGTTTCTTCAGATTCTGCAAATAGAGCCATGTTTGTGTGATAAAATATATTCATATAGGTAATAAAAATTTACACATCAAATATCGAGTAGCAACGTCAACGTATATCTTGCTTGAAATTCAAGGAACATTAACGCCGTTCAATGGAATTGAAATTGAAATGACCTTTACAGTTTAAGTGTAGCCACGCACTTTATCGCGTCAAAATTAAAGCAATAATTGTTGCGTTTATGAGCATTGACGTTTCCTGTTACTGCGGCCTCAGCATAAAATTGAAATATAAAATTTATAATGCATTTTATAAATAATAATTAATATTTCTCGTTTACTATTTACAAAATCTATCATAAATATATGTTTTTTTTTTACATTGTGTAATATACCCTATCGCGTGATAAATATCAATATATGTATTGACATGTTTGGCAGAATGTAGTAGTAGAATAAGGTAATTTTTGTATTGCTGAAAGTTTTGAAGACGAATAAACAAAACTTGGTTTTGTTGCTTTGTTTTCTATTAAATTATAAAATTTATTGAGTATCGAATTCATTAACGAAAGTTATATGACTTCGATACTCTAAAATAAATATCGAACAACGATATATCGCGATTTGAAATATCGATAATTTTCTGAGAAAATATCGATGTTTTTACCCAAGCCTTGCTATTGCTACATATTTATTTATCTGTTTTATCTATGTATCCTTTGTATGTATCAATCATGGAATGGCCTAAAAGTCTAGATACCAGGCCATAAACTCCAAAAAAAAAAAATATCAATCATGGATATTCCTTGATGGCGTTGGCGTGTTGATTTTAAAAATCATTAATTTATTTGTTAATTTCGTTTTAACAAAGGTATTAACTATTTAATAATTATGGTTTCGTTAGATGGTGACGGTGAAATGGTGATCTTCATAGGAAGATGTAAATGTTGCCTTAATGAAGGAGATTTAAAAAATATGTGGACGCCTTATACATTTGAAGAAGAAACCGAAATTTATGGAGTGATGTTGACAGAATGTTTTGCTCTATCAGTAAGTAAAATTGCTTATTTTAATTGTTTCATTTATTATGGGGTGTAGATATTGATAATATCTTATTCAATCACTTCCTAAGAACCACATTTTCTATTAGGAATCACATCATTAATCATATATTACGATATTTGAAAAAAAATCTTAAATCGCTGTTTCTATTATTGTTGAAAAACTCAAGAAATTAGAACATTTACACTTGCAATGATTGTCACACGGTATAATTTCAGCTTAATTTTTGTGGGTATCAAACTTAGAAAACCCGATGATGCTGTGAGGCGAAGCCGGTTGGTTCTAATAGTTAGTAAATTCATAATTTAACACTCATTGTCTGATTTTCAGACACAATAGTAAGACAATAGCAGTGTACTATATGTAGTACATGGAACAGCAAATGGGTTAAGTATATAGTGTGAAACAAGTACAAGTGTGTATCTAAATCACATAAGTGATCTAGATACACACTTGTACTTGTTTGATCTGAGTATTATTGTATTAACATAAAACAAAGTGTAAAAATCAAAGGTGTTTCACAACTGTAAAGTCTAAACTTTGTTATTGTGCCGGACGGGTGTAACTCTCCGGAGTAAATGTTGTCGCTCACGTCCTACACCTATAGGTTCCGGAGGATACTTTCACTGCCGTCTCTGTGTATGCTGCTGGAGAACTGTGGACTGAGGTTCAAAATTAAAATGCACGATTTATAAATTAAAATAGCAAGGGTGTGGCCAGTGGTTCGACTGATTAATTAGTCGCTAAATTTTATAACTATTTATTTATTGACCACGGCTGTTGAACACGGTTGTTCAACTACGGTTGTTCACTATTGGTTGGTCACTATATATTTTAACAGATTTAATTAAAATGTGCGTTTGTATAAAAATTTCTATTGGTATTAAAATATCTATTGGTTGTATCAAAATATCTATTGGTAGTAGCTGGTTTTCTAACACTACTGACTAGCAGCTATTAATGAACTAAAACTAGTTGATTTTATCACATGTGTAACTGCGAATATCAGTTACCACTTTTTCCGTCTAGCTAACACTTTTCACTATATGTAATGGCGAATTTTCCGTTACCACTTTTTTCGGCTAGCTAACACTTTTTCACTATATATCGCTGGCGAATTTTCAGTTACCAATTTTTTCGGCTAGCTAATACTATTTTACTATATGCAACTGCGAATTTTCAGTTACCACTTTTTTTCGGCTAGGTAACACTTTTTTACTATATGCAACTGCGAATTTTCAGTTACCACTTTTTTCGGCTAGCTAACAATTTTTTACTATATGCAACTGCGAATTTTCAGTTGCCACTTTTTTCGGCTATGTGTAGCTGCGCTTTTCAGTTACGACCTTTTTCGGCTAGCTAAACTTTTTCTAATTCACTATTACTGTTCACTATGTTCTGCTACTAGTCACTTCAGCTACTACCGGATACTACTGCTTGTTACTGGTAGTTCTTCCTACTACAACGTTACTGGGATTTGCCCCCATAAGGTAGACTTCGGTTATACTGTATAGAGAGCCGCTTACCATTTTCCGTTTTGCCTCTTTATTTTTAAACATTTTCACTATGTAATTAGCATAAATCGCAATATTTTCTATACAAGGCTAATTTTTACACTAACACGCTATACATCATTAAATAGGCATTTTGGTCCTTTATCAGTATGTGATATAGGTTATTCAATATATTTACATTTAAAAAAGTTATTAAATGAAATGTGCCAATTTTCATAACAAATGTGTACATTAAATCTTTAATATTTCTATAACTATCAAATGCGTTTAATTATACAAAATATTTTTTTTACTATCGCAATCTATATACCATATGCTAACTAATTATCATATTTACAACTCTTTTAGAACACAAAAATATTCTCATTATTTTCAATACAAACGATTGCGCAGTTAATTAAACTTCCAGAAAGTTCTACAATATGAAGCGCTGTGATTGGTCAAATTTTTCTTAAATGCTTAAAGTTGTTTATATCAACTATTATTAAAACGACATTCTATACAAATATATTAAGAGTTGTAAACACATTGTAAAACCATATTAATACACAATTTGTTCGATTTCATTGCTAATTTCACTTTTTATACAAAATAATATTCTTTCATCACTTTTTCTTAAAGTCTTTAGGCCGTCGCGAACATCTCTCCCGCCGTGCAGCGTCGTGAAGATCTCATCGTAGCGGCGCTGCATCCATTTCGGTGAGCGACGTTGCTTTCTACTTTGGCAGCGGCACGCGTTTCCTGGTTGGCTTCTTGATTAGGCCGTTTGCGGTGCATACCTCCACAGTGCGGATCTGTCCGTCCTCAATCCTTCCTCGTGGCCAGGTGTTATGAGGTATCTGGCCATCAGCTATAAGGATTCGTCCATGAGCCTCCCGCCAGTTTTGAATTTCCGGTGGCCCAATGTAGTTCGGACCGGTGAAGGTGAACGGTCTCTGGTGATGAGCGAGACGTGTACTGGGATGATCACCGGTGGCTGGCGCTAGTGGTTGCGTTTTTCTAATCCGACACTTTATGCATTGACTCACTATCTTTTTCGTGGTGGGTCGAAGTCGGATCACCCAGTAGTGCTGTCGAACCTCGTTAATGGTAGGTTCGGTTCCACAATGATGCAGGCTACGATGCGTCCAGTCTATGTACAATTGAGTGATGTAATGATCACCATCCAATATAGCTGGCCCTTTCATATCATCCGAGACTCCGTTCACGGCGGCTATGCGACATCGTAGAGCGATGATCTCGTCTTTCAACTCTATTTGAAGCGGTCGTAGGCGGCTATCATGAGCGACCTCATCTTTATGGAGATCGGCTATCTTTCGTTTGAAGGAGTCCTTTGATGACACGTGTTAGGAGCTTTTCGGCCTCTCTGATGAATTCGGCCTCGAGTGTGATGTATTTATTTGCATCTCTATTTTTTACTCGACTGGGAGGCTGCGCGAGGTGTCGCGGATTATTTTTCGATTTCCTCCAGTCGGGATCTTCCTCTTTACTCCTTTTGCTCCTTTTGTAAAAGGTCCCGTCTGTTGTTTTGCGGCAGAGTGTAATAAACTGAAGCACTCTGGCCGTAGCTCGCAATGAGCGTTCCCATTTTGAAAACTTTACTGGATCGGGAATGGCTTTTCTGAATAGCGGCACTTTATGCGATTCTGTAATGATGAAGGGTCTTTCTTCACCGGTTGTTCGGATGATGTGGGTTTTTCGGTCGGCCATGCTGACGGTTCTTTGTAAAGAAACAATGGGCCGTTGTACCACTCGTGATTTAATTCGGTGGTACGTCCCTCGTAGCGGTGTCAGATATGTTTAATTTGGTAGGTACCCAGCGCCAGTCATCCACTTTAGTATGGTCCTCTATCGCTGCTATTCTATGTGCAACGAAAGTTTTATAACTTCTGGACCCCTTTTTTATCCAGGTAAGGACAGTTTTGCTGTCAGTCCAATATGTGACAGCTTCGGGCTTTACGCTATGCTCCTGGATGACGTCAGCAGCTCCGCGACTTCCCATCACGGCGGCTTGTAACTCGAGGCGAGGTATAGATGTTACTTTGAGCGGAGCTACCTTCGCCTTGGCCATGACGAGGCTCACGTGTATTTGCCCATCGGGTGTCGTTGATCTCCAGTAGACTGTCGTTGCGTAGGCGCTCTCACTGGCATCGGTAAACACGTGTAGTTGTAGTGAACGTGCATTGCTGAATCCCGGGTAGCATCTTGGGATGCTTACTGATTTGAGTCGTTCCAGGTGTTGGATCCATGTAGACCACTGTTTAGTCAGGTCTTCGTCCAGCTCCTGGTCCCAGTCTGTTCCTCGTCTCCATGCTTCCTGCAGTATTTGTTTTGCTCGTATTGTAACTGGGAAGGCGAGGCCGAGCGGGTCATACAGCGAAATTACTATTTTGAGTGCTTCCCTCTTGGTTGGTGTTTTATGAAGCAAATCAATTGGAAGTCGAGCGAGCTTTAAGTTGAAGCTCAGCTGATCGGTACTCGGTTTCCAGATTAATCCGAGTATTTTCTCTTCGGTTCCCCTGTGGCCCAGGTCGACTGACTCAGTTGTTTCGTGGTCAGGTTCTAATTCTTTTACAATTTCTGGTGCGTTGGAAACCCATTTTCTTAATGTGAAGTGCGCGTTTTTGTGTATGTCGCGCACTTCCTTATATATTTGCATTGCCTCTTCCAGTGACTGGAATCTGTCCAGATAGTCATCCATATAGTGATTTTGGATGATAGCTTCTACGGCTTCTGGATACTCGTCTATGTGCCTTTTGGCGTTCCAGTTCTTTGCGAATATGGCTGTGCAGGGTGAACTAGCTGCACCGAATATGATCGACGTCATTCTATATTCTTGTGGAGCCTCATCGCGTCGATCTCCTCTCCAGAGATATCTTAAGGCATCTCTGTCTTCGCGTCTGACTTTGATTTGCATGAAAATTTCGGCTATGTCTGCGGAGACAGCGATATTATGGCGGCGAAAACGCATCATGACCCCTGGTAGTGATTGCAGTAGGTCTGGACCCGTGAGCAGGAAGTCGTTCAATGCCACCCCTTTTGTTTTGGCTGCGGCATCGTGTACTATTCGGCACTTCTCTGGCTTCATCGGGTTATGGACATTGAAGTGGGGTAGGTACCATGTCCTTCCCGGTGTGTTAGTTTTCGGTGCTATTTCGGCGTATCCCTTTTGTACTAGGGAATTCATGTGTTCATTATATTTTCGTTTTAGATCTTCATTTCGATCTAATTTCTTTTCGATGGAAACGAGCCTTTTTATAGCCGTTTCATAATTACCAGACATCTCGACATCTTTCTTTTTCCAGAGAAGCGCTGTTTCTATGTGCCCATCTTCCAACTGACGGGTGCTGCTATTTAATATGTCTTCAGCTTTCTTCTCCGGATCGGAGTCTGGTCTTCTCGGATTGATCATGAGAGATTCCAACGCGAAGTACTCGCGGAGTTGATCGTTTATGTTCTCCTCGCTCGTGTGCAGCTCATTGGCCGCGTGGACGCGCTGATACGGGGCTTTAGTGTGTGCCCCGTGTAGCACCCATCCTAGTTCTGTGAGCGAGGCGATTGGCTGGTGCGGCGGACCTCTGCGGACTTGAGTGGCTATCAGAAGTCTCCAATTATCTTGTCCTATTAAGATCCTTGGGTTGCCGGAGTCATATATTAGTTGCTCCTTCAGGTCTTTTAAATGTTTGCAATTTGCTATATCTGCTGCACATACAGTCTGTGGCTCCAAGTTTAGGCCGGCGACCGTGCGTGCTCTGAATGGCACCCTTTTTCTGTGGAGACTCTTCAGCGAAACTTTGACTCTTCGGGAGTTCGGCGAATCGAGGGTAGTGTTCCCGATAGCGGTGATCTTAAAAGGGTCCAACCGCCCTGTAGCTCCGATTTGTTTGGCAATTTCCTCATCCATCAATGAGACTGTTGACCCATCATCCAGCAGGGCGTGTGTGTTTACAGCTCCCGCCGGTCCAATTACTCGAACTGGAATTATTTTTAGGTAGGCGTGATGCTCTCACAGCGAATGAATTTGCTACCGTTTCCTGAGGTTCTTTTTGTGTGACTTCTGTCTTCTCCTTTTTATTATGGTGGAGAAGTCGATTATGTGTCGCGGTGCATCCTTTTATGCCACACTTAGTGATTTTGCATTTGTGTGTTTGATTTCTGTAGCGTAAACAGCGGAAATATAAATTACTTTGTTTTGCAATTTCCCATTTTTTATCGACATCTGCTTCTTTAAATTTGTTACAGTCGGATCCGTAATGACCCTCTTTTTCGCACATTCTGCATTTTGGAGACGGCTTAGTGGTAGCCGCGTGCGTTCTGTGTACTGAACGATTGATTTGTGCTCCGTTTATAATTTCAGGAGGCGCAAATGCACTGCAGAAGCGAGCTTGTTCAGTGATAAACTCGCTAAAGGAACCGAGGTCTGGTTTAGAGTCGTATTTTTCAGTGTAGATTCTATACCACTGTGCACGTATAGAGTTTGGTAATTTGTCGGTGAGGTGTCGTAGCAGCTCTGCGTTGACGAGGTAATGGTCTCGTTTTAGTGCACGAAGAGTGACGATGCTTTCCCTCACTTTGCTCGCGAATGTGCAGATGTCTCTAGGTGCTTCTGTACAGCGTGGCAATCCTCGTAATTTCTCGGTTTCGGCTTGTGCAATAGAATCTGGACGCCCAAATTGTAGCTCCAGTTCTCGAATAATCTCATCTGGCTTAGCATGCCCGTTGAGTTCTGAGCTGACTGTTTCCAAGGCTCTTCCTTGTAGACTGCTTCGTAGTCTTGCAGTATTTTCGATATCATTGAAGTAGCCTCGGGTTGTCTTGTAAATGGCACGAAACGAAAGCCATTCGGTATGTGCTCCGCTAAAGCTCGGCAGTGTCATTATAGTTTTCGACGCTGCGAATGTATGCGACGATAGTGATGCACTCTCTGGTTTTGGTTTGTCAGCGAGTGCGGCTATAGCGGATGTGAGCTCCGATATAAATGGTCGGAGCCCTCTGTCTTCATTAATGACAGGTGCCTGGTTAGGCTTCATTAGCATGGGATTCTTCGGTACATCTGCCGGATAGGGATCCTGGTAGGTGAGCTCTGATATAATTGTTAGGAGCTCCCTGTCTTCATCAACCTTAGAGTCCTGGCTAATTTTTAGTGGCATAGGATCCTTGGGTACATCTTCCGGATCGTGATCCTGGTAGGTGAGCTCTGATACAATTGGTAGGAGCCCCCTGTCTTCATCAACCTTCGAATCCTGGTTTGTGAGCTTCTTCTGCGGCTCACTGAGGTCGACAACCTCCGGAGGTGGCTTTGTGACGGTTTTGTTTAGTGGGGCCTCCCCTCCGGTGGTGGCGCCTTGAGTTGGCTTTTGCTTGGCTACGGAATTTTCGAGCCAAGATCGGACGTACTCGCTTTTGGAGTGACCATCTTCATCATAGTCGTCCGATTCATCTTCTTCCTCAGCCATTTGTAAGGAAATTTGTGCGAGTTGCAATTTGATTCTCAACACTTCTTCACGAGCCTTCAAAACTTTTCTATTGGGCCGAATAGTCTTCTTTGACTTTTTACTTCTATCGGTGTGGCCCCTCGGTGGCTCTTCGGCGCGGGAGTCTTCCCGGGCTGTTGGCGGTGATGCACAGCGAATGTCATCGTTGCCTTCTATTTGTTGCCTCTGCTTCGGTGTACCGGTTGTAGTGGCCGGCACGGGCAGGAGTACCCCCCCATCGCGGGGGCAAGATGGCGCCTCAGCGCCCTCTGTTGTCGATGGTGAGCGTGGTGGCATCTGGTGGCGGACGGCGTCGGTATTGTCCGACGGGCCTCCTTCCAGACCGACGGTCCACGCCATGGCTCCCCTTCCTTGCGAACGAGTGATCGGCATCTTGATTCTGAAATTTCTGCAACTTTAATACGGTAGTGACTATGTATCCGGTTTCTAAATACAAACGGATGGAGTATCCGGCTCGAAGGACCAGCGAATGTGCCAGACGGGTGTAACTCTCCGGAGTAAATGTTGTCGAAGATACTCCGCGAGTCGCTCACGTCCTACACCTATAGGTTCCGGAGGATACTTTCACTGCCGTCTCTGTGTATGCTGCTGGAGAACTGTGGACTGAGGTTCAAAATTAAAATGCACGATTTGATTTGCCAGCGGTTCGACTGATTAATTAGTCGCGAAATTTTATAACTATTTATTTATTGACCACGGCTGTTGAATACGGTTGTTCAACTACGGTTGTTCACTATTGGTTGGTCACTATATATTTTAACAGATTTAATTAAAATGTGCGGTAGTATTAAAATATCTATTGGTTGTATCAAAATATCTATTGGTTGTATCAAAATATCTATTGGTAGTAGCTGGTTTTCTAACACTACTGACTAGCAGCTATTAACCAACTAAAACTAGTTGATTTTATCACTTGTGTAACTGCGAATATCAGTTACCACTTTTTCCGTCTAGCTAACACTTTTCACTATATGTAACGGCGAATTTTCCGTTACCACTTTTTTCGGCTAGCTAACACTTTTTACTATATATCGCTGGCGAATTTTCAGTTACCAATTTTTTCGGCTAGCTAATACTATTTTACTATATGCAACTGCGAATTTTCAGTTACCACTTTTTTTCGGCTAGGTAACACTTTTTTACTATATGCAACTGCGAATTTTCAGTTGCCACTTTTTTCGGCTATGTGTAGCTGCGCTTTTCAACTACGACCTTTTTCGGCTAGCTAAACTTTTTCTAATTCACTATTACTGTTCACTATGTTCTGCTACTAGTCACTTCAGCTACTACCGGATACTACTGCTTGTTACTAGTAGTTCTTCCTACTACAACGTTACTGGGATTTGCCCCCATAAGGTAGACTTCGGCTATACTGTATAGAGAGCCGCTTGCCATTTTCCCTCTTTATTTTTAAACATTTTCACTATGTAATTAGCACAAATCGCAATATTTTCTATACAAGGCTAATTTTTACACTAACACGCTATATATCATTAAATAGGCATTTTGGTCCTTTATCAGTATGTGATAAAGGTTATTCAATATATTTACATTTAAAAAAGTTATTAAACAAAATGTGCCAAATTTTCATAACAAATGTGTACATTAAATCTTTAATATTTCTATAACTATCAAATGCGTTTAATTATACAAAATATTTTTTTAATATCGCAATCTATATACCATATGCTAACTAAATATCATATTTACAACTCTTTTAGAACACAAAAATATTCTCATTATTTTCAATACAAACTATTGCGCAGTTGATTAAACTTCCAGAAAGTTCTACGGTATGACGCGCTGTGATTGGTCGAATTTTTCTTAAATGCTTAAAGTTGTTTATATCAACTATTATTAAAACGACATTCTATACAATCGAACAAATTGTGTATTAATATGGTTTTACAGAGTTGTAAACACATTGTAAAACCATATTAATACACAATTTGTTCGATTTCGTTGCTAATTTCACTTTTTATACAAAATAATATTCTTTCATCACTTTTTCTTAGTCTTTAGGCCGTCGCGAACAGTTATGTCAATAAGTATATTGTTATATTAGAGATTTGAAAACAGTAATGTTATAAATAAGCAGAACTACATTTTATTAAAGGCCGATTATAGTGTGAAACTGTTTATAGAGGCTCAAAACAACAGAAAATCATCCTCTGGCAATAAAAGTCCACCTTTGTTTTCCTTTGTGCTTCATCAGTTTTAACAGATTTTTGTCATGCGATTCCAGTGGCAGCAACCAGACGACAACATGAAGTATATGGATATGATATGCACCTCTTGCATCTCTCGGTTACGTGATGCATTTGCCTTCAAAAGAGAAGTCTTAGTGAGTGAAGAAGTGCTGCGTGAAAATCAAGATGAATGTAAGGCTATACATTTGTGAAATAGATGTATGTGTTACACACTTAGTGTGAGCAAACACAGGTGCACTCTATTCCCTTGCTCTCTTGGTCCGATGGGTGGGCATTTAGTCACCTCCAATTTCTTAACCTAATATATATTACGTGATAAATGTCAATATGTCGCCATCATTAGTATGATGTAAGGATAAGGCCCAAAATTTAATATTACTGACGGTTGGAGGACGAAAAAAAACGACAACCACACATGAACGCTTTTATAGCTCCTTTTGTAGTTTCATGTTTTGTTCATTTATACAAAATTCGATACTCTAAAATAAATATCGATATATCACGTTTAAAAATGTCGATGATATATATCGATATATTTTACCCAAGCCTATGCTGACCAGACCTGGGATTTGAACCCGGGACCTCATGATTAGCAAAAATAAGTATAAAGTCCTTTAATTTTGTCATTTTTAAGCCGCGTATCGATTACGCTCTCATGGCGCGCGCGCCATGAATGACCGCGCCGACCAGTGCGTTCCTTGGAATGTGCTCCAAATGTTCCAAGTGTATCAACTAAGCGGCAGCCGTTACAGTGTTTGACTGTTCAACAATTAACGGCATCTTTGGTTATCCATAGCTCGGAACGCAACGGACACACGAATAATGAAAATAAACGTCCAAAGTGGCGCGCGCCAAAACTTAAACTACTTTGATTCGCGGTAAAAAACCGACACTAGATGGAGCGGCCCGCTCCACGTTAGAGCGCTCCAATGTACAATTTGGCGCGCGCTCGAAGACGGTATCCATTTCGCGCGGCTGGAGCGCGCGCCAGTGTTTGACCTCTAGGAGCTCGTAATCGATACGCGGCTTTACAGATATCACCTACTTACAAACGGCATATTAATAACAATTCAGTTGCAAACTCTTAATAACACACATTGATTTGAAGTGGTTGTAGAAATTGAATTATTTGTTGCATCCTGTTTTCATTTGGACATTGTATAAATTGTTCCACTTGTTACGAAGCTAGTGGATCCTAAAGAATAATCTGGTTTTCAATAACAATTTAAACACTTATAGTTCAAAGAAACCACAAAACTGATATAAGACAGTTAATAATGGTTGTTTGTAAACTGGTTCCTAGTCTTGATGGCACTAAATGTGTTGCACTGTAGAATGTGTTTGACATTGTCTATGTCTAAATTGAGTATTATTGTATTAACATACTATCTGGTACATGGAGCACTGCAGCCTCAGTAGAAATAATTGTGGATTTTTTTTAAATTTGGAAGAGTTATATTGTTTAAAGATGATGATGGTTAATCATCATCATTACAGTCCTTCACAAGTCCACTTCTGAACATGGCCTCCCCCAAGGAATACCACAAAACACAGTCCTGAGCCACCTGCATCCATCGACTTCCTGCATGTCTTACCAGGTCGTCACTCCATCTAGTGGGGGGTCGCTCTACACTTCGCCTACCGGTACGAGGCTGCCACTCGAGAACCTTTCTCCCCCATCGAGCCACCTGCATCCATAAATGACAATATTTTTGTTGAAATTGAATGATATATTTAACAAGCATTAATTTTTATAAATTAGATAGTTAATAATAAAAACTGGAGGTCACTTTTACACAATTAGCCAAGTGATTTTTTGGAATTTTGAGGATACTTTTTGTAGCATAGGGAATATGCGGGTAGAATAAGAATTAGTAAATAAAACGGTACACAAAATATACTCTCAGTAAAAGAGGTCTCGGTAAGAGAGTAAAAGAGGAGAGAGAAAAATACACTCACTGTCTCAATTATAGAGGTAATTATGACGATAAAATCGAAAGAACTAATCCCAGATATAGAGGTTTGTTTTGTCCCACTAACAGAGGTAATTCAGTGCTAAAGTGTCTGGACCTAAGCATGAGTTCCAGCTATGGAGGTTTCTCACTTATCCAGGTCCCACTTAACCAAGTTTTACTGTAATATTTCTTTTAATTTTTTATTTCAGTATTTCTTCATACCACAGTGAAAGTGGAGAAAAATTTAGAAGAGGAAGAAGAAGAAGTCAAGTTTAGTGAAGTGGAATACCTAGAGATCCCAGACAGTTTAAACAAAGAGGAATTATGTGAAGAACAGTTATCAGATGGTAGGATTTAAAGTATTTGTCTGTTAATGTGGTACTAAAAATGTGGCAATCTTAAAAAACCTCAATGTCTCGATAGATGCAGGTAAATCTCTCGGGATGTCTATACAGCATTGGAACTATAATGGCCTCAGTGATGATGATAACATTGTTGTCAGTTTTGACATACACTTTGTGCAAGCTTGCAAGATATACCCTAATGTTTGGTTTAGCAGTGTAAGGTTGAATTTTCTCCTTACAATAAAACCTCACACTTTGTTCACTTGGTGCACCAGTTTATTCATTACAGCCTATCAAGAGTCCACAACTGAATATAGGCCTCCCCCATAGATTGTCTAATAGGGTGGATATCAGGAAGATGTTGCCTAGTGCGTTAGTTGCCACTTACGACATCCTAGGGTTGATATGGGGTAGTGAATTTCATGTTTAATACTGTCATGTGTAAATTTAATTATTACTAGTTCCAAAAAGTATTTTGAAATGGTTCATTTTGTTCATAAATCAAAACTATAAAAAGTTACATTTCAAAGAATAGAAATATATTGTTTAATAAGAAAATAAACACGCTTTAAAGTAAAAAATTTAAGCAAGGGAACGTCGCAGTCTACAGTCATTAGCTTTTGTCATTTGAAAGTCGAGATAGAATGTCGGGATGTGTTTTACGTGGTAGAGCCACACTGTAACTATATAAGTGGTATAGTTGTAGCACGAATGTGTCGGCTCTACGGGAAAGACCACGCTTGACAGAATACCAGCATAAAATAGCAGCTCAACGCTACTGTGTTTCATATGGTCAGTATAAGGAACCGGTGACCCCCTTTACTGGAAATGAATCATTCCATCTTAGACCTGAGGGTATCAATCGAGGATAGATGTAGATATCTATGGGCCAGAGCTACCATACCATCGGTGGACTGTGTGCTTGTTTGTCATCTGTATTGTATGAAAAAAATGTTTATCGACCATTGCTTCATGAAAAATATCATGATGTATATACATATATCGTATGCAAAAATTAAAAGAAATAAATTTCTTGTCGTTAAACTACAAAATGTATTTAATCATAGTTTTGTTGTACAATAATAAATTGCTATGTAGAGTTGCTGGTATCATTTATTGTGTTTATCGCACCACCAGCTCATTAACATTAACCTTAATTGTAAAAAACTGCAACTACAGGTTGTTAAAGACATGATATGCGATTTTTTATGGTTTCTAGAACAATTGCAGAGTTCAGATAGCCTCCTGGTAGTAAAACGTACAAGAAAGAGGTCAAAAAGGCTCACAAAGGAAGAGAGGAACAAAACATACAAGCAGTACACTGAAGAGGAACTACAAATGGCTGTCGATGCGGTCCAGAACAATGAAATGTCACATACAGAAGCGGCTGAGTTTTTTAAAGTGCCCAGGAAAACTATCTCTGCTAAGATCTGTAATATTACTGACAAAGAAGAGGGTAAGTTTTTAAAATAGGTAATAAAATTAAGAAATTTGTGAAATCGACTTCAATATACCGGGTGTTTGTGAAAAGCTTCCGAAAACGAAGAAGACGGTAAGTTTCTCTTAAAAAATACTAGTGTGCTTAGGGGCCATTCATTAATTAGGTAAGGGTCCTGAGGTGGAGGGGGGGTTAAAAATCTACATGCACTTCTTGGGTGGAGGGAGGTAAACCCATTAAATTTAATATTAGAAAACTAGTTCCATTTCAGATGCCGAATGGTTTTTCCATATAGGACACTTCGATTTACATCTTATTTAAAAAAAAATATTTTTAAAATCTTAAATGTGTTTTGTGTGTGTGTGTTTTGCCGTGTAGTGGCGGTCAAGAATATCCACTACCCCATATCCTCCCGTGGGTGTCGTAAAAGGCGACAAAGGGAAACAGGCAGGAGATGGGCAGCAGCATCTTCTTGATAACAACAAGCTAACAATAAAAAAAAAACTGATGTCGCCAACCCGCTCGCCAAGCGTGGCAACTATGGCAAATACCCCCCCTATGAATGACAGTAACAAAGAAACGGCCCCCAGTCCCCGGCGGCCCCGCTATTCCTGGCTACGGTGGCGACCATGGTAACGGCGGGGCAGGGGGTGCTAAGAATCTCCGGTGGAGGTTCGGTTGCCACCTTAGACGACTCGACCTGGCAACGTACAACGCACGCACCCTGAGGACTGACGAGAAGATCGTGGAGCTGGAAGAAGAGATAGACAAGTTGCGCTGGCATATTATAGGATTATCCGAAGTCCGAAGAGAGGGGGAGGACACGGTAATCCTCGAATCCGGCAACTTGCTCTATCACCGGGAGGGCGACCATCTGTCCCAAGGAGGTGTCGGATTTATCGTCCACAAGTCTCTCGTTAACAACGTTGTAAAGATCGGGAGTGTGTCGACGAGGGTTGCGTACCTTATACTCAGAATCACCAAACGGTATTCGCTGAAGGTCATACAGGTTTACGCACCAACCTCGGCACACCCCGATGAGGCGGTGGAGGAAATGTATGAGGATATCCCTAGAGCCATGCATTCCTCCAAAACCCAATATACGGTGTTAATGGGAGACTTTAATGCAAAACTAGGCACAAGAGAGAATGGTGAGCTGAAAGTAGGGAAATTTGGAATAGGGCAACGGAACCCAAGGACCCAGCAGCTGGCCGACTTCATGGAGAAAGAGGGGCTCTTTATGATGAACTCTTTCTTCCAGAAGCGGCCCCACAGGAAGTGGACCTGGTCGAGCCCCGACGGTTCGACAAAAAATGAGATTGACTTCATTATGACGACCAGACGACAACTGTTCAGTGATGTCTCCGTGATCGCGAGGGTGAAAACTGGTAGCGATCACCGAATGGTTAGAGGCACACTGAACCTAAACGTTAAGTTGGAGAGGTCTCGTCTAATGAAGTCAACGCTCCGTCCCCCTCGTGCTCTGATCCAAAGTCCCTAAACCTTTCAGCTCGAGTTACAAAACCGTTTTCAGTGCCTAGAAGACTGCAATGAAGTGGACGATATGAATGACAAGCTTGTGGAAACTGTCCATGCGGTCGGAGCTAAGTTCTGCAAGACCCGCCGCAGAAGAACACAAAATCTCTCCGATCACACTCTTAATCTCATGGCTGTTAGACGGGAGATGAAGCTACATTCTTCAACAGACTTGACAGCATACAGGCATCTGAACAGACAGATCTCCAAATGCATGCGGCGGGACTTACGCAACTTCAATACAGCTCGTATTGAAGAAGCGATCGAGCGGAACCAAGGCTCCAAAGTCTTTGCCAGAGATCTGTCTGCCAGAAAGAGCCAACTGTCAAAGCTGAAGACAGAATGTGGCAGCATCGTATCCGGGACACCTGAGATTTTGAGTGAGATTGAGAGGTCCTATGGGCAGTTGTACACGTCATCGTTGGAGCCACACGCAAGTGTGAGTAACGATCCAAGAGCGAGTCTCATCCGACACTATTCCGAAGATATCCCGGACGTCAGTCTGAGCGAGATTAGAATGGCTCTCCAGCACCTTAAAAACGGTAAGGCCCCAGGCGAGGATGGAATTACAGCGGAGCTTCTGAAAGCGGGTGGAAAACCGGTACTTGAAGTCCTTCAGAAGCTCTTTTATTCCGTCCTCCATGGTGGCATTACACCGGAGGCGTGGAGCAGAAGTGCGGTGGTCTTGTTCTTCAAGAAAGGTGACAACGCTCTCTTGAAGAACTACAGACCGATTTCCCTTCTGAGCCGCGTCTACGTGCTGTTTTCGAGAGTCATTACGAATCGTCTCACGCGCAGACTTGACGACTTCCAGCCTCCCGAACAAGCCGGTTTCCGAAAGGGCTTTAGCACCATAGACCACATACATACCCTTCGGCGAATTGTACAGAAGTCCGAAGAGTACAATTTGCCACTATGTCTGGCGTATGTGGACTATGAGAAAGCCTTTGATTCCGTCGAAATTTGGGCGGTGCTGCAGTCCCTTCAGCGGTGCCAAGTTGACTGTCGGTATATCGAAGTGTTGAAGTGCTTGTACAGTAGGGCTACGATGGCTATCCGAGTACAGAACCAGAGTACGAAACCTATCCAATTGCAGAGAGGTGTAAGACAGGGTGACGTCATATCCCCGAAACTCTTCACCGCTGCATTGGAAAACGTTTTCAAGCTTCTGGACTGGAAAGGATACGGTATCAACATCAATGGCGAGTACATCACTCACCTTCGATTTGCCGACGATATAGTCCTTATGGCAGAATCGCTGGCGGACCTAAGCACTATGCTCAATGACCTCAATAGTGTTTCCCAACGGATAGGTCTTAAGATGAACATGGACAAAACTAAGATCATGTTTAATGTCCATGTCACACCTATGCCGGTAGTTGTTGGGAACACTAAGCTGGAAGTTGTTGACGAGTATGTTTACCTGGGACAAATAGTCCGACTAGGTAAGTCCAACTTCGACCGAGAGGTTAATCGACGGATTCAATTCGGTTGGGCAGCGTTCGGGAAATTACGGCTCATCTTCTCGTCAGGTATACCTCAAACCTTGAAAACGAGACTGTACACCCAGTGCGTGTTGCCAGTGATGACATACGGAACTGAGACGTGGTCCTTCACTGCTGGCCGGATGAGGAAGCTCAAGGTTGCACAGCGAGCTATGGAGAGGGCTATGCTCGGAGTTTCTTTGCGTGATAAACTTAGGAATGGGGATATCCGCAGTAGAACCAGAGTAACCGACATAGCCCAACGGATTAGTAAGCTGAAGTGGCAATGGGCCGGCCATATAGCTCGAAGAACCGACAACCGATGGGGAAGAAAGGTTTTCGAGTGGCAGCCTCGTACCGGTAGGCGAAGTGTAGGGCGTCCCCCCACGATATGGAGTGACGACCTGGTAAGACATGCAGGAAGTCGATGGATGCAGGTGGCTCAGGACCGTGCTTTGTGGCATTCTTTGGGGGAGGCCTATGTTCAGCAGTGGACTTGTGAAGGGCTGTAATGATGATGATGTTGAAATGTGTTTTATCCATTTTATATGTTAAAAATAATAATTATATAGTACATTCTTCCCAACCCCTTCTTTCCAATCCAATCTAAATAAAAATGATAGAATCTTACGTAAGAAGAGGGTTCAAGTAATCTTATGTATCCTTACAACGGGTGGGTGTTCAAAATTGGGAAACTAATGAATTATATATTGGGTAATTAATGAATGACCTCTTATTACATTACTAATATTCCCCTTAACCACTTAGTAGTGCTTAAAATTCTTGTCTTTTTCTTTACAAAATGAGGGTGATAAACAAAAGCACAGTCCCACCTGATGGCAGTTTTGTCCCATTGACATCCACACTTATCCTCAATTAAGAATCAAAATGTTAATATACTGCTATTTCAAAATGAGGTTCCTTTTTCCAGAGAAGAAACTCTGAAAGTGTATTCTCATTTTTGTCTTTTTATTAAAGCTTTTTTTTTTAAATTAGCTGTTCCCTACGATCTCGTCTACGTGTTATTTAGGGTTTTAATTTTTTTGCACGGAACCCTAAATATTTTTTCGAAATATAAGTAGCCTAAGTTACTACTTATAACATCAGCCATAGCATATATAAATCGATGTAAGTCTGTCAGTGACCGAAACAGATAAGCGCACAAAATATCTGGACCTGGCTCAAAAGGTGACCGACATGTGGGGTGGACTGCCGACCGAAATTATTCCTGTGATCGTTTCTGCGAACGGGTTAGTCCCAGTCAGCCTCTCGGGTCATCTGGGACTCCGTGACGGATTGCTCCAAGCTCAAATGCAGAAGGCGGTGCTCCTCGATACCGCCCGCATCATCGGCCGGTTTCTTTCCCTTTCCCTCTAACCCTCGGCCGTTTGGTCACTCCTGCCAAGGGCTTCCATCTGGTTGGGTTTTTATTTATTTATGTATTTTTTGTGTATTTATTTTATTTTATTGATATTTATGTATATTTATATCTTTCGTTTACAATTATATATTTAAACAGTTAAACCAAATGAGAAAATTTTATAGATAATCCAGATAACAAGATAATTGATCAAAATTGAATAGGAATAGGTCCATTAGGTAATCAAAGCATGTTGTTTATAAAACTGACAATGTGGTTCAAAGTAAAATAATTTTTTATTCAATATTGATTATATGTAATTCTTATTGAGTCATGTTTTACTTTTTCCACTGGTTCGGAAAAAAATCTCTGTCCTGAGAACCAGAAACCATACCTAGACTTTTTTATAAATTAAATTATAAAATAATAAAGGTTATACTAACTAAAAAAATATTTTAGAAACAGCTTGGAAGCGACCACCTCAATCCCAGGGGTTATCAACCATTTATACATTTATATTATTATAAACCGTCATGACTTAAATTCGGTCTAGAGGACTATCCATAAAAATAAATAAAATTGAAGTGTCTGTTTGTAATGTCCAAAAAATCAGGTTATACTAAATACTTATAAGAAAAAAAATATTTTTAAAATTTTCGATTGTCTGTCTGTTTAGTTCTGACTAACCTCTGATATGAATGGACCGATTTCGAACGCGCAAAAAACCCATGAAATTCAATCACAAAAACACAATCACAGGAACATCTAGTTATTAATGTAATTATTAAAGAAGATAATAAAGTTCTTTACGGTTTCTAGAACGATCACAGAGTCCAGAAGAAAATCGTAAAAGAAAATGGCCGAAGAAACTACCACATAAAGACAGAAACAGAACATACAAGCAGTATACTGAAAAGGCACTTAGAATGGCCATTGATGCTGTGCAGAATGAAGAGATGTCACGTAGCGAAGCGTCAGCGAAGTTTAAGGTGCCTAAGAAGACTCTAGACTCTAGACTTAGACTTCAGAATTCTATTGCCAAAGACGAGGGTAAGTCAAGTACAAATAAATTAAAAATATTTAAAGCCCTCGAAACAAGAGATGATAATAATTAAACGGCTGAACAGATTTTATTGAAACATAGCTAAATACACACAGTTAAGAGGTCGTAAGCGATTCGCGTCGAAAACTTCATGGTTTTTTCAAGGGAAATATCGTAACGATATAGGCATATTATTTGTGTAAAATTGCGACTTTAGAAAGATGAAGGCTTTGTTTAGTGCACTACATAGCAAAATTGTAATTTTTAATGAATTTTTTAGAGTTAAGCCGAGGGAAACCTTTTTTGTTACTTTTATTAGAAACAGGCTGATGCCTCTCTTTGCTTGTTTCGCTTCTTACGACACCCACGACACGATATGGGGTATTTATCTAAATTATTTTACCTACCTTACCTATAATCGATAATATCAATAATGATGAATTCCAAAAAAAATTCTAACAAAGGTTTTAATCTTTCCCAGAACCGGATGATGATGATGCATCAAAAATAATAGACCAAGAAAAACACTACAAACTCAGAGAGGAAATTAAATCTATACTCACCTACACAAACGCTATGCCATACAAATCAAGGTTGTCAAAGTACTACTGTGCATACTGCTCTACAGATGGACCAAGTTTTGATGACCCCGATGATTTGAGGACTCACACTAAAACAAAGCATGTCGATGATCGGACCAAAGGCATAGATCAGATGATGAGACCACACTGGCTTAATGAGGTGTTAAAGATTGATATACACAGTCTTCATTGTACAGTTTGCTATACAATCCTGCCGACTTGGAATGACGCGCTCCGACATCTTGAAGATGTGCACGAGGTTGCTCTAGATGAGGCCTACAACAGAGTTATACCTTATGTCCTTGCAAGGGAACCGAAATGTGCTTTATGTGGAGAAGCCTTTCCGAGTTACCACATACTGGATGGACATATGAACGCTCATTACAGCAGCTACATTTGTTACGAATGTGGTGATACTTTCTTATCAGCAAACCGACTTAATAAACATGTGAAAGTGCACAATATTGGGAGGTTCCCTTGCGAGGTTTGCGGCAAAGTGTACAATTTAAAGAGGTACATGACGAAGCACTTTACCGTGGCACATGGACAGCAGGACCAATACAAATGCTCGTATTGTCCAGAAAGATTCTCCAGACCATTCCAGAGACATCAGCATTTACTTGAAAAACACAAAGAGACGGTCAAGATAAAGACTTGTGAGATCTGCGGAAAGACATTCGACTGGATGCCCTACTACTCAGTTCACATGAGACGAAAGCATGGGAAAGAAAGGAATGCAAACAGTGCAACAAAAGATTCCTTAAGTAGTATGGGGAACTTTGTTTGTGGAGTGTGTAGTGAGAGATTTAAAACTAAAGCCGGTTTAGTGCGACACTCTCACCTGCATTATAACTTTCCAACAGCAAAAAGTCAGACGGTTAAATAAATCAGTGTTGACAGATTTGTTTAGTGCTTACAATTGGGTATTTGGCACCATTAGTAAATAATTGCATCTGTTACTGTTACGACGTAGGCCTCCTTCATAGAATTTTCGATAGGTTCCACGGTCGACTGGCGCCTTGACAATCATGGTTATTTTCTGCCGACTTCCAAAAAGGAGCCGGTACTCAATTCGACTGTATGTTTTTTTTTTCGTTTTTTTTTTTTTTTTATGTGTGTTACCTCAGAACTTTTTTCTGGGTGAACCGATTTCGATGATTCTTTTTTTATTTGAAAGCTGGTACTTCTCGTGTGGTCCCATATGAATTTGATCAAGGTCAGACCAATAGTTTTTAAGTTATTCTTAAATAACTTATATTGAAGTCGGCTGTACAAAATTTTTAATTTTAAATTATTTGATTTTATTGTTAACACACAAAAGTTGTTGGTGACACATTGAATGACCGACAAGAAAGTGACTTAATAAAAACGTGGTAAAATAGTATCTTAAACTATAAGATTTTGTATATAAACTTGCAGATTTGCATAAAACTAAATTAAAACAATACAAAGGAATTTTGTTCTTTTCTTGTCCAGTGTGAGTCATTAATCCAAGTATTGGAACTACATCAAACTAAATGGATGGTAAAGAGGACCATTTTATATGGGAGTTGGCTTAACTGAAAAATATTTATAACGGAAGTAAGTTCTTTATAGAAAAGGGATGACAAATGGGTACACAGTCCACCTGATGGTAAGTGGTTGCTGCGACATAGACATCCACATCTATCCTCAATAAAGAATCATAATGTAGATGCGTTATCACCCCTGAGGACTAAGATGGGATGCCTTGTATACAGTGAAAATAGTCTGGATCTTTACACTCACCATATGAAACAGCAGTATTGAGCTGCTATTTTACGCTGGTATTCCTTACTAGGTCGTGTCGACCCATTCGTGCTACAACCATAATATAGCTGCAGCATGGCTCTACCACATAAAAAATTTATTGCTTATAGATGTGGCACCATTTATAATTAACCAATTCGTTGCGGCACCGATTTTTGGCATGTCAAGTGCCACAGAAGTTGATGACACGCCTATTGTGCCATCAGCCATGTGTAAAAGTAATGTTCTTTTTTATGCTTTTTTCAGTTGTTTAGACCTAATTAAGTTTAGTTCAAATCAAACATAAGTTACAAACGGAAGGATACTTGTTTTTAGTGGGTAACTACGTGTTGTTTTTACGTGTTTTCTTTGAAATTGAGAGTAAGTGACTTTTTTTATGCAGAGATTACAAACCTGTACTATTTTTGTTTTATAAAAAATCATTTATATAAGTAGATACAGCTAAATCACCCTGGAAACCTTGGTTTTTATTAAATTAAATTTTCACCTAATAATAACATTGTGTATTCACAATTTTGTATTATATACAATATTAAAAACTATAATTTAAAAAAACTAAAACTAGTAATTTAATTATCATATAGTCCTACTCCCCGCAGTATCGTGCCAAGAACGCTGGCTGTGTTTCCCCGCTGAATGGCTATACTTAGCCTTTTAGCGAGAAAAGAACCAGCCCTCACCAGTAGCAACTACCAGCCGCGGATGGAGTTCCTTTAGGAACCTCACTGCACGTGGACCTCACGGGCCGATAGTCTCTACAGCAAATGGCACAACTATGTAATCATCTCTCAGAGACTCATATTTGCGCCACTTACTCAGTTCAGCTGGCTCTGATGCCGCCCCGACTCTAAACGAGGTACCCCTGAGATGAGAGGCCGCCAGTGTCTACGCAAGTAGCATCCCACACTAGGGCTTTACCTCTCTCCCAAGGGACCAATGTCATACCGTCGGGTCTCCTGCCATCGTCTCTAAATATTCCACAAGGCTCTAAAACCGAGGGAACATTTATAGAGACAAGAACCCCTCGGATGACATCGTACAAAGAACTGTGCCCTGAAAACCTACCAGCACTTTTCTTTGTATTGTATGTTATTTTTTTTTACCGATATTTTTTTCGATTTATTGAAACATAATAATAATATCAACTTAATCATTGCTTGAATAATAAATTCATGCTACGTGCGAGCGTATGGGAGTGCTCTACTGTCTATTATTAATTATTATATCTCAATTTAGACGCCAAATAAATAAAAAGGTATGTTTAAAAATTAGATACATTAAATTACAAGTCAGTGTATTTTTTTCTTCATTTTAGTTATATTTACAAAAAATATAGTTAAAAAATTATTAATACGGCTGTCAGTTGGTCTGTGCACTTGTTTATCTTTACCACAAACTAATAAGAAGTGATATATGCTTATAGCACCGTAGATGGAGGAGCTGGCACTTACCTCTATATATATACTTGTATACAGTGCGGGTCTTTATAAAGTGCACATATTCGATATGAGGGAATCTATGCTTAATTTTATCGACGGAAAAATATTAAAAAAATTAAATATTTTTTATGGAATTTTTAAAAATTTTGTTCGCTACTGTGGCCCCAGTGTAAACAGAACGGTGTAACTTTTAAACTAAATTATCTATCGCGGCGAAACAAACTCCATAATGGTTGGAAGTAATTAGGTATCCTCATAAAATAAACATTATGGAAAAAACTACCCTCAATTGAAAATAAACGTTTTTTTTAGCAGAAATCTGGATTTTTTTTCATCAATTTTTACAATAATCGTAAGATTTCTCAATAAGACGCCCCTATTACGTACTTTTTTATTACTTTTAAGTTATTCTTCATCGAATTATTTATTCAATAGTAAAAATTGCATGTTTATAACTCAATCATAACACTTTCTATAAGTGTTAAAAGATGGCACTCCCAACACGCTATTTATTGTTCTTTATTTATTTCTATTCTTAAGAATGGTTTAATTGGGATGATAATTAATACAAAAGAGTTCAATTAACCATTTATTATTTTATACAAAATTTAATGCATCAGGTGCTCAAACTCAAAATGGCGACCTCGTTGTTGTAGGTACAAAGCCGCGCGAATTAAAATTTGTTGTGTCGCTCTCCTTATCATTTCGGGATCATTGCGAATATCATTCGCACATTTAATTATGTGCTCACGCGAATCACCCCCACTGTTGATGGGGGTACTGTAGACGCGCTGCTTCATGGTCCCCCATAGGAAGTAATCAAGGGGCGTCAAATCGGGTGAACACTCGGGCCATCCTATAGGCCTTTGCCGGCCGATCCACTTATCTCGATAATTATCTTTTAAAAATGATCTAACTTTTGTAGCATAATGGGCAGGGCATCCGTCTATATCTGCCTATATCTGTATCTGCAGGAACATTCTTCGACGCAAAGCCAGTGGTAAATCCTCTGATAATGCAGGTAGTTCATTAGTCAATAGACTTAAAAATCTTTCAGCAGTCAACGTTCTCGGCAATATGACTGGTCCAATCAACATGTCATCGATAAGACCAACCCAAACATTTACAGAAAATCTTACTTGAAAAGTCGATGAACGTTTCAATTTCGGGTTTTCACCTGCACGGCACCATTTGTGTAAATTTCGACACTTAGTAATACCGTCTCTAGTGAATGTCGCTTCGTCCATCCACAGTATGGTTTTCAGAAAGTTTGGATTTGCTCTGGTTTTTCTTTGAGTCCACGTAGACATCACGCACCTTGGAGGCCAGTCTATGCATTCATGTGGATGTTGTTCCTTAAAATGCGCCACACTGATTTTTGTGATATTCCGTGACGAAGAGTCAGTCGTCTAGTACTTATGGATGGATCAGCAAACAAATCACACAGTACTGCTTGTTCAGTAGTCACGTCAATAATTACTTGAGGCGGCCAGTGATCGACAACCTTCTGTGAACTTCCTGTAGATGGCACTGGTTGCCTGTTAGGAAACGCAGCTATGTAAGCTGCGCGCGAAGCTCTGGCACTTCCTCGTCCCACTCCATAGTCGGCAATGTGTGCCGGGGAAAATTCACTGAAACGCGGCATAATGTAGCAGCGAATGAAAGGTAAGAAACTCTGGTAGCAGCGAAAGAAATTAACGAAACACATGTAGCAGAGGCGAATAATGAGGGCATCCACGACTTTTTCTGCCACCAGGGCGGCGCCACTTTACAGTGAGGTAAAATATTTGACAGATTTCATAGCGGGGACGATAATTTCTAAGGAAAATGTAATCTCTAAGGTTTCTTTCTGTGTTATTAGTTATATTTTATATCAATTACATTAGAAATGAATAAATTAAACTATAAATGTAACTAAAATCTGATTTTTTTAAAAAGAGTTATTAAGTGCAAAAAATTAAAAATTTAAATTACCGACGCATTGTGTTGTGTATTAATGTAATACTCTAGATAATAGAAACAGAAACAGAAACTTTTTTATTCAATATAGATTACAAATAATACTTATTGAAAGTCACTCTTTTGTATAATTACCACTGGTTCGAAAAAAAACCTCTGTCCTGGGAAGAACCAGCAAGAAACCCAGCGGGACTTTTTTTTAAATAACAGCTTACAATCATGTATGTTACACAAATTAACAACACAACAAATTAGAAATAGCTTGGTAGCGATCACCTCATTCCCAGGGGTTATTATCATCCATAAATTCCTTAATATTTAAAAAAAATATTATAATAACCCTTTTCATACAAACCTTTTTAAACTTCGATACACTTATTTTTGTTCCAACTATCATAAAATAGGCAAATTATAAACATGGCTATTGTTTTAGAATGATATGCTCTACTATATATAATTGGTAGTGTCTATAAATTCATTAATATTATAATAACCCTTTTTATACAAACTTAGTTTAATAAAGTTATTGAACTTTGAGCGGGTCAAATTTTGTATATTTTCTGGAATTTTGTTGTAAAAACGTATACATCGCCCCAAGAATGAATTACTGACTCGATGGAGTCGAGTAACTGGTACTACTAGCTTGTGTCTGTTCCTAGTATTTACAGAATGAATATCACTTATTTTTGTGTACGTTCATTACATTTTTATAAATGTATTGAGAGACCAAATTTAATATATTAATTTCCTTAAATTTCTGTCGCAGCGACTCTTTAGGCTTTAAATCATAAATTGCTCTTATGGCCCTCTTCTGTAAAACAAATATAATTTCAGTGTCAACTGCGTGTCCCCATAGCAAAATACCATACGACATTATGCTATGGAAATAGCTAAAGTAAACTAGTCTAGCTGTTTCAACACTAGTTAGACTTCTAATCTTTTTTACGGCATATGCTGCAAAACTAAGTCTGCTTGCTAGTTTTGATATATGGGGGCTCCATTGAAGCTTCGCGTCTAGTGTGATTCCAAGAAAAATGGTGGTATCTACAAGACTCAGTTTATTTAATTGTTTGACATTTGGAGTCATAAATTTCATACATTTCATTTTAGTGCCATTTAAATGAAAATTATTAACATTGAACCAATTTACTAATTTAGATAATGTGGCTAATACGATGAAAATTAACTTAAAGTAATAAAAAAAAGTACGTAATAGGGGGCGTCTTGTTGAGAAACTTTACGATTATTGTAAAAATTCATGAAAAAAAAAACAGATTTTTGCTAAAAACACGTGTTTATTTTCAATTGAGGGTAGTTTCTTTTCTATAATTTTTATTTTATGAGGACGCCTAATTACTTCCAATCATTATGGAGTTTGTTTCATCGCGATAGATCATTTAGTTTACAAGTTACACCGTTTTGTTTACACTGGGGTCACAGTAGCGAACAAAATTTTAAAAATTCCATAAAAAATATAAAAAAAATAAGTTTTTTTAAATTTTATTTTTTGGTTATAAAATTAAGCATAGATTCCCTCATTTCGATATGTGCACTTTAGAAAGACTCACACTGTATATAGAAGTCAGTGGGAGCTAATCTTTACGTTCCAGAAAAATATAAGCAACAAAATGACATAAATCTTTCTAAATAAATTTCCAATTATCCTCAGGGTGATCCCTATTGCTGGTTGTTATCAGACTCATTAAAAGTTCAAAAAATATTATGATATTATAAAAGATTTTGATGAAAATAATAAAAACGCTCACGAGGCGTGCACTTTTGGATTTTCTAAACAATTAAAATTGTCCGTTATTTTTAACTTATAACTTTTAACTATGGAGTGTAGAGAGAAGGAGGACCGTCTCTATATATGAAAGGTGTCTCTAAAAACGTGACTAATAAGGGTGGCGCTGCAGTAGCATAGGATAAATTAAAAAAAAGCGCCAAAATTAATTAGAATAAAATGGAGAAATAAACAAGGACCGACCAATACGCTTGGTTATGTAATACGTAAATAGTTGAGGTTTTGTATACTGGCATTTTAATAACTACTCTAGACATGATATTTTTTAAATATTTGAATTCAGCTGACTTCACTCCGTTCACAACAGCTATCTTCATATCGTAGTTTTTCAGACGCCAGCGCTATTGTGGTAAGTTTTGAAACCTCTATTTTCAGTAAATAGTAGGGTAGGATAGGACACTTTTTCAACTTTCGCCCCTTATAAGATGGTTTTCCTTGTACTCTACACTCCATACATTTAACTATTAAATAAATTCAATTTGTGGCCGTAACCAAAACAAAAATGGGTGGAAACAACATAACGAGTATTACGATGTTTATATAATCCACAAAATATTTAAAGTTGTATGTACAGGACTGTCCATGAGACTTGGCTATCAACATAGTATCGCAAAGAATTGTGCAGAAGTTTTAAAAAAATTATAATTTCTTGTTACTAAATACTGGCAAAAGCGTAATTGTAAGAGTTTATAACCAATGAAAGAAAAAAGAAACTACAATGCCAATGACATTAAATGTCATAATAAGTATAATGTCGTGGTAGCTCCATTACCAGATTGGGGTTTTTTTTCGCAATTCTGGGGAATAAAATGACTTGGGGAATAACTGGGGAAATAGAATCTTTGGGGAAACTTTGGGGGGGGGGGGGGGAATTCATAATGGGAAATTTTGGGGGCTAGAATTTTTAAAACGATTAAATATAAAAAGTGCAATGAAACGAACGTACTTTTTGTTCAGCTAACATATTAGTACTCAGTGTCTTATTCGGCTCTGTGAAGAAATTCAAATGCGATTACCGAACAATATTAAATTATTAGAAAAAAATTCAATTTTCTCGCCCCCAATCGCGACAAGCCAAGTAAGACCTAATATTGAAGAAATAGTTGTTGCTTTCAAGGATGTGGTTGGAGAAGTGGAAAACGTTGATGCGACGCTGCAAGAGTGGAGAATTCTACCTCTTCAGCAATGGAAAAAAACCAAAACAACTGACGAGGTTTGGGGAGAAGTGTTGTCATACAAAAGTGCTTGTGGCGACGCAGCTTTCTTTAACTTAACGAAACTTGCCACGGCTATTTTGAGTTTGCTGCTGTAGCACGGGCGTTTTCGATGATGAACATCGTCAAAAATAAATTGTGAAACCGAATGCTCATGAAAATTGCAGATCATATCATGAGAGTGAGAAGTGCCTTACAAGACCGCGGCGGGTGCACAAAGTTTGAGCCCAGCATTACAATGTTAACTGTAAGAATGTGAATGAAGTACTTGGGATTTTTAATGAAGATTAATTTAAAAAATCGACAACTACGTTCTTCATTCAAATTTTCTTCCTTCATCAACAAATAAAATAAAAGCTGGTGGTTTTAATTTTTTAATTTTATATTTGTTTTTTTTTATTCGTATCAAAGCTGGTGGTTTTCTGGTTCAAACGTATAATTTTGGGGAAAAATAAAAATCAATTTGGGGGAAACCATAAAATTGCATCTGGCAACCCTGCGTGGTAGTGTCTACTGTTTAATAGAGTTTTGGCGGGAAATTGACCGGCGGCGGTTTGCTGCTCCTGTATTATAGTTTAAATAATAGTTTGAAGTGGATTTTGATATGTAAAAGTGGTGCGATTTTATGTATTAACTGTCTACGCATGTGAACTATTAGTGGAAACGGTGAAACAAGTGCTCTGATGGTGATGGATTCTCAAGATAAGCTGTTTGTCTGCATAGGCGCCTTTAGATACCATCGCCAACTGTCAGCTGTCTGCTGGCTCAAGTTGCCGTCAAAATCTCCCAAGGGCTGCACAATGTGACGCATCAACATATTGTGAAGCAGTGAACTATGAAAGATAATTATACATTTGGGAAATTATAATAAACCGAATAAAAATACTCAAGACTTGGCCTAAAGGTCTAGATACCAGGCCATAAACTCCAAAAAAAAATATCTACTGTCTAATGCAAAGGTCTAATGTCTATACCACAAACTAATAAGAAGTGCTAGGTCTATACCAATCCACTAAGTAGTCTGTGGTCGGAGGGCAACTGAACGTCAATAACGGTTTTACGTATTTTTGGTGTCATATTAATTATTTTAAGTTTTCGTTTAATATTCTGATTACATTCCTAATTTATTATAGTATATATTAATAATATTTATCTGTATTTCCATATTATCACTCATTTAGCGTCAATTTCTTAGTATTAGAAAATAGTCTAACGTAGCGTTAGACTCTCACAGTCGCCATGTCTAATCCATCTATTCCGCCTAAACCACCGGATCCGAATTGCTCAGATCCTAACATTATTTCTTCTCCAGCTGCTTATGTCGAAATTCAAAATGACTTAGAAGGTTCATTTAAAAAACCATGGCAGTCATTATCGCAAGAAATTTTTGATGACAACTTCAAAATTATTTCCAATAAAAAGAAAAGGAAACATAAAACGAAAGAAAGGAAGAAAGAAGAACATGCTAATCGGGTTGACTTAAATAGAAAAATTTCAGTTTTTTCCACCAATTCTTCATTCTCAGAATCGGATTGCGATAATGGTAATATTTCTTCATCTAAAATTAAAATTATGGGATCTAACTCTAACCAAGGTAACATATCAGGACAAAATGTTTATGAATCTCCCATGTCTTTATCATCTAATATTGCGTGTACTCAATCATCTTTAATCCCCCTTTCTCAATCATCTGACATTCCTCTACCACAAACATCAAATTCTGCCTATAGTCATATCTCTTCTAAATCTCTTAACACAAGTATAAATGGGGATAATGCAAAAACAGATTCTCAAAAATTTCAATCTCTTCGCCCTTATAATTCTACAGATTCGGGTCCTTTTATCGTGCATGTTCAAGTAAAAGAAGATTCTCCTAATTCTGGTAAGACTTTAAATGCTATTTCTTTTGGTCACTTTTTGAAAAAATTAAATATTCAAAATATAGTTAATGGAGGCCTAAAACGTATCGGGAGGAATAGAATTACAATTGAATTCTCTAAATTTATTGATGCAAATCTATTTTTAGAAAATCCCTCTGTAAATGATAAATATAAAACGTTTATTCCATCCTTCCACGTATCTCGTATGGGTGTTATAAAAGGTGTACCAAAAGATTGGACACCAGAAGATATTATTTCTGAATTATCTACGTATCCAAACACTATTCCTATATTAAAAGTAAGAAGATTAAATTACCGAGTACGCAATGAAGAAAAACACAGATATGAAAGCTCTGAAAGTGTCGTAGTCACATTTGACGGTCAAATTCTTCCCTCGAGAGTTTATTTTTTTTATTCTTCCATCCCTGTTGAAATTTATAAACTTCCAACCATTCAATGTTTTCAGTGCTGCAGATTTGGACACACTAAAGATTTATGTCGTTCCAAGCCAAGATGCTCAAAATGTGGCGATGATCACTCTTCTTCTTCTTGCGATAAAGATAATGGATCTTTTCGTTGCTTATTCTGCTCAGGTAACCACAAAGCTACGGATTCTAGATGCCCTGAACACACACGTCAAAATAATATTTAAATCGAAATGGCACAAAATTCAATCTCATACCTAGAAGCATCACAAAAATATCCCCAAGTTTCATCAAAGTCATATGCTGATGTTCTGATATCAAAAAACCCTATAAACTCTTCTCTTTCTACTAATCCTTCAAAGGATCATTTTCCTTCACATGCTGCTTCATCTAGTAAAACTTCTTATAAGAAATCATTATTTACTCCTAAATCATTCCGTCACCATACACTAACAGGATACGACAAAAAAATTCATCAAAAAATTATTGAAGATTTTTCAATTCCACAACCAGAGGATGGTTGTGCTCTTCGGGTTTCACGTGATACTTCACAGGGTAGTTTTAATTCTATAGAAAGCATCATAAATTCCCTTATTAACATAATAATATCTTCGTATTCGTCAAAATTACCGTCCCACGTTGCTCGCTTACTAAATTCTATTCCTGAAATTCTTCACGACATTCACTCTCACAAAGATCCTTCAATGGAATTGTAGAAGCATTTTTGATAAACGCACTGAAATAATTTATCTATTAAAAAAATACAATGTTTGTGTCGCTGCTATTTCAGAGACATGGCTGAAACCGGATTCCAACATCAGAATCCCTGGTTTTTGTTGTGTTAGAAATGACAGATCTGATGGTTATGCCGGATGTGCTTTACTTATAAAGAATAATATCGCTTATACCATTGTAGATATTCATGATGAAATATTTGACTTCAATATAGTATCAGTAAGAATTCAAAATATTACTTTCGTTTCTATTTATGTTCCCTCCCCGTCTGTCCATACGTTTCGCAGAATAAAATCTTTAATAGCCTCGTTACCCAAACCATTTTTAATTCTTGGTGATTTTAATTGCCATCATTATTTATGGGGTGATAATTGTGATAGATTCGGCAGTTTATTAGTTGAAATATTTGACGAACTTAACATTGGCGTCCTTAATACTGGTAAAATCACCAAACGCTCTCGTCCCAATGAGTCTAGAAGTGCTGTAGATTTATCAATTTGTACCCCTGATTTAACCTCTCTTTTAAATTGGACAGTTTTAGATAGCTCTCACGGCAGTGATCATTTTCCTATTCTGATTTCCTTTCCAAACAAAGAATCGGCAAAAATTAACAAAAAACCTTGTATTAAATACAAATTAGACAGAGCAGACTGGAACTTGTATAATAGTATTCTTTACAATGAAATTCTAAAAATTGCTCCTATTTCTGAAAATAATTTAATTTCAATTGTTGAAGCATTTACAAACGCAATTATAAATGCAGCAGACCAAACAATTCCTATTAAATCTCTAAATAATAAATGTAAGCCCTCCCCTCCATGGTGGGATTCTGAATGTACTGAGGCCATTCATAATAGGAAAAAAGCCGAAAAACAATATAAATTAGACATGAGTTCAGAAAACTATTCACACCTTCAACGTATACAAGAAGTAACTAAAAATACTCTTCGCGCCAAAAAACAAACAAGTTGGCATGCCTTTTGTTCTTCAATATCTCCCTCAATTCCTTCATCAGTTGTTTGGCGTAATATAAGAAAATTTCGTTATTGTTTTTCATCTTGTTCTTACAGTGGTGCCATTCCCTCTCAATCAATAAATTCTTTTCTTGACAAACTTGCCCCCTCTTCTGCTCCTTCAAGAGAGGAGCTACCTCAAAGTATTCCATGTGAACCTTTTTTTGATCCCTTAGAACGTCCATTCTCTCTAAATGAATTAAAGCTTGTCCTTTCTCACGTCCATGATTCGGCACCTGGTCTAGACGGTATTCCGTATTCACTACTAGCCAAATGTAACGATCAAATTTTAACCTTCTATTTAAATATCATTAACGCTTTGTTTGACATAGGTTTTGTTCCTGACTCTTGGCGGACTCAAGTAATTCTTCCTGTCTTGAAACCTAACAAAAACCCTAACGATGGCTCTTCCTATCGACCGATTGCTATATCCTCAACTTTAATTAAAACCTTTGAACACATGATCAAGAATCGTCTTGAATGGTATGTAGAAAGTCATGGATTATTATCAAATACTCAATATGGATTCAGAAAAGGTAAAAGCACATATGACAGTCTTTCAATCTTCACCACAGATATTAGACTAGCATTTTCAAGAAATGAATCGGTCCTTGCTGCTTTTCTTGACATTTCTTCTGCTTACGATAATGTTAGACTTAACATCCTTAGAGAAAAGATGTTCAAGCTTAATATATCCAAAAAACTTACAAATTTGATTATCAATTTATTTCTAGATCGATATATACATATTAAATTTGATGATGATTTAAAATATACTCGCAAGGTTTTCAAAGGTCTTCCGCAAGGTTCGGTTTTAAGTCCTTTATTATACAATATTTATACGTCAGATTTAGACCAGTCCATTTCAAAGTGTAGAATTTTGCAATACGCTGATGATATCTTAGTTTATGTAAATGATAAATGTATAGAATCCTGTGCTAATGCGATAGAACAAGATCTCCTCTCTATGGCCACGTGGTTAGATGATCATGGACTTGAACTTTCCCCAAGTAAAAGTAATACAGTAATTTTTTCCCGCAAAAGAGTTTTACCAGAAATACAGGTTCGCCTTCTTAATTATCCGCTCAAAAATATTCACCAAGTTAAATTTCTTGGTGTAATTCTTGATAATAAATTATCCGGTATGCCTCATATCATTTATACCCAAAAAAAATGCGAAAAAAATATAAACATTCTAAGAGCTTTGTGCGGAGTATGGTGGGGCGCCCATCCATATTCTTTAAAATTAATTTATAATGCAATTATAAGAAGTCTATTAGATTATGCCTCATTTCTTCTTGTACCTGCTAATAAGAAAGGATTGAAAATTTTAGATATCGTTCAACACAAGTCTTTAAGATTAATTTTAGGCGCTATGAATTCATCGCCTATCAATGCCCTGCAAATTGAATGCGGTGATCCTCCGCTTTCTATTAGACGACAATATTTATCAGATGCTTTCTTTTTTCGTGTTCTTCAATTTTCCAATCATCCACTAATCCCTAAAATTCGTTTACTTTCTCATTACATATTAATTAATTTAGGAAAATACTGGCGTAATAAAGAAACACCTAATCTAGTAAAAAGCTATGAACAATATAATTCCTTCCTAGATCCAATTCATAGGTCGGTGACTCTGCCTCTTTTCTCCAATTCGTTTGATGTTGCACTTTACAAACCCAATGTTATATTAGATATAGGATTAAATAAATTTTCTATTGAATCAAATAAAAAATTTATGTTTGCGTTGGACAAGAATTTTCCAGGTTATCATTATATTTTTACAGACGCTTCTAAAATTAACTCTAAAGGTTGTACTGGCTACGCAATATACCATCAAAATTGGAGAATAGTTCAAAAAATGAAAAGTCCTCCCGAATCTTCAGTTTTTACAGGAGAAATGTTAGCCATTTTACAAGCAATAAAATATTGCTATAGTTTTAAATTAAAATCAAGCGTGATATTTTCAGATTCTCTTAGTTCTTTATAGGCATTGTTATGTAATCCTTTCTATGACATTTCCCGCAATCCTTTGATATTTGAAATTAAGAAACTTCTATTCTTATACCAATTTCAAAACATCAACATTTCTCTTGTTTGGATTCCTAGTCATATTGGTATATCTGGTAATGAATATGCTGACAAACTTGCTAAACAAGCTATTGTCTGTGGGGACACATTCCTATTTAAAAATTATTGCTATGACCTTATAAGGAATACGAAATTATTGTATAGAAATAGGTGGTCAAACCATTGGGACAAAACCAAAACGACAAAAGGCTGTCAATATGCTAAAATTCAACCCTCCATTCCTTCTAAGCCTTGGTTTTATAAATTAACCTTAAATAAGAAACATGCATGTATGTATGTTATGTAGAATGCGCTTGGGTCACTGTTGTAATTCGGTTCACCTTGCTAGGCTTCATATTAAAAATACTTCTATATGTGAGTGTGGTTTAGATATTGGTGACCTCAACCATATATTCTTCTCATGTCCTTTATATGATCACACTTCATTATTTAACACTTTGGTAAAACTGAAAATACCTTTACCTACAGAAATTCGTTCTCTTTTAATTTATTCTAAAAAAAGTAAAAATGTTTTCAATTGCCTTATGGAATATTTAGATTTAAATAATATTAAGTTATAAAATTTTATTCATTATTTAGAATTTAATAGTATTTATATAGTTTTATTTAATATTTTAAATGTGGTAATGAGTTCAGTTTTATTTTATTTTAATTCTATATAATTATAATGTTCTTCATTTATTGAATAAACTTCAGTACAAGTCATTTCATATTTCATTAGTTCTTAATCTTTTTCGGGTTTTAATCAGAATCATAGTTTTCATTTTTATTGTTCGCCGTTTCTTACAAGTATTATTTATTGACTGGAGGTTGGCAGTAATTGTAAGGTTGCCATAAAAAAAAAAATAGTCTGTGGTCTATACCCACCCCATGTAAACAATACAATATATTTATTTTAGAAAACGATAGTATTGAAAATGGAATCAAAAGACCCCAATACTAATTATGGAACATGCCGGTTTTGTTTAGCGAAAGGCCAGCATCAAGATATTTTTAAAGAATACTACTGGAACGGTGCCAAGGAAGTTTATTTGGATATAATTATGGAGTGCTTCAATATTTTTGTAAGTTAAATTTTGATATGCGAGTTCTCAAATAAACTTTAAAAAATATAAATAAGCCTTTTTAGTTTGTTAATGATTTTTATTTTATATATACATGATTATTATTTTATTGCAACATTTATAGACGTCTGGATGAGTACCGCCTTCTTTCCTTTTTTTTATATAGGAACCCGCTGTTGTTTTCGGATTTGAAGGGCATGGAGAGACAGTACAGTCATAGCCTATTCAGACCGAAGTTCTGTCCACTAGTGAAGTGTCAAGCGTGAGGACACTAAGCCAAGCCTAGTTCTGTCGTAACTATTTTGTGTCCAGACAAGAATTAGATCATTTAAGCTTTAATCTCTTTATTTAATTATTCACACAAAAACCATTGATTGCTTGCAACACATTAGCGCTTATGGGCTCAAACTTACTTAATCTGTGATATAAAATGGTACTCAGTGCCTCCTCCCATGCGTCCTGCAGAGATTTTACTCATGGGGTTTGTTCTAGTATTTAGTATATATTACTTCATGCACAAAAACATCTCTTTTATTAAATGATAACAATGAAAATGATTTTATTTTAGCTATCCAATAACACAGAGATCAGCAAACTTGTCTGCTTGCTATGTGTGAATCGTTTGAGGGATGCCAACAGCTTCCGCTTAATGGTGGTGAACTCGGAGCAGCAATTGCTCAAAACTATCACTGACAAGGAGACTGTCTTTGTTAATGGTAAATATGACAAAATATATATAGTTTATAAATAGTGCAGGTATGTGCAATACCTCCAAGTATGTGGTATTTCAACTTATAATTGCAACTAACAATTTTATTGGTGCAGGTGAGAATCGAACCACCACCTGTATTAGAACCACCACCTGTATTATTTACATACTGTGTAATTTGTGACAAGGCTTCTTCTTCTTCTTCTTTTTTTGTGGCAGTTACGATGAATTCACCAATGACATGTTACATGTGAGAAGGTTTAATTGGGACACAAACTCTGCTTAAAAAAGGAAATTGATAATACAAGAAATGGTAAGAAACGAATATTATGTGAATGATTTTGGTCAACTTAACTGCTGAATCACCTAAAACAAAAGACAGACAATGTTGTTAGAACAATACAAATGTGTTATTATATGACAAACAAATTATAGTTTAATGTTGTAAGAGTTAATAAAATCACATAAAATATATTCAAAAGAGGTATTTGTGAAGATTAGAAGGGAGTTAAAGTCTATGGGACGAGGGATGTCAGTGGGCAGATAATCGTAAAGAGATGATGACAATTTGGTGCAGTTAAAAAAAATATGATTAGTGTTTCCCTCATCTAAACCACATTCGCACAGAGAACTATCCCTAATACTGAGTTTAGCTAGGTGAACATAGGTACAGGCATGTCCAATTCTCAACCGGCAGACAATAGAGGCCACCTCTATTGTCTGTTTGTTTGTTTGCTTTATTAAATATGAAAAACCAAGGTCTTGATGGAATATTATCTTGTATAGCAGCATAGTGCTTGCCTTTTAGTATTTGTGATGCTTTCCATATCTCATTCCAGGTATTAACAAGCTTTTTCCTAGCAAGTGATAGCAAATTATGGGAATAAGTAACGTTTAGTGGGGTGCCATTTTTAGTAGCCTCTTTGGCACACAAATCTGCTTTATCATTTTCACAAATACCACTATGACTAGGTATCCAGGCTAAACAGACAGAAATCCCTTTAAGATGACACCTATACAGAATGCTTTTTATATCCAGAATTAGGGGAAATTTATATTTACTTTGAAATTGGTTAGCCAAAATAGCAGATAAACAACTCTTAGAATCGCTAAAGATCACTGTCTTGTCTAGGCTATGTGATTCAACATATAGCAGAGTTTCAGGGATTGCAATTGTCTCAGCAGTAAAAATGGAACATAATGAAGGGCACTTAAAGCTAAGGATTATTTTAAACCTGGAGATCCAGACAGCTGCACCAGTGCAGCCATCATCAGTATTTTTGGATGCATCTGTATACAAGGTCATCCAATCTTTCCAATTTTTCCCTATGGCTTCTTTTAATTTTAAATCTGCTTCAGGGGAACCTTTACTAATATCTAGGTGAAGGTGAATGTTAGGTTGATATATAATAGCTTTGAAAGGAGTATTAAAGAGTGGACTTGTATTGCATGAGAAAATGGGCCCAGGAATTTGGAGAAATGAGACTAAGCTATTAAATAAATGTGGACAATCTTTATGGAGCCAGTACCTACTTGAAGATAAGAATTCTGAGAGGAGGTGTAACCTGGGAATTAGGGGACGAGAAGAGAGTTGACAGATCTTAAAGAAGAATCTGTCTGAAAGATATTGTCTTCTTATGTTGAGAGGAGGATCTACACACTCTACCTGAAGGGCATTGACTGGGGAAGATTTCATTGCACCAATTATAATGCAGAGACATTTATACTGTATTTTGTCTAAAGTTTTAAGTGACGATTTATTGCATGGCTCTAAAAGAAAGCATCCATAATCTAAATGACTACGAATTATAGCATTATATAGTAGCTTTTGTGAAAAAGGGTGAGATCCCCACCACACTCCTGAAAGGGAACGAAGAATATTTATATTCTTCTCACACTTTTTAGAAATGTATTTAATGTGTTGTGTAAAGGATAATTTATTATCTAGTACCATACCTAAAAATTTTACCTTGTCCCAAATAGGAATAGGTAAACCATTATATAAAACTGGAATATTAGGGACATTCTTATGGCGAGTAAAAATCACTATACTGCTTTTGGAAACAGAGAGGGATAGACCATGATCAGTTAACCAGCATTGTAAATATTCCATGGTAGAATTTAACCGGGAATTAGCTGTAGTCAGGTTGTCTGTAGAAATGTATATATCTAAATCATCTGCATACTGTAGGACATTACAAAATGAATTGACTGCAAGATCTAAATCAGAAGTGTAGATAGTATAGAGAATAGGACTGAGGACTGAGCCTTGTGGAAGACCTTTCCAAATATGTCGGGGGGAGGGAGGAGTAGTGAGTTTTGAAAGTTTATTAAATAGACCGAGAAGAGAAAAGTTTGATATATAGTTTACTATCTTCACTGGTATACTCAGCTTCAGCATTTTTTGCCTGAGTACAGGAAGAAGTACATCGTCGTATGCAGATGAAATATCGAGAAAGACTCCAACAACATATTCATTTTTAGAAAAAGCAATACGGATGTCAGTTACTAGTGTACTGAGGCTATCCATAGTGCTTAAGCTTTTTCGAAAGCCAAATTGGCTCTTCGGTAAAATATCCTTACTCTCTAGATTCTACAACATCTGATAAAAAATCGGTTAGAATGGTTCTCGAGTCTAGAACCATTCTAACCGATTTTTTATCAGATGTTCTAGTATCTTTGCCATTGTACACGACAGTGCAATGGGTCTGTAACTTGAAAGGTCTTCACTGGCTTTACCCGGTTTGAGAATAGGATGTATTATTTGGGTCTTCCATTCTTTGGGAGGAATTCCAGAGTCAAAAATGTGGTTCAGAATGTCAAGAAATACAGTTTTAGTTTTTTTACTGCTTTTAATAATGAACGAGTAAAGAATCCCCTCTACTCCTGGAGAGGAGTCCTTAAGACCCTGAAGGACTGTAAATAATTCCTCGTAAGAAAAGGGGGTTGCATACAGGTCTAAATATCTTGACACGCCGGGATCACTCCCCGAAGTTGCTTGCAACATCAAAGGACTGTTGCACTTCTTCGTGGAGATTTCATAGCTTGAATAAATACATTATTCCTGCCCACACGCAAAATACGCGCTAGACGTGGAGTTGCGGAAAACAGGCCATTTATTCAATTCGACAAGGCCTCTGAACTACCAAGGCTGTATTATTATATACTCAATATTCAAAAGCTAAAGTTGCAGCCTATATATACGTCCCACTGCTGGACACATGCCTCTCGTTTTGAGAGGGTTTTAAGACAAAGAAATGTCTGCTGCGCTGCTCCAATGCTTGTTGGCGAACTTCACATGCCTTTGAAATGTTTTCCTTATTTTTCCTGGATATTCAGATTTACTTACGATTTTTTGTACACCGCCGGGCACATGGTAAATTAGCACTTAACAATTACCAATTTCATTGGTGTCGACGGGGATCGAACCCGGGTTGCCTGCGTACTGTGAATTTTACAGCGAGCAATTAACGCTTGAGCTACCACAGTTCTCTAATCAATTTATTCAATCTGTGCAATAAATTCAAATATCTCATTTCAAACATAAATACCTGTTAATATAAACATAATTTTTTTGTTACATTTAATAGTGTTATGTTGTCAAGACTTTAGGTATCATTTTGGATTCTTTCAATTAATACTGTAAGCCATTAAATGTTTGTAGCATATGCTTCACTCCAGAGGCTTAACCATCAGGTGGACTAAGATAGAATGCCTTGTTTCCAGTAAAAGGGTCTCCGGTTCTCCGCATGAAACTTTGCAGCATTAAGCTGCTATTTTACACTCTTAGTCTGTGAGAGCATGGTCCTGCCCTGATCGAGCCGACCCGTTCATGCTACAACCATAATATAGCTGCAGTGTGGCTCTATCACTTATTCGGTGGTGAGACTCCTTCCTTGCCTAGGGTTCCAGGGTAGGTATCACTGTCTTACATATGTTTTCCGGTCGTGTCGGTTTGTTGTCCTATTAAACTATAAGAGTTAGAGAATAGAGAATGATCGCGTGCCTGTGCATACAGTCAGGCACTATAATCCTGTCCTGCGTAGTCTCCATTAAGACCGACCGCCGTGATTGAAATTCGGTCTGGAGGACATTATTATTATTTCAGTCTATATGGGGGATATTTGTCATAGTAGTCACACTTAGCAGGTAGGTAACAACTGCTTTTTTTTAAAAATTGTGAGTACTTATCTTTTCCATAGCGTCAAATAGCAGTGCTTGCACTGCTCTGTTCCACTCTGAAGTGTATAGTGAGCCATTATAATTGCTAGCAGTGAAAGATTTCATCTAGTCGTCATAGGTGACAACGCATTACAGATGATCTTTTTGTTTATAGTTGATTGCAGATGACCTTGGGCTGCAGTAGCCACTTACCAACAAGTGGACTGTAACTTAGTCTGTTTAAAATAAAGTTTTTAGTGTTACCGATATTTTTGTAGTAAGTAATTAGTAATGCCAATAAATGGTAGAGCCGTGCTGCAGCTATATTACTGGTATAGTTGTAGCACAAATGGGTCGGCTCGACTGGGGAAGGATCACGCTCTCACAGAATACTTGTGTCTCATATGGTGAGTGTAGAGAACCTTTCTACTGGATTCTGGCATTCCATCTTAGTCCTCATGGGTGACAACGCATCTGCATTTTGATTCTTAATCGAGGATTGTTGTAGATGTTTATAGGCCACAGCATCCACTTACCATCAGGTGTATTGTGTGCTCGTTTTTCACCCTTATCCTATAAAAACTGCTTAAAATAATGTAAAAAAATTGTTGGGTTTGAGTTTTTTTTATAGGATAAGATGACAAACGAGGACACAGTCCACCTGATGGTAAGTGATTGGTGTGACCCATAGACATCTACATCTATCCTCAATAAAGAATCAAAATTCAGATGCGTTGTCACCCGTGAGAACTAAGATGAAATGCCTCTTCTCCAATCAAAAGGGTCTCCGGTTCTCTACCCTCACCATACGAAACACAGCAGCGTTAAGCTGCTATTTTACGCTCGAGTCGACCCATTCGTGCTACAACTATACAATTAATATAGCTGCAACATGGCTCAACCACGTGTAAAAATTTTCTAAGATATTATCAAGGTTTATATTTTTTGCTTCCAAGTACCCTCAAGTGACCATGTATTGGATACTGCTGGGGACGTCAAGGAGGAGACTCAAATTGTGGTGAAAGAGGAAGTGTTGGATGAAGAGATACCTCAAGCTATGGACTCTGATTCTGATTTCACACTGGACAACAACGAAATTTATGGTAAATTTCTTTTTACTTAATGGGCGGTTTTCCATTCACCGGTACTGCACCGGCACGAAGCCGACGCCGCGCCGGTGCCGGAGCTTCGTTTTTCCACTGCGCTGGTCCCGTTGCCGGTCTATGCTCGGTTTTTGGGCAGTACCAACACAGACTTTAGTATCACATTACGTAAACACGGTCTCGTCAAGTCGTCGTATTTAACTGTTATATCTCTTACATTTAAAATGAAAATATGATCAACGCAGAGAAGTAAAATTTTGTATTCATCCAATCTTAAAAATAAGATACTTAAAAGGAACACATTATACCCTATTTTAAAAGTTGAAAATGTACTCCAAAAAATACTATATGTGCGGTCACGCAGACGCACACGGCTACAATACGTTTTTACACATGCAGTTTTGTCGGCCGGCACCGAGTGGGAAGCTTGCTGTCCCGGTACCGCTGGGAATGGCAAACCGCCCAATCATTATTTAACAATGTTGCCATTGTACTTTCTATTGTCTTAAATTGCTGTATTTTGTATTGAAGTAATATTTACCATGTATTAGATTAAATATAGCGAATAAAATCTGCACAGAATACCTTTTTATGGTACAGGCTAAGTAAGTTTGAGCACATGAGCTCTAACACGTGTTGTACAACTAAGTCTTCGCGTCTCATCTAGTCATCATCATCATTACAGCCCTTTACAAGTCCACTGCTGAACATAGGCCTCCCCCAAGGAAATCCACATAGCACGGTCCTGACTCACTTGCATCCATGGACTTCCTGCATGTGTTACCAGGTCATCACTCCATCTAGTGTGGGACCGCCCTACACTTCGCCTTCGTACGAGGCTGCCATTCGAGAACATTTATTCCGCATCGGTTCTCGGTTCTTCGAGCTATATGGCCGGCCCATTGCCACTTCAGCTTACTAATCCGTTGGGCTATGTCGGTCACTCTGATTCTACTGCGGATATCCTCATTTCTAAGTTTATCACGCAGAGAAACTCCAAGCATAGCCCTCTCCATAGCTCGCTGAGCAACCAAGAGCTTCCTCATCCGGCCAGCAGTGAAGGACCACGTCTCAGTTTTATAGGCCATCACTGGCAACACGCACTGGTTGTACAGTCTCGTTTTCTAGTTTTGAGGTATACCTGACGAGAAGATGTGCCGTAATTTCCCGAACGCTGCCCAACCGAGTTGAATCCGTCGATTGACCTCTCGGTCGAAGTTGGACTTACTTAGTCGGACTATTTGTCCCAGGTAAACATACTCGTCAACAACTTCGAGTTTAGTGCTCCCAACAACTACCGGCATAGGTGTGACATGGTCATGATCTTTGTTTTGTCCATGTTCATTTTAAGAGTTATCCTTTGGGAGATACTATTGAGGTCATTGAGCATAGAGCTTAGGTGCTCCTGCGATTCTGCCATAAGGATTATATCGTCGGAAAATCGAAGGTGAGTGATGTACTCGCCATTGATGTTAATGCCGTATCTTTTCCAGCCCATTAGCTTGAAAACGTCTTCCAATGCAGCGGTGAAGAGTTTCGGGGGTATAACGTCGCCCTGCCTTACACCTCTCTGCAGTTGGATAAGTTTCGTACTCTGGTTCTGTACTCGGATAGCCATCGTAGCCCTACTGTACAAACACTTCAGCACTTCGATATACCGATAGTCAACTTGGCACCGCTGAAGGGACTGTAGCACCGCCCGAATTTCGACGGTCCTCATAGACTCATAGTCCACATACGCAAGGCAAAGTGGCAGATTGTACTCTTCTGTCTTCTTTACAATTTGCCGAAGGGTGTGTATGTGGTTTATGGCACTAAAGGCTTTTCGGAAACCGGCTTGTTCGGGAGGCTGGAAGTCATCGAGTCTGTGTGCGAGACGATTCATAATGACTCTCGAAAATGCTGTAGAGCCATTCTAATCTCGCTTAGACTGACGTCCGAAATATCTTCGGAATAGTGTCGGATAAGGCTCGCTCTTGGATCGTTACTTACACTTGTGTGTGGCTCCAAAGATGACGTGTACAGCTGCCCATAGAACCTCTCAATCTCACTCAAAATCTTAGGAGTCCCGGAAACGATACTGCCACACTCGATCTTCAGCTTTGACAGTTGGCTCTTTCTGGCAGACAGATCTCTGGCAAAGATGATTTAGAGCCTTGGTTCCGCTCGATCGCTTCTTCAATACAAGCTGTATTGAAGTTACGTAAGTCCCGCCGCATGCATGTGGAGATCTGTCTGTTCAGTTGCTTGTATGCTGTCAAATCTGTTAAAGGCTTCAGCTTCATTTCCCGTCTAACAGTCATGAGATTAAGAGTGTGATCGGAGAATTTTTGTGTTCTTCTGTGGCGGGTCTTGCAGAACTTAGCTCCGACGCATGGACAGTTTCCACGAGCTTATCATTTATATCGTCCACTTCATTGCAGTCTTCCAGGCACTGAAAACGGTGTTGTAACTCGAGCTGAAAGGTTTCGGGACTTTGGACTAGAGCATGAGGGGGACGGAGCGTTGACTTCATTAAACGAGACCTCTCCAACTTAACGTTTAGGTTCAGTGTGCCTCTAACCATTCTTTGATCGCTACTAGTTGTGGTCTGGTCGTCACAATGAAGTCAATCTCAATTTTTGTCGAAACGTCGGGGCGTTCTGAAAGAAAGAGTTCATCATAAAGAGTCCCTGTTTTTTCTCCTTGAAGTCGGCCAGCTGCTAGCCCCTTGGGTTCCGTTCCCCTATTCAAAATTTACCTACTTTCAGCTTACCGTTCTCTCTTGTGCCTAGTTTTGCATTGAATTCTCCCATCAACACCGTATAGTGGGTTTTGGAGGAATACATGGCTCTAGAAATATCCTCATACATTTCTTCCACCTCCTCATCGGGGTGTGCCGAGGTTGGTGCGTAAACTTGTATGACCTTCAGCGAATACCGTTTGGTGATTCTGAGTATAAGGTACGCAACCCTCGTCGACACGCTCACAATCTTTACAACGTTGTTAACGAGAGACATGTGGACGATAAATCAAAGAAATTAAGTTCAAATATTTAAATAATGATATACCGTTATTGCAGTTTTTGAAAATACGAGTAAATGAGGCTTCTACTTTTATATGAAATTATCCCGAATTGAATGTGATTTATGGGCAACAACGTTTTTGTCTACCGATCGACCCTTACGAATGTGTGCGTGCGCAGTAAAATCAGTTAAAATAATGCATTACCACGCATTTTGAATTTAAAAGATAAAAAGGACAGAATATTTGAGATTTTTTTTAAATTAATTTTTATTCACCATTAGCCTATATCATTTATTCTCAACGTTCTCTGCAAATTAGCCCGGTTATTGCAAAATAACACCGTATACCTGTATATGTTTTTGTAACTTCAAATTTAACAAAAAATGATAATGTTAACTCTTTAGATACCACAACGAAAGATAACCATCCCATATCCGATGAAGAAATGGTGGATGGTGAAGCGGCATTGCTCGCGCGGTTTCCAATGAACACATTAAAGTTGCCGACAAGGGAGTCCCTCCAACACACATGTCCAAACTTCTTCCGTCATCTTGAACTACTTAAAGGTATTTAGAAATTGTTACTAGTGTGATTAACGTCCTTCAGACCGAATTTTGGTCACAGCGGACAGTCTAGACACTAGCCATCGGCGCAGGACAGGATTATAGTGCTCGAGTATATGCGCAAGCATAGGTGCACTCTCTATTCCCACAGTCTAGACATATTGATGATTGAAATTACATTTTTTGACAGTTCCGGATCAAGCGACTTACAGGACCTGCCACCAAAGAGTATAGTTATGTCTGACGATCGACATTATCGAACAGCGGGGCTATTCACAATCGTCTCGGAAAGCGAAATCGACTCGGATTCGATAACTTCTCGCACCGAAACCAATAAACGCTTTTAACATTTAACGTTCAGATAAAGGTCACTTAGATACATCCTATAACTATTGTATCGTCATTTAGTTACATGCATTTACGAATTTTGTAGATAAATAGGCTTTTGTAATTTTTTAGAGTAACGCCTGCACAAAAACATAATGCAATATTTTGGAGTTAGCCATTGATATCGAATATAAAAAATATATAATTTAACTATATAATAAATAACAAAAAAACTGAGATATGTCTCGTTTCTGTCGGGTCTGGGTTTTTTTCTATGGGGCGTTCTTTGACGTTTGTTTTCGATAATTGTGACAGTTTGCATCGGAAACTTTACGAGAGCTCTGAGGCTGGCGAAAACTTTTCGAATATTGATGATTAGAAGAGATAAATAAACCCTTTTAATTATAAGGTAGGTAACAAAAATTAATTACAATTATCTGTAAGACGTATTTTCATATAATTACTTCAATATTTGCACTTAATCGTAAAGCTGAATTTTTGTGAAAGGTGTGTTTTTATAAGTTTTCTATCACAAATATATATATATATATATATATATATATATATATATATATATATATATATATGCTGCTTTGTGAAACGAGACATATCTCAGTTTTTTTGTTATTTATTATATAGTTAAATTATATATTTTTTATATTCGATATCAATGGCTAACACCAAAATATTGCATTATGTTTTTGTTTAGGCGTTACTCTAAAAAAATACAAAAGCCTATTTATCTACAAAATTCGTAAATGCATGTAACTAAATGACGATACAATAGTTATGGGATGTATCTAAGTGACCTTTATCCGAACGTTAAATGTGAATAGCGTTTATTGGTTTCGGTGCGAGAAGTTATCGAATCCGAGTCGAATTCGCTTTCCGAGACGATTGTGAATAGCCCGACAGGTCTCACAGATCACAGAGTACTGAAACTCGAAATTATCCATTTGAATGACTCGACTTCGACTTACCCGGTTCTTAAGACATATCAATAATTGAATGATCGCATCACTAGAAACGAATGAATTACTCATGTCTACCTCACTCTCATAGTCCGATGGAACGGCAACGCGATACGACAGGAGAGAGATCACAGGACCTACGGCTTTACGTGCTTGAAGGCACGGGGGTGGAACACCGCCAACTTCCTGACTAGGGGTTGCGAAATGCTCAGATTTCTCAACTGAAAATTCCAATAAGTTATTTTGTCCCGACCCGGGATTCGAACCCGGGGCTTCATGATCAGCAATCGTGATTATAACCACTACACCAACGAGCCAAGGTAGTGTAATGTGATTAATGAAGTTTAATAATGATGTCTTAAGTCTGAAATTTGCAGTTTATGAATAATAATAATAATGTTACTTAAGTTATTACTTCTGTCAGCAGTCCCCAAGGACTACCATTTTTTTTTAATAATCAAATTGATTGGCTATGCCTATAAATTGTTAAAGTTAAAGTTACAGACTATTTACGTCCTACAGCTGGGTACAGGCCTCCTCTAATTTCTGAGAGGGTTATAGGGCAAGGAAATGTCCGCCGCGCTGCCCCAATGCCTGTTGGCGAACTTCACACGTCTTCGAAATATTTTTTTCTTATTTCTCAGTCATGCCGGTTTCCTTACAATGTTTTCCTTCACCACCGATCACGAGGTAAATCAGCACTTAAAATTGTAATTAACAATTTCATTGGTGCCGGCGGGAATCGAACCTGGGTTGCTAGCGTACTGTAAAACTTACAGCGAGCGCTAACCATCTGAGCTACCACGGCTCGGCCTATAAATTGACAAGGAATAAATAAAGTCTCTCCACCAAAAAGTAGCAGTAGATGGCATTTTAAATATATAACTTTAACATTACTTAAATTTTCAAATTCTAATTAAAAAATAATCAAATAGTTGGTCCTCTTTCAGGCAAAGTAATCTTACCAAGAATGATAGCAAAGCTTCTAGAAGATTCAGACAAACAACAAATATCTTTAAAAAAAAGAAAGCTGTACATAACAGAGAAGGTGGCGCACATTTTAAATGCTTCGACGCTTCTAGAAAATTCCAACGCAACTCCCTTCAAAAGCAGGAACCGATCGGGATTCCCTTGCGTTTACTGTCGCTGTATTTTTGATAATTTGGAGAAATTGCAGGAACACCAGGCTAAATCACACAAGAAGTCAGAGATTAGAAAGATATTGGGCACATATGGAGCGGAATGCTTTGTCGTTTATGTGGATATAACGAATTTGATGTGTACAGTATGCGATAGCAGAATGCAGAATTTAAACGAACTAAAAGATCATTTGATAAAAGTACACAAAAAGAAAATGCATACTGAGTTCACAGACAGAGTCATTCCGTTCAAACTGTCAGAGGACAACATCTACGAGTGTCAGATATGCGGCTTCAAGTTCGAAACATTCGGCTCAATTGAACGCCACATGAACGTACACTACAGGAACTACGTCTGCGAGGAATGTGGCACAGGATTTGTGACCAAATACCGTTTGAAAGTTCACACAAAAGCGATGCACATCGGCGGCAGTTTCCCTTGTGAGATCTGTAACAAAGTGTACAGCACTCAGCAAAAACAGAAGAACCACGTCGACACTGTCCACAAGATGGTGAAGAGGTTCAAATGTACACAGTGCCCGGAAAGGTTTTCCGAGTACTTCCGAAGACAAAAGCACTTAGTGGAAGTACACGGGGTGGCCCCGTTGCAGTACAAGTGTAATGTATGTGACAAATCTTTCGACAGGAGGTACACTCTATCAAGACATATGAAGCGGGATCACTTGGAGGAGAGAGACTTTCACTGCCACTTGTGCTCATATAAATGTTTTACAAACAACGAACTGAGGGTCCATATGGTGAAGCATAATGGTGAGAGAATCTACGAGTGCTCTGTTTGCAAGAAGTCCTATGCTAGGAAGAAGACCCTAAAGGAGCATATGCGGATTCACAATAATGACAGGAGGTTCGCTTGTGCGGTGTGCGGTCAGGCTTTTGTACAGAAGTGCAGCTTAAAAGGTCATATCAAAACGCACCACATGGAATATAGTATACATTGACAGCATTTATGTAATATTTTTTATAAAAAAACGTAACCCAATTGATTTATTCATATGATTTAAGTTCTCCCTTTTTTTTTGTTGATAAAATTGTTTATCCGAGTGCGAATACACTACATAATAAGTTTAACAATCGGAAACTGAAAACATTTATAAAAAGAAAGTGTCACGAAAATATTTGGCAGTGCAACACTTGTAAATGTGTTTTTGCTTCTAGTAATAAAAAAATAATTTTGTTCGATAAATGTTTTTAACTTATAAGGGTTCTATCAGACAGGAAGCGGTCACGCGTTCAAGCGTGCTGCGTTCTAGCGTTCAGTTTTTTTTTTTATAGTATAGAGTGACAAACGAGCACACAGTCCACCTGATGGTAAGTGGTTGCTGTGACCCATAGGCATCCACATCTATCCTGAATAATAAGGAATCAAAATGCAAATGTGTTGTCACCCGTGAGGACTAAGATGGAATGCCTCTTTTCCAGTAAATAGGGTTTCCGGTTCTCTACCCTCACCATACGAAACACAGCAGCATTAAGCTTCTATTCTGTGAGAGCGTGGTCCTACCCCGGTCGAGTTTACTCGTTTGTGGTACAACTACCACGTAAAAAACTACCCACGACGACTCAAGAAACTCGCTGTGGAGGGTCTACCGGTGCCCCTACAGTCACCATGTATTTTGACTATAGTTCTTCATCGGAAGACGAATTATTGATATTGTGGACATTAGCAGCATCAAAACGGAAAAAGAAACATTTCTCTTTTATAATTCATTTTCGGTCGCCATTTCTCTGGCGATTTGTAACTAAGCCTCTGCTACTTTTCCTCAGTTTTTATAATCATCATTCTTCACAGTATACCGAGTGATGATAAAGTTATTAGATTAAATAAAAAGACGTATCCTACGTATATTTCTTTAAACGTACACAACTAAAAAATATATAACAATTAATATTCTAGTCGGCGTAGCATTTTTTTCTTAAATAACATCATGTAAATGCATACAGATATCACCTGATGAATACTAGAAGGGCAAAGACCCATGGCATTTGAAGGCGAATATACCTAGTTTAAACGTTGCCAATTGAAATTACTAATTAAAGAAAAAATGTACTTACGGCTAAAAATTTAAGGCATAATTTTATGCGCGAAATTAAAAACAAAGACCGCGCGCTGCAGGTGTATGAAAACAAATTCAAACGAAAAATTTACTTAAAATAAAGGTCTTAAGGCATAATTCTCTATGCGCGAAGTGACTAGAAATGGGACGGAGTGTTTGAAATTCATATTTACCTCTGGCGCGTGCGACCGATAGTCCGACCAGTCCGACGCCGGCGTCCTTGGGGATGGTTCATGAGCCGCTTGACTTAATTTTCGTTTTTCATGTACACGTCCTTTAAGTTTTACTGTTGTTTTTTTTGGTTTTGTGGACAATTTAATAAGTTTCTTAATTTGTTTGTGATAGGACACGTTAATAATACGCTAGACATAGAATTATTACGCATAGAATACTAGTACGCGCACCGAAAGTGAAGCAAGTTAAACTAACGCGAAACCGCGTAAGTTTACTCAGCGACGCGTCAGTGCGCAACGTCACGTCTTACGGAGAAGAGCTCGCGAAAAATTGTAAAAATTACCGTTTGTGTTGTAAAATATTGTCACAACGGTGATGATAAACATAAAAGAAGTGATGGTATTATATTTCACATATAAGTTTATACATTTAATTCATTATAAGTACGTAAAACTAAAAAAATACTTACCTAAGCTCTCATAATACAAATGTTGCTAGTTGTGGAAAAAAAATCACAATTTTCTTTTAAAAATATTTATTTTCTATTTGTGTGTAAAACTCAAATGTTTATATATAGATACCTACTTCTCTAAGTGTTAACATTATATTAACAATGTGTGCCTATTTAAAACTATCAGCTAATCAGCTAATCGCGATTCGTCGACGCCATTTTAACGCAACTATTTTATTTTAATTGCTTTTTTTATTGACTAAGGTTACGTTTTAGAGTATAGAATAAAACTTTTTTATTTATAACATCATGAGATTATTAATAAGAACGCCTTTACTAACCAAATGTCACTTTACACCCAAACATTAACCAGATGTTACGTTAGACCCAAACATAGCCTATTTTAACCGAATCCCAAAAAGACAGGTTATCAATATGTATGTACACTGATTTCTAAGCTTGATCAATTCGTATATACATGCTGAAATTTTAGTGGTTGTTGTCCCGCAGCCAAATTATACTGTCTCGATAGTAGGTAGAGTCAATTTATTAAATTAAAAAATATTACAATTAAAAAAGGGCAGATTTACAATAGTAATACCTCACAAGCTATTCGGGCGTCCAAAGTTTATGTCGTATCACTACGCTTGAGAGTTCATGTTATGAACATTTATTAGTGGCCCTTCATTGTGTAGGACGCGCGCGGTAGCACGTATGATAGACGTAACACTACATTACGTCCAGCGAATTTTTTTTCAGACTTTATTATAGTAATTCGGTATAATAAGCTAGCCTGCACGCACGACCTATTTGCGAGATATTGCTATTGGTTCGAGTTTTGTTTTTCTCGATCGTAAAATATGCCATTTTTACATCCTAATAATTTTATTTTAATAAATGTTTTGTACTTCTACTACTAAGGCAAAATCATTTTACTTCGGGAAAACAACCATTAAAATTTCATCGTGTGTTTTGGATCAATCTGTGTGTATATCCTTTCAAATAAAAAAAATCTAAATCGGTTTAGAAATTGTAGAATTCTGAGGTAAAAAACATTAAAAAATACACCGAATTGATAACCTCCTCCCTATTTGAAGTCAGTTAAAATTAAACATCACACGATGTGCTTATTGTATTCGAGCAAATTAATTGTGTTTAATAATATTGTTAAATTTTATTACTTCTGCAATTTTTACCATTAATATATGTCGTTCTTACGTCCTTCGTACGTAATACGTAATCTTTATTATATCGATTTTTTAAAATTAATAAAAAATTAATAAAAAAATAGTGATTTGCACAATTTGATTACAAACGCCAGAAACTGGTATCACTGAATGGCGTGTATGTGTGCGTGTGACGAGCGTAGGCACATTCGACTCGCGCCCACTAAAATAATGACTTTGCATCATTTTAACGCTCGTGCTTTGTACTGGACTGCGTTTCTATGCGTAATAATTCTATGACGCTAGATTAGATATTTAATAACTTAGTGGTGTGACAGCCCGTGCGCAATTGCATGCTTTTATTTTTTTAACGTCTTAACTTTTTTAAATTTTAAGATGCTTTGTATCACAATTTCACGTCGTCAGAATACACCGACATAATTTTTTTTTTAAATTTGATTTGTTTTTCTTATTAAACTTGAGTGATTTCAAGATTAAAGTGATTATTTGGATAAAAACAATATCATGAAATTTATTATTCGTTGATAACATCGGATCAGCATCGCCCTACGCGTGCCTAATTACCTATGTATGGTCAAGTGTAGGTATTATAATTACCTACGTCGATGTCACGTGAGCACTGAACGCTGTTGCCAGTTTTACAGGTCAGTAAACTAATATTTTCAAGGATGATTTATTTCTTGTCAATTTTTTACGCTATTTATTTTGTTTAAGAATGCATTTTTTATTTGATAAAACAGAAGCAACGGAATGACTTATGACGCGAGTCGCGAAGTCGATTTTTTTTTAATAACTGGCTTTACGGCTCTGGGATCTAGCCCTTCTGAGCCTGAAGTTACAATATATTATAATTATCCTTCATAGTATACTGCTTCACAATATGTTGATGCGTCACATTGTGCAGCCCTTGGGAGATTTTGACGGCAACTTGAGACAGCAGATAGCTGACAGTTTGAGATGGTATCTCAAAGCACCTAAGCAGACAGACACCTCATTTTGAGAATCACATCGCCATCAGAGCACTTGTTTCACAGTTTACACTAATAGTTCACACGCACCACTTTTACATATCAAAGTCCACTTCACACCATTATTTAAAAAATAATACAGGAGCAGCAAACCGCCGCTGGTCAAGTTCCCGCCAAAACTCCCTCGCGAAGTCGAGTATAAACGTAGTGATTATAATCTCTGGTCGAGTATATCTGTTACTGTCAATGTCAAAAGTTCCGTTTCAGGTATTAATTAGTGTTTTATGAATATTTTTAGAAAATTATATTAAATATTTCGACGCAACTCCGGCAGCTAAAATTGCATGGGATAAGCCCCCTTGACAGTGAGAGACTCCTTAAAGTCAGGCGACTTGATTCTAAACCCAACCCGTAATATCACTATGGATAACTGGTTTACCAACATATCACTAGCTCAAGAGCTGTTGAAACGAAAAACTTACATGGCGGGCACCCTCAAGTGTAATGAACCAGAAATACCTCCAATTTTAAAAGAAAAATAAAAGTACTCTTTTTAGATTTCATAGATTCCACTCTTGTCACACTTACCAAACATACACAAATCTGTGATTTTGTTAACGACGCTGCATCATGATCATGCTGTGTAGTGGCGGTGTAAGAATATCCACTATTCCGTATCATTTCGCGGGTGTCGTAAGAGGCGACAGAGGTAAACAAATCAGGAGATGGGCAGCAGCGTCTTCCTAATAACGAGTAAAATAATAAAGATCTGCCGTTATCAACCCGCTTGACAAGTGTGGCAACTATGGCAAATATCTCCCCTGTGAGACAATCTCAGGCCTATATTCAACAGTAGAATTTCATATGCTGTAACAGTAATGCATCATAATGTCACAATTGACTCAACAACTGAAGCTAACTAGAAAGCAGAAATAGTAACTTTTTATAACAAAACCAATTGTGGAGTAGACATTGTCGATAAGATGTGCAATCACTATAATGTTTCAAGAAACAGTAAACGATGGTCTCTTACTATATTTTTTGAGTAACTGAATCTTGCAGGTATACATAGCTTGGTGATTCATCAGGTGAATAGGATGACGTTTGAATTAGTGAAACCCGCTATTAACTTTAGAATTGGTGTTCAAAATGTCCAACGGGAACTAAGAACTAAAGCTCAGATACTTCCAAAACAGCAAGGCATTCAACCAAATCCAGATTAGAATGTCCAGAGGACAGGAAAATGTGGTTGATGTGTTTATTGTCCAAGATCACACGATCATTCTGCTCAAAATTTGATGGAATTTGTCCAGATCATCAAGTCTTAGTTTGTTCATATTACCTCGTGTAGTGGCGGTGTAAGAATATCCACTACTCCATATAATCTCGTGGGTGTCGTAAGAGGCGACTGAGGGACACAAGTTAAGAGATAGGTAGCAGTCTTCTTAATAATGACTAAAAAAACCTCCGTTTACTAACCCGCATGCCAAGCGTGCCAACTATGGCAAATATCCACTCTATGAGGCAATCTATCCATATTTGCAGACTTTGACAGTTCATGACTTATTCCTCCTTTTCTTAAAAATTACTTTATTTTTATAGTGACTAATAAATATATAACAATATTTAAATGCTTTTTATTTTATATTTATGTTAACCTAAAAAAGAGATAAACGGCAATGGTCTGACTATTATCTATATATCCACGTGAGTACAACATCAAAAAATTAGGACGCGTGTACAAGTGTTAACGAGGGGGAAGAGAACCGGGAGATGGGCAGTAGCATCTTCTTAAGAACAAAAGTAAAAAATTACCGTGTATAACAACCTGCCAGTCGAGCGTGACAACTATAGAAAATATCACGCTATGAGGTAATCTATGAAGGAGGCCTACGATGTAACAGTAACAGATGCAATTATTTACTAATGGTGCCAAATACCCAATTGTAAGCACTAACCAAATCTGTCAACACTGATTTATTTAACCGTCTGACTTTTTGCAGTTGAAAAGTTACGATGCAGCTGAGAGTGTCGCACTAAACCGGCTTTAGTTTTAAATCTCTCATTGCACACGTTACAAACAACGTTCCTCTCCTCCAAATGCTTTTCTTGATGGTCCCTCAACTGATACTTCATAAGGAAACTTTTGTCGCACTGTTTGCATTTGTAATTTTTCTCGTTCCCATGCTTTCGTCTCATGTGAGCCGTGAAGTAGGGCATAAAGTCGAAAGTCATTCCGCAGATCTCGCAAGTCTTAATCTTGACCATTTCTTTGTGATTATCGAGTACATGCTGATGTCTCTGGAATGGTCTGGAGAATCTTTCCGGACAGTACGAGCATTTGTACTGGCCTTTCTCTCCATGTACGAGGTCAAAATGCTTCTTCATGTACTTCTTCAAATTGTACACCTTACCGCAAACCTCGCAAGGGAACTTCCCAGTATTGTGTACTAACACATGCTTTTTAAGTCTGCTCGCTGATAAGAAAGTATCACCGCATTCGGAGCAAATGTAACTGCTATAATGGGCGTTCATATGTCCATCCAGCATGTTGTAACTTGCAAAGGCTGCTCCACATAAAGCGCACTTCAGCTCCCTTGCGAGGATATAAGGTATAACTCTATTGTAGGCCTCATCTAGAGCAACCTCGTGCACGTCTTTAAGATGTAGGAGCATATCATTCCACGTCAGCAGGATTGTACAGCAAACTGTACAATGGAGACTGTGTATATCAATCTTTAACACCTCATTTAGCCACTGTGGTCTCATTATCTGATCTACGACTTTAGTCCGATCATCGACATGCTTTGTTTTAGTGTGAACCCTCAAATCATCGGCGTCATCAAAAGCCGGTCCATCTGTAGAGCAGTATGCACAGTAGTACCTTGACAATCTTGTTTTGTATGGTATTGCATTTGTGTAAGTGAGTATAGATTTAATTTCCTCTATGAGTTTGTAGTGTTTTTCTTGGTCTATTATTTTTGATGCATCATCATCATCCGGCTCTGAGAAAGATTAAAAACATTGTTAGGATTATTTTGGAATTCATCATTATTTATTTTATAAATAATAGGTAAGGAAGGTAAATAATGAGGTTGATAAATACCCCATATCGTCTCGCGGGTGTCGTAAGAGGTGAAACAAGCAAGGATAAGCATCTTTCTGATTAAATTAAAAATGCAGTTATAATAAAAAAAACTGAGATTGAGAACCCTCTCGCCGAGCGTGGCAACTATAGCAATATACCCTCTATAACGAAGGGTACAAAGAGATGCTGGATGTCGATGAATGCAAGACTTAACTAATCTTTGAGTAGGAAGTTGTACTTTTAAACAGTCAATAAATCGATGAGCATGACAACAAGTTCGTGCAAGATAATGAGTTCGAGCGTACGTGTCTTCAGGCATTTTTAAAATTTAAATTGAATTTTTAATGCTTTTTAAAATAATTTGGCTATGGGGGTCTCAGGTATCAGTTCATTTTGAAAAAGGGGTCTCTTGCCCAAAATAGTTTGGGAATCACTGGTCTATATGACGTATCGTTTACAGACGAAACAAGTGTCGTTTTATCTACGACGGTGTGTCTTTCTTAGTGTAGAGTAGACTTGTGATTGGTGGTGACGGGGATAGAGCACGAAATTAAGAAAGGGCGGAAGGTGCTAATAAATTTTTAACATCTACCGAGTGACGATAAAGTTATCACATTAAATGAAAAGACGTACCCTACATAAATTTCTTTAAGCATACACAACTAAAAAATATATATAACAATTAATATTCTAGTCGCCGTAGCATTTTTTTCGTTTTAATATTAAATAACATCATGTAAATGCATACAGATATCACCTGATGAATACTAGAAGGTCTAAGACCCATGGCATTTAAAGGCGAATATACCTAATTTAAACGTTGCCAATTCAAATTACTCAAATAAAGAAAAAATGTACTTACGGCTAACAATTTAAGGCATAATTTTATGCGCGAAATTAAAAACAAAGGAACCTCGCGCTGCAGGTGTGTGAAAACAAATTCTAGCGAAAAATTTACTTATAATCATATTTAATAACTTAGTGGTGTGACAGCACGTGCGCAATTGCACGCTTTTATGTTTTTAACGTCTTAACTGTCCGCGACGGCCTTAACAACTTTAAGAAACAAAGTGATGAAAGAATATTGTTTTGTATAAAAAAGTGAAATCACCGACCAAATTAAGTGAATAATGTATTAATATGGTTTTACAGTGTGTTTACAACTCTTAATATATTTGTATTCGCTATGTGCACGACAGTAGCGCCACCTAGAATGCGCAACTTTCCGGGATTATGCCAAATAATGATATATCAGTATTTTATTGCTTTCTTGTAAATATAGTAAATTAAAGATAAATAAAAAGACGTCAAGTGGTATTTTTAAAGGCATTTGTTAAAACAGTGCATAAAATAATGGATATTATTATAAAAACTGGTTTTGAAAGTGTAAAACACAATATTCGTTTCCAACCTCAAACCGTGTTGAAAGGAGAAAAATTAGTTTTAGCACAACATGTAAGAAATGTTGAAGAGCTACGAAAGAATGACAGTAGTTATTTAATACGAGCCCACATAATTCGTCAAACATCGGTGACATTAACAGCCTATGTAACGAGTTTAAACGTAAGTACTTTTATAACCTTAAGCCAATGAAACACACTAGAGTCTGTGCGACGGTCACGACGGTTCTCTTTCCGCACAGACTCTAGTATTTTATGGTATAGTAGTTTTACGTACCTATTTGAATTTATTTTTGAAATTATAATTTATTTATTCCAGATCAATGATTCTCGTGTTGTCACTGGTGTAAAATGCAGTTGTGTTTATAACCAGAGCGGCAAGTGCAAACATGTTGCTGCTATAATATTGTTACGAGCTTGGGGTTCGAGACAATTAAAAACTGCGAGTGAATTACCAAAATTGACACTTTAATTACACAACACTAATTACAATCTAAAATCACACTAATAATAAAACACAGTTCGCCGTTATTTCGCTTCGAAGTATTCTCTTGTATCGCCAATTCAATACTGCCCCGGCCGTGGTCTATACCGGCCTTATATAGAGCCTCAGATAGTTTCCAGAACCTTCTACTGTAGCGACATCTAGAATGTTCGAGTACATATCGGTCCCGAAATTTCTGGAAGGATCTCGACTCTCCTAGCTCTACTACTCGACACTAGAGGGCGCTAGTGTTGCCATGTACAAGACATTAATAGTGGCGCGCAACACTTTCTTTTACTCGACACTAGAGGGCGCTAGTGTAACTAGTGTTGCCATGTACAAGAAATTAATAGTGGCGCGCAACAATATGTTATATTAACAACAAAGTAAGTCATTCGAAACCAAGCAATGAACAACAATGGGGAAAACCCAGCATTCGTCAATTTGTTCAAAGTAAATATTCCAAGGGGAGGTACTTTCTAGACATGTTTCCACCAGTATCCAAGACTGAATGTTATCAACCACAACCAATAATTCATAATGAATTATTGCAAGAGTCATCATTAAAACAAGTACGAGTGCCATCAGTGCAGACTCAAGATATAAATCTTATTACAGATGTAATATCTGAAATATTGGACATAGTTGAATCACTTATTGAGCGAGAAGACTGTTCTGCATGTTTAATTTTTTTTTTTATATAATCAGAAGCGAATTTGAATTATATCACAGTGATTACACACTAGGAGAAAATCTGAATGTATACTATGAGAAACATGTAGTTGTAACAGAGGAAGATATTATTCACATTTGTTGTAACACAATCAAGCAATCAGCATGCCAGAACTGGTATGCAATTAGACATGTCAGGATAACTGCAATATACATTGCATAAAAACTTGTGCAACCAAAACCATTCAAAGTTTAGTGTCAAGTATTTTAAATCCAAAGAAAGTTGATTGTGCTGCAACCCGGTATGGCTTATGTAATGAACAAAAAGCTATATTATTTTATGAAAAATTGAATTTCTGTCAAGTAAAAAAAGTAGGTGCAATTATTAGCAAAGATCAACCATGGCTGTGCGCTAGTATTGATGGTGTAGTGGTGTAGGATGGTTGTGTGACAAAGCTAGTCGAAGTTAAATGTCCAATATCATGTGAAAAAAAAACCTGTGGTTAATTTTGATAATCGCTTGTGCAATGTTGTGTACTTAATGTTTAGAAATAATTTTATAGAAGTTAAGAAAAGCCATCCATACTACACTCAAGTTCAAACACAGATGTATTTGAACATTTATCGTGAACCCGGTAAATTCTTAGTCTTTGCATAATTCTTTCGACATGAATTCTAACTCGAGCAATATCATGTCCTTTGGGTTTCTTCTTGAGATAATTCGTTTTTATTTGCTAAAAACGGTGGCATTACAATTTTAACTTCTTTGCCACTTTCGTCTATAACTTTTTTTATTGAAGGAAAACCTTTATCAGCCAAAACTACATCTCCAGTTTCTAAAAGGTAAACTAATCTAGATTCAACAGTCATTTGTGAGTCAGTTTTTCTTCCACCAGCTACTTTAGATTTGAAAGAAATAAATCCTCCAGGTGTAATTCCTATTAAAACTTTTGCAGTAAACCCTTTTTTATAATGTAAGTAACAAGCAACACGATCATCCACTGCAGTCGGTATTTCAATTCGGAATTCAGTACAGTCAATAATAACTCTTGTATTGATCTAATCTGGACTGAAACACTTGGGCATTGTTGCTTGTACGGTGGCTCTATTCGGCCAAAAGATTAAATTAGCAGTAGCACAAGCTAGATTTTGTAAGATCGAATGAAATATTCGTGAGGTTGTGGTACTGGTACTGTACACTTTTTCATAGTTAATCTTGTTAATAAAAACTCAAAATTACTAAATGACACACCAGCAAGATCTAGGAGTTCTTGATCATTTTTAATTGATGAAATACCAACAAATTTTTAGATTTTTGTTTCGGTAGATTGATCATCATACGATTTTTTGTCAGTGCAACAGCTTTTATCTTTCTTTCTTGAATTATTTGTCATTACGATTCTTGATGTTGTTACTTGGATTTCAGCATCACAGTGATCACTGTAAATTGATCGAATGCAAATAAAGGTTGTATCTCTTAATTTCAATTCAGAAAACATATTGACTTGACATCCTTGATCGACCATAAGAGGTTGAGTTTGATATAATTCACTTCCTTCTTCAATTATTATTTGACTTGATGTGGTATCTGAGACTTTTGTGGTTCTTCGTTTTTTCAAGCATGTATATCTAGCTAGGACCTGTGAATCATTAACCTTCCTCTTTCGATATATTTCAGGGAATATCGTGAGAGCATAACTCGGACTTTCTTCCTCGTGTGAATTTTTGTTTTCCATAAAATGTTCACTACAAATTGTGTCGTCAGGTTTGGGATACCATGGCGACCCATCAACACTAAAATAATAAATATCACATAAAATATAGCGCAAATAAAATTGATCATAATTTAAGGTTATTTCGCTTACTTATTCCTTTTTATAGCATCTATCCATTTATTTCTTTGATTTAATTTCCAGTCCAATGTAGGAAATATATAGAATTTACACTGAGTATTTGTGTCGCTATTTTTGCAGTTCACAACACAACAACATCTATTATTAGGCATTTTAATTTTTTTTTTATTTATTACGAACTCTGTGCAAATTTACTTAACTTTCCCAGATTGTTGCGTATTTCTGCCACGGCAAGCGCTGCGATCGCTTTACTATACCCCCACTATGTACTTCGCACATAGCGAATAGAATGTCGTTTTCATAATAGTTAATATAAACAACTTTAATTGTATAAGAAAAAAATCGACCAATCACAGCGCGTCGTATTGTAGACCTTTCCAGAAGTTTTTAATTGACTGCACAATAGTTTGTACTAAAAATAATGAGAATAATTTTTTGTTCTAAAAGAGTTGTAAATATGACATTTAGTTAGCATATTGTGTATACATTACGAAAGTGAAGAAATAATTTATATAATTAAACGCATTTGATAGTTATAGAAAAATTAAAGAATTAATGTGCCCAAATATTATGAAAATTTAGGATATTTCGCTTAATAACTTCTTAATTTGTTAATATATTGAGTAACCTTTATCATATACTGATAAAAGACAAAAATGCCGAATTTATGATGTATAGCATATTAGTGTAGGATTTAACCTTATATAGAAAATATTGCAATTTATGCCAATTTTATAGTGAAAATTTCATGCAATGAAGAGGCAAAATGGAAAATGGCAAGCGGCTCACTATAAAGTATAGCCGAAGTCTACCTTATGGGCGCGAGACCCAGCAACGTTGTAGTGTGAAGAACTACCAGTGACAAGCAGTAGCATCCTGTAGTAGCTGAAGTGACTAGCAGCAGTATATAGTGAATAGTGAGTGTTACCTAGCCGAAAAAAGTGGTAACTGAAAATTCGCAGTTGCATATAGTAATATAGTGTTAGCTAGCCGAAAAAAGTGGTAACTGAAAATTCGCAGTTGCATATAGTAAAAAAGTGTTAGCTAGCCGAAAAAAGTGGTAACTGAAAATTCGCAGTTGCATATAGTAAAAAAGTATTAGCTAGCCGAAAAAAGTGGTAACTGCAAATTCGCAGTTGCATATAGTAAAATAGTGTTAGCTAGCCGAAAAAAGTGGTAACTGAAAATTCGCAGTTGCATATAGTAAAAAAGTGTTAGCTAGCCGAAAAAAGTGGTAACTGAAAATTCGCAGTTGCATATAGTAAAATAGTGTTAGCTAGCCGAAAAAAGTGGTAACTGAAAATTCGCAGTTGCATATAGTAAAAAAGTGTTAGCTAGCCGAAAAATGTGGTAACTGAAAATTCGCAGTTGCATATAGTAAAATAGTGTTAGGTAGCCGAAAAAGGTGGTAACTGAAAATTCGCAGTTACATATAGTGAAAAAGTGTTAGCTATCGAAGTATCTACGACAACATTTACTTCGGAGAGTTACGCCCGTCCGGCACATTAACTTTTTTTAAATTTTAAGATGCTTTGTATCACAATTTCACGTCGTCAGAATACACCGACATGATTTTTATTTTCAAAATTTGATTTGTTTTGATTATTAAACTTGAGTGATTTCAAGATTAAAGTGATTATTTGGATAAAAACAATACCATGAAATTTATTATTCGTTGATAACATCGGATTAGCACCGCCCTACGCGTGCCTAATTACCTATGTATGGTCAAGTGTTAGGTATTATAATTACCTATGTCGATGTCACGTGAGCACTGAGCGCTGTTGCCGGTTTAACAGGTCACTTCAGGTCAGTAAACTAATATTATAAAGGTGATTTATTTCTTGTCAACTTTTTACGCTATTTATTTTGTTTAAGAATGCATTTTTTATTTTCTTTTATTATTGTTTGTTTTATTATTTTAACAGACATATATCAACTTGTATTAACTGCTGTGCTATTTAACGTGATAACCTAATCGCCACCCAGTATAAGATGATGAATATGTGAAAATTGTATGTTAGTTAATGTAATTGTGTGTTAGAAAAATTATCAGATGAAGTTCCAATGTTAAGATTATATCTAATGTTGAAGGAAGGAATGTACTTAAACCTTTCCTTCGACGAAAAGACAGGTGAATTTTGCATCATAACTCCTGAACGGATTAATCGATATTGATTAAAAAATTTTCGTTTAGAACATGTCTTAATTGAGTGTTCTTTTAGGTATCTTTCAAGAAAATCTGTTCAGCTGTTAAAAGATTATCTTTTCTTTTTGTTTCGGGGGTTTTTAAATTTTTAATGAAGTTATTTTTACTCGACTCACCCTCTTTTTTGGCAATAGCATTTTGAAGTCTTAATGCAAGAGTCTCCTTGGGCACCTTAAACTTCTCTGACGCTTCGCTACGTGACATCTCTTCATTCTGGACAGCATCAATGGCCATTCTCAGTGCCTTTTCAGTATACTGCTTGTATGTTTTGTTACGGTGTTGCTTTGGTAGTTTCTTCGGCCATTTTCTTTTACGATTTTCTTCTGGACACTGCGATTGATCTAGAAACCGTAAAGAACCTTATTATCTTCTTTAACAATGATATTAATAACTAGCTGACCCTCGTGACTTTGTTCGCGTGGAATTTATTACGATTGGATTTCATGTCTTTCTTTTTTTGGGCGAATTCCTAATTCCTTTTCTAAAAAAAATTAGCTTAATTTAAAAAATTTAATTTCTGTAGGAACGAACTGCTTGTTGCGTTAGAGTACAATTGATTGTGTAATTGTATAAAAAATGACAACCATAACTTCTAAATTCCATATGAAGACTATTCGTAGGGATAACTATACGTATAAATAAAATAAACGTTGGCAATGTCGTAACGGTTTAACGGTCTGTGGAAATGCTCAGTGCTTCAAAGACGTTACGGCACACGAGGCATTTGTTTTGGCGGGATTGATTATTAATTTTAGTTTTTGAGACAGTTCCGTGTTGACTGTTACGTGCGCGTGAGCGACAGTTCAATCGTCTTGTTTATTAATTTCTTGTTGTTATTATTCATGTTGTTACGTTTTGTGTTCCTCGTTTTGTTTTAATAATACCTAACGCGTAGGTACATTTATAAAGCTCGTGAATACGGCAACATGTTAATGTGCCTCGGAGATTCTCATAAGGCCACGGAGGATTTAGATCGGTAAGCTGTTTCATACCTAATTTTTTTTTTAATAACTTAGTACTGAACTCATCTGAATATGTACATAACTGAATACATCAGAATAATACACAACCTGCACGATGGATAAAAAAGCATGACTCTAATCTTGTTAACCATTTCATTTAAGTAATATTTTCATTAGCGGGGAATGGATCCAGAAATTTGGTTTATTTAACCTGTGAATTCGAATTAAAGCGACTAGGTGGAGACAAGCACAGTGGCAAAGTAGTAGATAAGTTAGGTATTTAGACAAGTGTTGTAAATTATTAGGTATTGTGGTATCATCGCTAGCTGCGGGCCGCGCGAATTCGGCGTCCGCGCCTACATTGACTCCTAGTCAGCTGATTGTAATTACACTGCTGGTTTTATGTTTAAGTATTTTCATTTTTTTTTATGAAATTATCGTTTCGTTTAGCTGTACTAGAATGATGGAGCGTGAATAAAGTTAATAAAACGTTGTGATAAGACGATTTTTTTCCTCGGTACAAATTTCTTTCTGACCCATCATCAAAGGTATCGTTAGTACTATCGTCTATCTTCGTTTTCGGAAGTGTTTCACTAACACCCAGTATATTGAAGTGTGTTTTACAAATTTCTTAATTTTACCACTTATTTTAAAAACTTACCGTCTTCTTTGTCTGTAATATTGCGGATCTTAGCAGAGATAGCTTTCCTGGGCACTTTAAAAAACTCAGCCGCTTCTGTATGTGACATTTCATTGTTCTGGACTGCATCATTGGCCATTTGCAGTTCCTCGTCAGTATACTGCTTGTACGTTTTGTTCCCCTCTTCCTTTGTGAGCTTTTTTGACTTTTTTCTTGTATGTTCTACTAGCAGAGAGTTATCTAAACTCAGCAATTGTTCTAGAAACCACAAAAAATATCATATCATCTGCCATTAACAGCCTGTAGTTGCATTTTTACAATTAAAGTTAACGTTATACAATCATACCAACACTATATAGCATTTTACTACAAAACAACAACAACAATTGTACAACAAAACTATAATTAAATACATTTTGTAGTTTAACAATAGCAAATTTATTTCATTATATTAATTTTTGCACATGATATATATACATCACCTGTATACAGGATATTTTTGGAACGCTCCCGAAAACTAAGACAGGCGACAACACCAAGTATACCTTTGATCATGGGTCACAAATAAATTCGATCCTGATGAAAAAAAAATCATCTTTTTACAACGTTTTATTAGCTTTATTCACGCGCCATCATGTTAGCACAGCTAAATGAAACGATAATTTCATAAAAAATATCATGAAAATAATGAAACATAAAACCAGCAGTGGAATTACTGAATTGATATCACCTGATCAAAGGTCAATGTACGCGCGAACGCAAATTCGCGCGGCCCGCAGCTAGCGATGGTAACACAATACCTAATAATTTACAACACTTGTCTAAATACCTAACTTATCTACTTAACCTACTATTTTGCCACTGTGCTTGTCTCCACGTAGCCACTTTAATCCGAATTTACAGGTTAAATAACCCAAATAACTGGTTCGATTCCCCGCTAATGAAAAAATACTTAAATGAAATGTAACCAAGGTTGGAGTCATGCGTTTTTATTCATCGTGTAGGTATGTTTATTATTCTCATTTATTCAGTTATGTACCTATTCAGATTAGTCTAGTACTAAGTTATTTAAAAAAATAGTTATGAAACAGCTTACCGCTCTAAATCCTCCGTGGTCTTATGAGATGCGGCTCAAATTGTGCTCCATTCATTTCAAGGTAGATTTGGGTGCAGGCGGGGCATCATCGTGTGGTCTTCGACACAGTCTGAACGTAGTTTCTCGAAAGCATCCACGATCCTTTGGCGCATTTCGTCAGCACTATCACACTCACGATTAAAAACCCTTTCTTTCACATACCCCACAAAAAGAAGTCTAACGGGGTCAGATCTGGTGAGCGAGGTGGCCAAGCGTGTGGTCCTATTCTGCCGATCTAGCGATCATCAAATAGTTCATTGAGGCGCTCACGGACGAACCTCACGAAATGTGGAGGGGTACCATCATGCTGGAACTATGTGCGGCGATATTCAGCCAACGATAGGTCGTATAAAATGTCAACCAACAGTTCATTTATAAAGTTTAGGTATCGCTGTCCGTTCAGTCGCTCTGGCAGAAACACTGGTCCCAGTATGCGATCCTTAAATAAACCTGCCCATACGTTAACCGACCATCGGGTTTGGTGCCCGGTTTCTCGAACAGCGTGCGGCTTAACCTCTGAATACACGTGTGTATTTCTTCGGTTCCACAAGCCGTTTCTGGTAAATGTCGACTCATCCGTCCAGATAATGTGCTCAATGGAACCAGGCACACGTTGTTGCTGGTATAATAACCAACGGCAGAAAACTCGTCGGCGTTCGTGATCGCCGGGAACTAAAGCTTGCACTTTGTGCAATTTGTATGGGCGCATTCGGTTACGCTTCAACACTTTGTGCACTGCACAGTATGATACACTTGTTGCATCCCGACGTCTTAACAATTTATTTAGCGATACTTCGTGTACCTAGGTTCGGATACCTAACATGTTGCCGTATTCACAATCACTATAAACGTACGCGTTAAGCATTATTAGAACAAAAAACGTAACAACAAGAATAATACCAACACGTAATCACAAGTAACAACAATTTAATAAACAAAACGAGCTGTCGCTCGCGCACGCGTGTACAAAATCAACACGGAACTGTTTCAAAAACTACAATTAATAACGAACCCGGACAAAACTGAAACCTACTGCGTCACAGCGTGAGGCGACACGAGCCGGCCGGGTTACATTCTGCCGTCATAATAAAGAAGGAAGCAACTAACAAAAACGTAAAATGGAAATAAAAAATAAATTGATGAATTTTTCTTTCAGACCCTGTGTCTAAAGTATATTAAAAGGTATCTATATGAAAATTGAAATATATACGTAGAGACATGAAGATTTTAAGGACGAACTTATTTTTTTGATAATTTGTTTATTTATTTAAATAAAACGAATTTTCCTTTTCATCTTAGCTTAAAAAATACACCTGGCAACACAAAAACATCGAAGGAAAGACGCATATAACTATTTGCGTCTTCCCAATCTAATAAATAAAAAACTGCCATTCATTTAACATTTTTACATATTTTGGAAAGGTCATTTGAAGTTGAAAGGACGCTAATAGTAATTTGCTACATTTTTCTTACTTTATAGATTTATTAGAAAAGCATTGGTAGTGAGACACAAAAAATAAGAACCCGCAACTCTTGAGTAATGATTTTAAAGGGGATATCATACAAGACTTACTACGATAATAATTAAAAATTTAAAATTTTGTACAACTGACTTTAATATAAATAATTAAGAATAACTCAAAAACTATTGGTCTGACTTCGATCAAATTTATATGGGACCACATGTGAAACACCAGCTCTTAATAATAAGATATAAGCTCTTAATAATAAGATATAGAATAATAAGAAAAGAATAATTGAAATTTAAGTAATCGATGCAAATATTGTTAAAGATGACGTAGCAACTGGTTAAATAAGTCTTTTCTTTTATGTTGAATTTGTATAAGTCTTTTCTACTAAAAAATGTCATCTGTGATCAACAGTTACGTCTAAAATTCTTACGATAATTTCTAAAATATTAATATTTAATAATTTAAAAAAAATTAGTAGATGCGCCTTCTTATCATGAGTCGAATGGTATATTTAACTCATTTATTCAAAAATTGTTAGATGCGCCCTTTTTTCTTATGACCGCAGCATTGTTTCGTACCGAGCTAGATACAGGTCGACAGCGGAGGGAATGTGGGTACAGTCGCGTTCTAAAGTACTACATGGTATTGGGCTCTTGTTTTATAATATTATAGTAATTAATTGTTTTATTGTAGAATCATACTAGGTGTTTTACTAGCTACTTAGAACTTTGGAAGAGGTGGGAATTAAAAATGGTTAATGTTTACTTGAGCATTATTTGTAATTTCTATCGTAAAATATAAAGTAGTTTGTAACAAGAAAACTTAAGCTAAGGGTGACACGCCGTCCATTATGGCGTCTTGGGCCACGTGGAAGCCAGATGTTGATGGTGTGTTGGTGTTACTGGATGCTACTTCGTCATCACTTTCATCTTCGCTTGAGCTTCCGTCATCAGGTCGATCACATGGTAATTTTTTCGGTATTCTTCCTCAACACTTTTAATTTTACTGCACAATTTTCCCCATTCACCTTCTCCTATCATATTTACCTTTTCGTTCACTAGTTTAGTCATAAAACAATAGATATAAACAATTTTTCTTTCCTTCCTTTTTAAAACATCGTCGCGAGTCGCAAAGTAAGCTGTGTATGCGACTGTATTTTCGGAGCGAACAAAGCGTGGGAACCAATAGCATGCAGGCACAGTAATACTGGCGGATTGTTCCCCCGTCGCGCCCCCTTCGTACCAATATGTGATAAATCGCTCAGTGCCCAAGTTCAAGGCCAGCGTTCTTTTTTCACCGTTCGTGCGTACATTAACCTCCATTAGTCAGGTGATATCAATTCAGTTTCCACTGCTGGTTTTATGTTTCAGTATTTTCATAAATTTTTTAATGAAATTATCGTTTCATTTAGCTGTACTAACATGATGGCGCGTGAATAAAGCTAATAAAATGTTGTAAAAATATGATTTTTTTTTCATCAGGATCAAATTTATTTGTGACCCATGATCAAAGGTATACTTGGTGCTGTCGCCTGTCTTAGTTTTCGGGAGCGTTCCAAAAATACCCTGTATATATCATGTGCAAAAAAATGTGCCTTGAAAATAAATAAAGCGACGTTGCCAATTTTTAAAAGATAAGGGTAACAAACGAGCACACAGTCCATCCGATGGTATGGTTGCTGTGACCCATAGATATCTATATCTATCCTCGATTACAAATCAAAACACAGATGTGTTGTCACCCATGAGGACTAAGATGAAATGCCTCATTTCCAGTAAAAAGGGTCTCCGATTCTCTACGTTGACCATATAAAACACACCAGCATTAAGCTGCTATTTTACAATGGTATTCTGTGAGAGCGTGGTGGACCCCGGTCGAGTCGACCCATTCGTGCTACAACTATACCACTAATATAGCTGCAGCATATCTCTACCACGTAAAACGCATTTCCACATTTTATCGTAAACTTGAATGTTGCCTTGCCTAAAGGGTTTTTTTCTTAATTACATAATATATTTATTTTCTTTGATAATTTAACTTTTATAGTTTTGATTTCTGAACAAAATTAACTATTTTGAAATACTTTTGAGTACTAGTAACAATCAAGTTTACACATGACAGTATTAAACATGAAATCCACTACCCCATATCAACCCCAGGGTGTCGTAAGTGGCAACTGACGGAAATAAAACAGCAGGTAGGCAGCATCTTCCTGATATCCACCTGTTAGACAATCCATAGGGGAGGTCTATATTCAGTTGTGGACTCTTGATAGGCTGTAATGAATAAACTGGTGCTCCAAGTGAACAAAGTGTGAGGTTTTATTGTAAGGAGAAAATTCAACCTTACACTGCTAAACCAAACATTAGGGTGTATCTTGCAAGCTTGCACAAAGTGTATGTCAAAACGGACAACAATGTTATCATCATCACTGAGGCCATTATAGCTCCAATGCTGTACAGAGATCCCGAGAGATTCACCTGCATCTATCAAGACATTGAGGTATACATAAGATTGTCCACCACATTAACAAACAAATACTTTAAATCCTACCATCTGATAATGGTTCTTCACATAGTTCCTCTTTGTTTAAACTGTCTGGGATCTCTAAGTATTCCACTTCACTAAACTTCACTTCTTCTTCTTCCTCTTCTAAATTTTTCTCCACTTTCACTGTAGTATGAAGAAATACTGGAATAAAAAATTAAAAGAAATATTATTGTATGTGTACACTTAAGATGTTGTGGCTGGTAATATAAATAAAATATGCTGCTTGAGGTAAAACTGCTAATAGCTGATAATGAACACACAAACGCACTGTGTGGCGATGCCATGTGAACTGACTCGATGAACAATGCAACAAGTTTATGAGGCAGAAATGCTGATCGAGCGATATGTGTGGGTGCACCAATTATTTATTTATTCTTGTTTTGAGTACAAATCCTGTATTTTAAAATTCACAAACACCCTAACTTATAATTGTTGATTTTAAATCGAGTTTTAACTATCTAATATATAAAAATTAATGTTTCTTTGATCGCATTTTATGCACTGCCATATCGTTCATCAGATTTTACTAAAACTTTGTCAACCTACTTGCTTGCACTTGTGTGAAGGTTATAGGCATAGTACAATTAACTGACAGGAAGTGGTGCACGTATAGCACTGACAAATTTATTTAAAAGTCATGTATCATTCTATTTCAATGATTGTATTATCATATCTAATTAAAACAATATAACTCTTTCAAATTTAAAACACTATTTCCACAAATATTTCTACTGGGGCAGCAATGCGCCATGTACCAGCTAGTATGTTTAAATGATAATACTTAATTTGGGGTATGTTTAAACAATGCAACACACATTTTTTATTGAAAACCAGATAATTCCTTGGGATCCACCAGCCTTCTTACAAGTTTTTTTTTTTTTTTTATAGAATAGGGGGCAAACGAGCATGCGGCTCACCTGATGGTAAGTGACTACCGCCGCCCATGAACAACCGCAACACCAGGGGAATTGCAGATGCGTTGCCGGCCTTTTAGAAAGGTGTAAGCTCTTTTCTTGAAGGTTCCTAAGTCGTATCGGTTCGGAAAATTCGCTGGTGGTAATTGATTTCACAAAGAAGTTGTGCGAGGGAGAAAACTTCTTCTAAATCGCACAGTGGTGGACCGCCAATCATCCAGATGGTATGGATGGTAACGCGAGTTTTGTCGCGATGTACGATAGTGAAACTGAGCGGCTGGAATTAGTCCGAACAATTCCTCAGAGCACTCCCCGTGATAGATGCGATAAAATACGCAAAGAGATGCAACATCTCTACGCAGTGCCAGTGTATCGAGCCGATCGGAAAGAACTCGGTCGTCGACGATTCGAATCGCTCTGCGCTGGATGCGGTCAAGTGGAAGGAGCTGGCACTGGGGTGCCCCGGCCCAGAGATGAGAACAGTATTCCATGTGGGGCCGAACTTGCGCTTTGTAAAGTTGCAAGCGATGTGCCGGCGTGAAATACTGTCTCGCTCTGCTGAGCACGCCAAGCTTTTTAGAGGCCAATTTGGCCTACCCTTCCAAGTGACCACGAAACTGCACGCTATTCGATATGTCGACGCCAAGGATTCCGATACAGGCTGAGGCAGCAAGGGGAGTACCTTGAAACTGAGGAGATACGACAAAGGGGTTCTTTTTAGCGGTAAACTTGTGTCTTCTGGGGATTGAACTGGACTAGATTTAGTCGGCCCCAATCCGAGACTTTGTTAAGCAAAGACTCGACTTCAGACACAAGTTTGTCCCGGTACAAGTGGAACAAGATAAACAATATCTAAATAAAAATAAGATTTCAATGTGTTACTTTAACAGTTTGCAACTGAATTGTTATTAGCACGCTGGTTGCCAAACTGCATATTATTTGTAGATGATCTGTTAAAAATAATAAAACAAAAGCACTTTGTACTTTTTTTGCTGATCATGTGAACCCGCGTTCAAGTCCCGGGTCTGGTATCAGTTATTGGATTCTTCTGGCAAAAATTCTCAGCAGCAGGCTGGAGTTAGGAAGGTGGTAGTGTGATCCCATGGCTATAAAAAATGTAAAGCCAATATCCTGAGCCTGATCTCTCTCCGGTGGTGACTGATTATCCACTACTTGGATCACGAGAGCAAGGGAATAGAGTGCAACTGTGCTTGCAAACACTTATGCACTATAATTCTGTCCTGCACATATGAATAGTCTCACTTGAGGTCCTTATCAGTAACTGAAATTAAGTCTGGAGGACATTATTGGACTAGGGTTTTAATCTGTTTCATTTTTTCTGGTTTCCAAGCCCTGGCACAAATAGGTTTATCATACATTTTGATACATCCAGTTCATAAATGTATAGACTTACTTTCATCTTGATTTTCACGCAGCACCTCTTCGCTCACTAAAACTTCTCTTTTGAAGGCAAGTGCATCACGTAACCGAGAGATGCAAGAGATGCATATCATATCCATGTACTTCATGTTGTCCTCTGGTTGCTGCCACTGTAATATCATGACAAATAATATGTTAACACTGAAGAAGCACAGAGGTAAACAAAGGTGGACTTTTATGGGCAGAGGATGATTTGTTGTTGTTTTGAGCCTCTATTAGCAGCCTCACACTATATTCAGCCTTTATTAAAATATAGCAGTTTCTCACACTTAATTATACAATTATATAATATATATATATATATATATATATATATATATAATTTTCAAATATCCATACAAATAAATAAAATTGAAGTGTTTGTTTGTAATTTTGAAATAACAGCTTTTTACTATATGCATATGAAAGTATATACAGTACTTATACCAAAAACACGATTTTTAACATTTTTGTCTGTCTGTCTGTTTGTTCCGGCTAATCTCTGAAACACCTGGACCGATTTTGACCAGACTTTCACTGGCAGATAGCTGATTTTATAAGAAGTAACTTAGGCTACTTTTCTTTTAGACAAAGAAATAGGGTTCCGCGCAAAAAATTAAACCCATGAAATCCAATCATAATAAATTACACACAGGCAAAGTTACGGGAAACAGCTAGTTATAAATAAGAAGGGGAGAAAAATAGTTGACAAAAATGATTGCATTTAGAAATAATTTATATATAAAAAGAGTTTAATTATTTTTCTATGATTTCTCAAATAAAAATGTATTTTAATTAAAGCCACAGAAAAAACATAAATTTTTGGGAATATTTAATAGGTACCTTTAATAATTTTACACTATTCAAGTGTTGCCATTTACTATCTTCATACTATTTTCGTATACACTTTGTAAGACTACCAACACAACAAACAAACAAAACATTTTTATAGGAAGTTATTATCTATACATATAATAAAAATGTAAATAGCAGACGTCTGTACATTTTATATTTTTGTAATAAAAGTGATTGAGAGATACTAAAAATAGTAAATAGTTATATTATTTTCTGCCCTACTGCGTGTTGACAAACTCATTTGTTCTTTACCGACGAGTACTCTATGTGGTAAAACAAATTTTAAAAGAGCTATTACAAATTCCGTTGGTTTTGGCGAGAATCAAACTTTCTTTTTTGCTTACTATGCAGGCACTGTTTTATAAGTGTTTTTAAGTTTTATATAATGTATCAATTGTGTCAATTAATTTCTTTTATTTTTAGAATTGATGTTAACAGCGCCATCTCTCTTTAAATCTATAGGTACATATAATAAATATAGTGATAACATGTTGTTTCTGTTGCTGTGCATTTGTTGATCAAAGTGCATTGTATAGTATGTTTGTGGCTAAATCATCATGGGGACTGAAAATCATTAAATAAGTATATTTTTATATATTTTAGAATTGTCTGTCTGTGTCCTTCTGAACGCATCACGTTTTGAATAAACATATTTTTTCAAAGAAGTCGAAAATCATAAGGCGTATCCCCGAGTTCATTTTTAATCTTTGTCTTATTAAAATTGGTTAATTCTATCGAAAGTTATGATTATTATTTTGATATCTAGGTTCGAATCTGTTTAAAGGCGCCATAAAATCTGAGAAATAGTAATAAAATGATTTGTATGTAAAAAAACGTTCTATTATAATATATTTATACTTAAAACACAGTAAACAAAAAAAATGTTTTCCTTTAATTAAAAAAGGATGTTTTCTCACAAAGAACGTAATAGATGGTGTTGTACAAATTACAACTTTTTCCGAATTGCGGTCTATTCTGAATATTTCGCCGGTGAATCGTAGTGAGACTCACTGAAGAAATTTGTGCCCATGAGTACGATGAAGTTGAAAGAACCGTGCAGGCTAAAAGCACAAACATCACCAGATACCAGAGAAGAAACACGCCCATCCAAGCTATACAACGAAACTCGATTAAAAGTATCTAAATTGCAACAAAATATCGCAATATTGTTTTTATAGCCAGAATCCCTCTAATACCAAATAACTTTCCTTTCAGTTTTAAGCATGTTCAATTCCCAGTCAGCGTATGTTATGTTATGCAATGACCATAAATAAAGCACAAAGTCAAACTTTACGCGTTCCAGGAGTGGACCTCAGTATTGTTTTGCACATGGCCAACTCTACGAGTATGGTGCTTTATCCCAAGTTAGTACCTAGGCCCCGTAACCTATTTGTGTACGCCCCGGCTAAGTCGCCTTCTAACGTCGTTTACACAGAAGCTCTATCATATTCGACTTAGAACTTAAAAGATAATGATTTATTTTGTTACCACTTATTGGTACAGTAATAATATAAATTGTTTAATATTCTCTTACCTAAACGTCAAATTCTTTATGTAAAACCTATATACGCGGGCTACGCCGCGGGCACAGCTATTAAGAATAACTATACTATCAGTAATAATAAAAATAAAAGTGATATGGTTGAAAATAAATCTCTTACAAAGAACTTCCTGCAATAATACATTATCTCAATCATAGTACTGTGTAACAATTCCATCTACTGTTATAGCAACACTAGCTAAAACAAAATGTCACTATATGTATAGATGTGCCAACTCGGATAAAGCGGCCAAGTGCGAGTCGGACTCGCCCATGAAGGGTTCTGTAGCAGCAAGTAACATAATTTGGCTTAACTTTTCATTGACTCTCGTCGAGTTAGGGGTTGATACGTATTTTTACACAAAAGTTACACTATTATAAGCACATACACAAAGTTACAACATGCGCAAACACGTAATTTTTTAAAAAAATTTTTTGAGAAAAAAGTTATGAAAATCAATTATTCTTTGTTTATATCTAATCCTACCATAAAACTGACGCCATTTTGTAATGTCATTGTCGTCAGTAGGGATGTCGATTCTTTCCAAAAAAGGTCGATTTTTAAATGGATTCAAATCGTAAGCTGATGTATCGATTCACAAAAAATCAGTTTCTAAAGTATCTATATTTTTTTTTTGTTTGCATTTATAATGTAAATATAATTCCATTTTATGAAAAACAAAAAAGATACCATAATAAATGATCTCTTATTGAAATTTGTTTTATTTTAACAGTACCAATTAGGGCAGATAACAAATAAAATAGGTTAGGTTCAACTTATGTCAAAGAACCGAATTGATTGACCCCGACTCCACCTGGTATGAGTCTGTCCTACCCATAGAGTGGTTTTAAAGCGCCGGAGACGTAGCTGTTTCAAAATAGATACAGAAATCCTTCTGAATTAGTCCCCCTATATTTTATGATGAAGGGGATTTTTTTCTCATAAAATGGATTTATATTTACATTATAAATACAAACATGAAAAAATATAGATATTTTAGAATTAGATTTTTTGGGAATCGATACATCAGCTTACAATTTGAATCTATTTAAAAAAATCTTTTTCGGAAAGAATTGACATCCCTATTACCTACTGACAATAACAATAAAAAATTGCGTCAGTTTTATTGTAGGATTAGACATAAACAATGCAAGAATAATTGATTTTCAATAACTTTTTTCTCAAAAATTACGTGCTTCCGCATGTTGTAACTTTGTGTGTGCTTATAATAGTGTAACTTTTCTGTAAAAATACGTATCAACCCCCAACTCGACTGGAGTCAATGGAAAGTCGTACCCATAATTTATTATTTATGACGTATTAAAAAAAAACGACTTACTAGATCTCGTTAAAAAAAACAAAGTTAGAAGTTACATGGAGGGGCGACACACATTTTACCACTTTGGAATTGTCTCTCGCGATAACTATTCAGTTTAGAAAAAAGTGATATAAGAAACCTCATTTTTGAAGACCTATCCATAGATACCCCAAATGTATAGGTTTGATGAAAAAAAATTTTTGAGTTTCAGTTCTAAGTATGGGGAATCCCCAAAATTTATAGTTTTTTATTATTTTTGTGTGAAAATCTTAATGCGGTTGACAGAATACATCTACTTACCAAGTTTCAACAGCATAGTTCTTATAGTTTCAGAAAGAAATGGCTGTGACATATGGATGGACAGAGTTTCCGTTTTTTGCCATATGGCTACAGAACCCTAAAATGACCACACGAGTTGAAATTCACGCAACTCGAGTTTAAACTCGAGTTACACAATTCGAGTTAGCAGTACTAAACACAGTAAATTATTTGCTACAAATTACTTTTTTATATATTTGTTTTTCTATCTAGCTCTTTGGTAGGTTGGGATAACTATAATTACCAAACTTATTATGTTGGATTGACATGAAAAAGTATATATAGTAGCACATATTTATGTATTTTTGGTTTTAATCTTAGTTAGAGTACCTTAATTTGACAACAAAACTAGCTATATAGCAATCTTCATGAAACAATATTAGCCTAGCTTCAAGATTAGATTAGATTTTTTTAAAACTAAATATAATAAAATATTTTTAAATGAATTTCATGTATCTTACAACGTAACTAACCTTTTTGGGTATTACACTAATAGGTCTGTGACTTACATAACTATATTGATCATAACTAATCAAAATTATAAAATAAATTAAATCACATAACTTAGTTATTATACAATTCTAAATAACAATTTATTGTGGTTGTAGCTAAATACACTTTGATACACAAAGCGAGCACACAACGAGCGAAGTGCGCGCTCACTTAATCTGTTCATGTACAGCAGCCCAAACTCGAGTTAGGAAGATCTAACTCGAGTTAACTTGAGTTAGCTGCAACTCTAGTTAACTCAAGTTGACCCATCACTAACTATATGGCACAATTGCAATGAAGGCATGCCAGAAATATATATTTATAGCATGCAAATATATTATAGAGATACAATAATCTAAAAACTCAATTATGTAGGTAGGTACATTATGTTGAGAATTTAGCTAACATCAAACAACCACAGGACGCATAACTTTTTCCAAATGACAAGATATAACCTAAAAAGGTTCAAATCTGAATATCTTTTTTAGACGCCTTCTCAGGAGAAATTTCGTTAACAAAGTTACTCAGGGACTGACGCTTAACATTTAGTTATTTTTGATATATAGACGCTACCATTTCTTCTCACGTAATTTTATGTATGAGTCTGCCATTGTTCTTTATGGTTATGATAAGATTTCTAATAGAAAAACTGGTACTTAGCAAATGAATGAATAATCTATTATCTTTACCTAAAGCCCATAAAAAAGCGAAACAATTTAAACGAGCGATTTTACTCACTGATAGACCAAAACATTCTGTCAACATCATTCCGTAAATTTCGGTTTCTCCTTCATATATGTACGGCGTCCACATATTTTTTAAATCTCCTTCATTAAGGCAACATTTACATCTTCCTATGATGATCACCATTGCACCATCACCGTCTAACGAATCCATAATTATTAGTTAGTTAATATTTTTGTAAAAATAAACAATCAAGAAATAATCTTTAACATCTACAAGCATCTACACGACATTAAGCCATAGAGAATAGAGAAAAAGTCGATAAAGTCAGTCAATCCTCTATCTACGAGTCAGTGCATCTAGCAAAGACAAGGATTGTCCATTTTTGACGTTTATAGCCTTTTTAGTCTATGATCTGTTTGATGTCTTAGCCATAACTATTTAAGATTCCCCTATTAAGTCATGCAAAAGTCATAGACCATACAGTCTAATACTATTAGCATCTTATAAATTCATATTTTAGAATATGCCATAGACTTAGAAAATACTGGCGTATAGACCAACATAGTGTGCAAGGGAGAGGAAAATTCCTTATGGCAAAAATGCAAAATAGAAAAGGATACCAAGTCTCATGACTCTGTAACCGATTTTAAATGACAGATCGGCGCAATTCGGCACGCAAGTAATAGCTTCTAGATACTTTGTAAATTTTTAAAGTGTTAATAGTAAGTAAGTAAAGTGATTTTTTTAGTAAGTAACTTTTTTCCATAATGCTTGCTCGTTCAGTGAGTGATTGTGGTGTTAAAAATAGAAATAATCCTGATAATTGTACATTTCACAGGTAAATAAATACATTTTATACCAAAATTTTTACATGTACGGTAGGGATTGACTTAACTATATAAAAATTAACGTCGATATTTATCTTGAATGTTTATAATGAATCGATAGACTTGCCTATACAACAAGAAAATAAATCATCGGCTTGCGTTCTAAACTGTAATTTTATTTTGCCGTTTGTCAAACAGATTCCCTACGGATTCTATAATTAGAAAAAATGGTTAAGGTTCATTGGACGGGTTGGTTGTAATGCAAAGAGGAACTCAACAATTTACAACAAACCTTTTTGTTGAGAAGTATAAAAGAAAAAGTAGAATAAAAACAATTTTATTAAAAGAAGTTATAATGTAGAAATAACTACTATATATATATATATATAGGTTGAAATTTAGAAGGAGGGGGCAGGAGTGAGGGGAGGGGAGGGGGTGAGCGTCCCCTTACTCCCGATACCACTCCCATTAAAAGGTAATACACTGTTCTTGAGAAAAATCAAAAAGAATATCTCATAGACCTAACCTCAAAATGATAACATTTATCGTCTCTGGCACGAGGGGAGAAGAGGGCAGCAGAAGTGTGCCCTATCAGGGAAAGCCCCTTTACGCTTTCCTCTTTCCAGAAAAGTATAGTTTATGATTGATGGTTATTTTTTAAATCATTACCTCACTTTTTTTTTTACACAGGAACCCAGTTACTTCTACAACGGCTTCGGCGCAGCAAGGAATACAGACTCCTCGCCCTTACGTAGCGTAACCTTGCATTCCGCGCCTACGGCTTTACAAAAACACTCTAGGAGTAGGGCAGACAAGACTACGTGGAGTCGGGGCGTGCTAATTCAATTTTAGTACAGATTCGATCAGATCAGATATCTTATCTATAAAGCCTTTTGCCTTCGCTCCCGCCATATACTTCTAACCTATTAGAACTGAAACTATATCTGGATGTTCAAGTATTTCTGAGCATTTTTAAACAATTCTGAAATAAAACAGTACAATATTATAATCATTTCTTATTTGACACTTGACAGAGAGTATAGACAGTAGAATAATGTGATATTAGTCTTACGTCCTTGTCGCACTTACACAACCTCTTGCTTCCTGGCCCTACCCGGCATAGGTATGGGATCGTTTGCATATAGATATTTATTCGTTATAAGGTAGTCGACTTCTAAGTGGGTAGAATGCTACCAACTTACTAGTACCAATAGTGAGGCAATTATTACTAAGCTATGGGAGATATTTAGTCAGTTTGGATTAGTAAAAACCTTAGTATCGGATAGTGCTACAAATTTTTGTTCTGATGAAATAAATAATTTTTTTTGTTTCTAATGGAATACAACATTTGAGTATCGCGCCTTATCACCCCCAATCAAATGGGCAAGGTGAAAATAGCGTTAAAACTGTAAAAAGAGGAATCAAATTAATTATAGAGGAAAATGTATTAAATAATCAAATTATTTCAAAAAAAAATTAATACATTTTATTTGATTATAGGAACAGTCGGCATTGCACTACCGGGTTTTCTCCAGCTCAGTTAATGTTAGGGCGCTCCTTGCGGTATCGGCTCGACCTGTTATCAGTCACTACTGAATCGTTACCGCTGTCATCGACATCCGCCGTTAAAAAAATGTTTTGTCTCTACAGATCTCTCAATGTAAGAAGTATGAGGGTCGTCGTACAACTTCTTTTGCTATTGACGATAAAGTATTAGTTAAGTGTTTTTATAATAATGGTTCCAAGCATGTGTGGAAACTTGGAAGAATAGTTAAGAAAGTTGGTTCTAGAATGTATGTGGTAAAAATTGAAAAACCATGTAAAAGTTTAAAAAACATATTGATCATTTAATAGCTTATGAAGGAAATTGTATATTACAAGATGACTTAAATACGGATATTTCTTATACCGATAATAACGTCATTGATTATTATACACCTACTGGAACTGTTCGGGATACAGCAAAAGAACAAAATGTTCAAAATACCTTACAATGTACTCATTCTATGAACGATTCCTTAAGTAGCGGTCCATTGTCCATGAGAATTTGAACTAGGGGAGGAGAGGATCGTTAGCGTTGAGCCGAGTGATACGGTTAGTGCGGCTGATAATGTCTTCACAGACTCAGCTCTTCCATAATCTGTTTCTGTACAGGCCATGCCCAACCAGGCTGTCACAGAGCATTCAAGGGGTGTCCGTTCTTCTAGAAATAAGAATCCTATTTATAAAGTTTAGTTTACATTATATTATATAATTCTTTACTATTGGCGGAGGGAACTGTGATGTATTTAAAGAGCGATAATATAATAATATAAACGGGTAGGGAAAGAATTGTTAGTCTGCATTGAGCGATTAAACTGCCTTCTACGTAATCCGTATTTTATTGTAAATTTATTTCTAAACAGTACAAGGTTATAATAGTTTTTATTTATTTATTCGATAACAGTGCATTACCTTTTAATGTAAGTGGTATTATTATAATCGTGGACCAAACCTCTATCAAATAAAATACCTTACTTCCCCAAATTCCTACCAAACGATTCTAAATCCAAGCCTAGATAAATATAGACAGATTTTCATACATTATAAAACTGTAGTACATTAAAGATAAAAAAATCTTGAGGTTATCCTCTTTAAGCCATTATGAACCTATTCTAGATGTTTCTACAGTGTATTATATTGTGCCGAGGGCTTAAATAGCTTGGTTTAAATCGCCTACAGCGTTAGTCGTAGAGAAGAGGAACTCGGATTTAAGTTATAGCTGCGCAGATCAATAGATTAAGTTGCACTTGCCGCGGTCAGTCCATGAATGAGTGACCATTTTCTTAACATACCGAGATTGAGAGAATAGAGAGTGCATCTGTATCCTCAGACACTTAGTCCACTTTACTGTGTTAAAATCATTATATTTTTAAAATTCATGCAGCTAAAATGATAATAACTTTATTATTACTTTTTACTTTTCAGGGATAGATGAAAGAATATAAACATGAAGCATGATGAAGCCTTATAAACATATTGGCCTTTAAACAGAAATCTTATCTAACTGATTCCTACAAGTTTCCTTACTTCAATCATTAAGTAACAATTCATATTTAAGTCAAATGTTAAAGCAAATTTTTATAATGTATTTAATTATTAAATGTTTGCAATTATTAAAAGTAATAGTTATATGAAAAATAAAGCAGTCGTTATGTACTCCGTGTCCCCGTTTTTTATTTCAACAGCAAAACATTTTATAAAATATATAACGTTTGAATACGTATATACTTAATTAAGTATCTACTTATTTATAGTTGATTAACCTTATGTTAAAAAATAAATTCCGAGGAAAATGTCCATGGCAGTAAAATTGTATTTACGAGCTTAGACCTTTGGAGAAACCAATTAAATGAAACCAAGTAAACATTTAACGTAAATACAACTTTCCGATCTGATTATTGGGGAGTGTTTTAAGTTTATCGGTAAAGTCACCTGGGATTTTATACATTTTAATTGAAATCCAACAAAAGGCAGGTAGGTTCAGCTTATTCCATTACATGTTATATGAATACTTTTTAATTATTTCAGAACTGTCATGGTAAAATTCATTTAATTTTTGAAGTTATTCAACGTCATGCACTAAACACTTTTTTTTTAATCTTTTTAACGCTTCCTTAACAATCATTTTCGTTAGTCCTTGTAAGTAAAATATACATCACTGGCTAACGCACACAATAACAAATCAAAATTGGTCACGCGTTTTCGGGCTGTCAGGTGGTCTATACGCCAGTATATTCTAAGTCTATGATTCCCCTTAAAAAAAGCTCTCATTACAAAATTTCCTCACCTCCTTGGTGGGATGCAGAGTGCTCTTCTATTGTTAAAAAAACGCAAAAATGCCGAACAACAGTACTTTGTAAATATGTCCATGGAAAACTTTATAAAATACTAGCTAGCCAGGCAGACGTTGTTCTGCCATCTCCGACGATCCTGTGTCCTATAAAAATTCTTAAATCTATACAAATAAATAAAATTGAAGTGTCTGTTTGTAATGTCAAAATAACAATTTTTTACTAAATGCATATGAAATTATATACGGTACTTATAATAAAAATACAAATTTCAAAGTTTTTGTCTGTTTGTTTGTTCCGGCTAATTTCAGAAACGGCTGGACCGATTTCGATGGAACTTTCAGTGGCAGATAGCTGATGTTATAAGGAGTAACTTAGGCTACTTACAAAGACATTTAAGTAGAAGTAGTAATAGACCGGACATTAGTAGCAAAATAGTCGTCTGTAACTTATGTCCTATAGCTTAGAGTAATTATTAGCCTAATACTTCTATGTTCTATAGGATATATCTCAGATTTTTGTCATTTAGTCTTAGTGACATCGTAAAAAAGTCAAGTCGCATTCTTTTCATATATTTAAAAAATATTTTTAAAGAAAATATCCCCGGTTGTGCATTAAGATATTTTAAGTCACGATATGGAGCAAGAAATGAACGTGATTTTGGTTTGTTATCGTAAGTATAACGTATATTTACCGAATAATCTTTAAATTTTATTATTTGTAGTAGATAGTTCCAGAACATTTATTTTTATTGTAATAAGCGCCCTCTGTTATCCAGTAAACTTCACTATTTAGATACCAATTTTAATTATAAAACAATCATGTATATTTCCTATTATTATATCGAAAAGCATTTCAAACTTAGTAATCTTCAACAACATTATCGATACTTTGATATCGAAACGGTAACATTCCTAAAACGAGGTTATATTTATTAGCGTCACCTCCTGGGGAATAGCTAATATGTTGTCTTAATAAATGCTTAGCGTTGTTTTGCTATTTTTAGCTAGAGGGTGCCACACGCGCACTAGCTCAAAGTTTTTGTATATAAATGTTACGGACGGCGAAGTGAGCCGCCGCCCCGTCGCCCCTTCATACCCCGTTGCGCCACGCGCTCCCCGCACACCGGCAGCAGATCACGCTATCTTGCGAGATATAAGAAGGGCGTTTTGGTCTGTGAGCGGTTCATTTCGGAAGCGGCACTCGGAGACAACAGCAAGAGAAGAAGTATGAAGAGAAATCAAGAGATACTCCATTGAAGAATGAAGACTCCCTTCTCTGTATATAGTTTATTAGTGCCGCATTTGTAAATATTTGAATACAGTATAGTTTACAGTACCATCTTTCCTTTAAGCAGTCCCTAGCGTAGTACTTAGTTAGTCAACCAGTTTTATACATTAAATTCATACAGTCCACTACAGTCCCTAATAATAAATGTTCCCAATGTCCGCTCTATAGTATACCTATATATTTAAATCTCTTTGGCTACTTATATTTTAGAAAAAGAGTTAGGGTTCCGCGCAACATAACTACACCCTAAACTACACGCAGGCGAAGTCGCGAGAAACAGCTAGTTCGTAATTAAAAATATTGAGGGTCACTTATAGGAATGGATAAAAACTATCCTATTTCTTAAATCGGACCAAATTGCACACAGTGTGCAAAATTTCATTGCAATCAGTTTAGTAGTTTATGAATTCATCGCGGACAAACAATGTGACACGTAATTTTTATTAAAATATAAAAACAGCTGCTCAAGCAAAAAAACAACATTCTCGGAGAAGAAGAAAAAAGGATGGCTTTTATTTTGTGAGTCTGTCACTTCGCTCTCCAGCCTCCCTTGTTTGGAAAAACATAAAGCGATTTCGTGGTTATCTCAATGATAGCCAAATAAATAACCCTAACGCCTCACTTTGGATAGACAACTTCTGTAGCAGCTTGTCTCCTCTATGGGTTCCTTCATTAGATGAGATATTCCCAGTGACCTTCTCATCTTTCCTATGATTCTATGAATGATAACTTCTCCGTCACAGAGCTTCAGTTGGTGTTAAACCATCTGAAGGACTCCTCTCAAGGTATCGACGGGATCCCTTACTCTTTTTTAACTCACGTGGGCCCCACATCCAAAAAATATTTAGTAGACATACTTAATTAACTGTGTATATTCAAAAGGAGCATTTCCAGATGACTGGAAAACCCATATTATAATTGCTGTCCTTAAAACTGGAAAAGGCCCCTCTACAGTCACTAGCTACCGTCCAATAGCCATTTCATCCACTCTATCAAATATAATGGAATATAAAAGCACCTCGTCAAAAAGAGTGGCTACTGGAAAATAGATGCATCTTCCTAAAAGCCAGTTTGGTTTTAGAAAGGGGTTGAGTACCTTTGACAGCCTCAGCCTTTTGATTTCCAATGTCAGACTTGCATTTTCTCAAAGCAACTTCCTTGTAGGTGTCTTCTTAAATGTTGGCGCAGCTTATGATAATGTTATACTTCCGCTGCTCAGGCATAAGATGCAGTAGTTGAGCATTCCTGTGAGGATAACGAACTTTGTGTGAAACCTTTATTCAGAAAGGCGTGTTCTAGTGCGTTATAGAGGGTAATTTCATGCCGGAGAGATACATTTGGAAAGGTATTCCACAAGGCTCTGTTCTAAGTCCCCTTCTGTATAACCTATATACCCACAATCTAGATAGATCCGTAAACTGTCTGTCCAACATACGCCAATATGCTGATGATTTGGCTCTCTTTGTTACTGACCATTCTTCACTTGACGCCTCTTCTCGATTATCTCGTGCGGTATATTACCTCCAAGATTGGCTCACAGAACATTGTTCATCTGTCTCCCCCCTCCCCCCCAAAAGTATAATCGTGGTATATTCGAGTACTCACCCCAGAAGTGTCAATCTCTATTGGAGACTCATTGATTCCCAATGTGAGCCATGTGAAATTCCTCGGTGTTATGCTAGATAATAAATTGTCTGGAATTCCCCACTTATCCTACATAGCTTCTAAATGCGAAAACAATCTTAACGTCATTCGCGCTATATCAGGAGCTTGGTGGGGCTCTCACATCCTTACTCGCAAAAGTGCTCAGCGCTTAGTCCTCTCCTTTATTGTATATATACACATGATTTAGAGCTTTCAGTAAACTCTTTCTGTAATGTCCTTCAGTATACAGACGACTTAGCTCTATACATCTCTTTAGACAACTTCGTAGTGGCATGTTCTTGGCTAAACTCATCCATGAACTATTTACAGAAATGGTTAACGCCCGAAATTAATAATGTATCTCGTATCCAAGATCGACCGCAGTCTTGGATTGCGGTGTATCGTTGGATTGGTCTTCAATCCGCGTGCCAATAACTCAACCCGGCAATCCCAATTTTTTTTCGACGACAGATTTCTAGCAATCCGTTCCCTCTTGACCGTTCCTTTTGATGTAAAATATCGATTGCATAAAACTTTATTAAGTGTCTTTTAAAACAAATCATTCACATAACTACTGAAAAAATGTTTCAAAATAATGTTTGTTGTTATAATATTATGCCTAAAAATTTACGGAAATTATAATTTCAGTCTAGTTTTGGTATTAAAACTATGACATTATTTAGTTGAAATGGAACGTGTGACGTAGACGTCTTGCATTTGAATTTGACAAGACATTTTGATTCCGTTGCGAGTGCGAGTTTAGTTATTTCCGTGTAGCAGACTTCAAAAATATTATCTTCTTGTTATATATAAATTAGAAATTATAATATAATGGATTCAGAAATCGTAAGTACATATTGTTTTATCTATTAAGGTTCTAAGTTGCGCGCGCTTTCATAATGACGCTTATCATTCCCGCCTTATTTGTAACGTTGTTGTTAATCATTGTAATTTTCTTTTACTAGGTAAAAGGTAAACCTCTTACAAAAGAAGAGTCAAAGTTTTTGCTTGACCTAATAGAAGGTAGTAAAATAATTACCACCAAAACCACTAACGCCACCAACAACAAACTTAAAACTGAAGAGTGGATTCGTTTGGCAGAGCGATTCAATGCCACAGCCACGAATTTTCCAAGAACACCACAGCAGTTGCGTTTGAAGTGGGAAAATTTAAAGAAGAACTCGCGCAAGCGCAGCACCAAAATAAGGATGAACCAAATTAAGGTTACATACTTTAACACATAATATATATTTTATCCATAGTCTATAACTTCCAATGGAATGTTCTAAAATAATGTTAAATCTAATATTCTTATTGCAGACTGGTGGTGGCCCTGCTGACTATATACCCCCAGATGACATATTAGACCGGGTGACCAGTCTATTAGGAAGTACAGTCAGTGGGTTTACTGTACCGTTTGGGGGTGACAAGGAAATAGCTTGGTTTAATGTTGGTGGTGGTGGTGATGGTGATGGTGAAGGTGGAACAAGTGATAGTGAAAACTTAGGAAATGTGATGGTGCAGACACCACAAATTTTACAGACTTTTACAGACTTAAATGAAACCACAATCTCAACACCATTATGTAATGAAAAAGGTATTGAGAATGTGGTTGCTGATTACCAAGTATTAGAGGTGGTTGACCAAAATTTGATCACTCCGAATAAAACCAAGAGGCTTACATTTAGTACACCTAGAGCAGGTAATGGTTGTTTTTACGATTTTGGATTTATGAATGATAAATGCTTATTTTGATTAGCCCTCACGTTTTGCCCTTCCTCACTCTCTACATTTATGTGATAAAATATTTATTAATTTAACCTTGTTGAAGATTATTTATGTAAGGCTTATTTAATTGCATCTGAGCAAGTCACAGGGAAATTAGACTATGTCAGGCATAATCACTTGCGGAAGATCTTTTATTTATGAGATAAATGATTTATGTTAATAGGTATGATCTCATCAAAGTATCTTAACCACCTTACTGATTTGGGCATAATTGCTTATTTTTCACACTGGTCTCCTAGCTGAGATGACAGGATTTTATGAACACTGACGTCTTTGATAAAGTTAAATTATAAACACAGCCCCATTATACATCTATGATATTATTATATGCTAAATTTTATGAAAACAGAAATGAGTGCACTTATATTGATCTCATATTTGCTTCATATTCCAGTGAAAAAGAAATTGAAGAAAGATGAGAACAGGACTGCGAGGAACTTAGCCATAGCAGAATATTATTCAGCCAAAAAACAATGCTTAGATGCCACATTAAATAATATTAATTTAGAAAATGATAACTTAAAATTAAAAAATTTGGAGCTTAATTTGAATAACGAAAAACTTAAGTTAGAAACTGAGAAATTAAAATTAGAATTAGAGAGGTTAAGAAAGCAGCAATAATGTTTAGTATAGTATAATAATTATAATACTTATTTAGTCTGTAGTTTAGTAGTAGTAAATTTGAATATATAAGTGTAATTGTATAATAAATTTAGGAAACTTGGCATCTAAGTAGGTATTGTTTCCTGGCTATGTATGGCCTTATTAACCCAACCATCAAAGAATTGTTCTTTATATTTTATATTTGTTTTACAGAAGAGGGCCATAAGAGCAATCAATGATTTAAAACCTATTCGCTTTGACAAAAATTTAAGGAAATTAATATATTAACTTTGGCCTCTCAATACATTTATGAAAATGTAATGTACATTCACACGTACATATACATGTATATGCTTTTATAACAAAATCCCAGAAAACATACAAACTTTGATTTGCTCAAAGTTCAAAAACTTTAAACTATGTTTGTATAAAAAGGGTTATTATAAGGAATTTATGGATGATAATAACCCCTGAGGTGATTGTGAGAATCTATTTTTTTTTTTTAAAAACGTTACCCCCACTCTAGGATTTTCTCCTGTATCGTGGAGGCAGTTTACAAACATATATCGCACAGGGACAAACATCCAGACCCGGAACAATTATTTGTAGGCCATACAAATACTTGTTCAGTGCGGGATTCGAACCCGCGGCTCCAAGCGTTGCAACTCATTGCTATGCCACGGAGCCGTCGAATGATTGTTTTGTGTTGTTAATTGTGTAACATATATGATTTTAAGCTGTTATTTTTTTAACTCCCGCTGGGTTTCTTGCTGGTTCTTCTCAGGACAGAGGTTTTTTCCGAACCAGTGGTAATTAAACATTTCAGTAAGTATTATTTATAATCTACATTTAATAAAAAAGTTTCTATTTCTACTGTCTAAATGATATAGTGGTAATGAATAATATTTTAACATTGAATTTAAATGAAATTGCTTAAAATAAAAAATTTTATCACCATCATATGATTGTTTATTTTTATACTATTATTTTGAATAAACTAATTTGACAGATTTTATTGTCTTTAATTTGTACTTGTTTTTAATTCCTAAACTTTCAATAACTTAAAACTATTGGTCCGACCTTAATCAAATTCATATGGGACCACATGAGAAGCACCAACTTTCAAATAAAAAAAGAATCATCGAATCGAATCATCAACTAAGAAAAAGTTTTGGGGTAACACATACAGTCGAATTGAGTACCTCCTCCTTTTAAAAAGTTTGTAGAAAATAATTTTATATGCATACAGTGAATATAATAGTAATTTGTATGTGGTAGAGCCATGCTGCAGTTATATTAATAGTATAGTTGTAGAACGAATGGGTCGGCTCGGCCAGGGAAGGACCACGCTCTCACAGAATACCAGCTTAACACTGCTGTTTCGTATGGTGACTGTAGGGAACTGGCGACCCTTTTTACTGAAAAGGGGCATTCCATCTTGGTCCTCACGGGTGACAACGCATCTGCATTTTGATTCTTTATTGAGGATAGATATGGGTGTCTGGGTCACAGTAACTGCTTACAATCAGGTGGATCGTGTGCTCGTTTGTCACCATATCATGAAAAAATCATTTTTTAAAAACGAATACCTACCGGCGTAAGTCAAACTTACTAATGACTATTTTCATTAATACTTCAACTGAGTTACTTATAGCAGATGTTTATTACAGTATTATTTGTTGACACCTATACTTTAATAATGCAAATGCATACAATTATAAGGTCTAAGTTATTTTTGACCAGCTTTTAGCAATATTTTTATTGATTTGTGTCAGTTTTTAGAATATTTGTGTTAATGCAATAATCATTAAAGTAAGTAAAATATTCTTATATTTATTTATTGCATTCCCTATTACAAAAGAATTAATGCCATTAGGCATTCTCTACTAGTCAACCCATAGTTCTATTTTCTGTGAAGTAATGTAGTGTTTTTATGAAGTAATTATAAAAATGTTATTATAAAAATAATTACTTTTCTATTATTAATCTTTTCAAATAAAAATATTAATTATGAAACAGGACAGGAATTGGATTTAGGTACTTGTTCTTTTTTTGTTTTATTTTTTCTTAAGATTAAAACTGATAATTGATTCACTGTTGAGAGCCTTCCCTCAAATTTGGAAATAAAGTTTAACTTAGGTTTAAAATTTGTATGTAATAAAGCAAACATTGATTTGAAAAGTATTTATTTATCTAAAAAAATTATTTACAAGTGCTGCTCTTTCACTGACATCTTGAACTTCCGAAAAGTACATATCTTCATTTATTTCCACTATTGGCAGCTCCACTTCTGAAGGAACTTCCTCTAAGTTGTGGTTCCTACAAATATTATGCAACACTGCGGTAGCAATTATTATTGCCTGAACCTTAGGCAATGATAAACGCAGTGTTAATGCCACAACAGGGAAGCGACGCTTCCAGACACCAAACGTTCTGAGAAAAAGATAAATGTATATTAGAATTGACCTTTTTAAATGGGTTACAGAACATTAAAAGCTCAATGACTACGAGTAGACTATCCTCATATGGACCACCTCATCCATAATATAAACTATTAAATAAAAAAGCATCATTAAAGTAATTTCTCAATTGATTAAGATATACGGGTGTATTCATAATCATTTTTAAACAGTTCATTAGTTAAAAAGTGTTTTGTCACTTTCTAGCAACAAGTATCTCGCAAATGTCAGAATGAGACAAAACACTTTTTAACTAATGAACTGTTTAAAAATGATTATGAATACACCCGATAATATATATATATATATATATATATATATATATATATATATATATATATGACAATTTATAGTAGAATTGAGAACCTCCTGTTTCCTGCCAAAAATAAAATACCTAATATTTGTAAGATCTAAACAAAATAGCTACCTTTCAATAATATTCCTAGTCTTTATGTGTGCTTCATTATAGCGCTGTTCAGCTTCAGTAACAGGATTTATAAGAGGTGTTAGTAAATATGGCCTGTTTGGGTAAGCACTGTCACCAAGCATCCAACGGTTACCAAACAGACCTGCATCACATTGAGCTGTAAATAAAGATATTTAATTAAGTACATTTTGATAACATTAAAATATAACAAAAGCAAATAAAACTATTAAACCAGTCAGAAACCTCTGAGAATTGAGTTGTTAAATATTGTGGCATCATGTGTCGAGCCTGGCCAACGGGCAATCACATTCATGAATTTTAAATCAGCATCACAGATTGCCTGGACATTTAAGGAAAAGTAACCTTTACGATTCCTAAACTCTTCACCAATTACATGACCTAGAAGAAATCATAGTTAATGTATCTTTTTATATAGAATAAGTGTCAAACAAGTATGCAGTTCACCTGATGGTAAGAAAATGCTGTTGCCCACAGACCTACATCTGCTCTCCATTTAAAATTAAAATGTAGATGCATTGTCACGCCTGAGGACTAACACAAAATGCCTTGTTATCACATTTTATATACATAGCATATTTAACAATGGTATTCTGTTTCTGTGAGTGCAGTTCTTCCCCTTTTGAGCCAACCTTCCTAACACATGTCTAATATAGAAGAATAGTGTATGTTCTATTTATATATGATATTTATGAAGAGAAAATATACAATTTTAGTCTGTATAATATTAGGAAATACTCACATGGCGATTGGATTCGTATATGAGTGCAATCAATTGCAGCTAAAACTCTAGGAAATCCTGCAATATGGTAGAATTTTTCAGCACTTTGTTGGTGTATTACAACGTATTCATCATATAAGTTCGCAATTGCTGATGATATATCACGAACTATTCTCCCTGCTGTGGATATTGATACTCCAACAAAGTCCGCTACAGAAATTAACATCGTGCCTAACGCATAAAATCGTAATGTCAATAAAAGTTGATGAAGTGGCGAAACCCCATTGTTCCTGAAATTTTAAAACCATTAATTACTAAATAAAGTAAGGTTAAGTACTATCTTTTGAAAGTAAAATTTTTTTTTTAATGTAATGTTTTACATTATCTCGAAAATTATTTACCTTGTGGAGGTTACACGAATAAACGGCATCAATTTTATTAATAGCGAATTGAAAGCAGGTTTGGATAACCTAAACCTAAACATGAACTCGGCATCATCCAGACTCTGCATGTAGTTCAACCTTCTAATTTTTCGTGAAGAAGCGCGGTGTCTATCTTCAGATTCGCTATCAGTATCCCAATCGGATAATTGAGCCAGCACCTCCAAATCACTGTCATCACTATCACTGTAAAATATCGATATTTCCATTTTCTTATTTTAATAAAAATAACGCTGTGACGAAATCTCCGGTATTTCTTGGATTGCAATCCCGATCGTTTCCAGCGATCAAAACGAAATGTCAAAATCGACAGATAGGTTATTAACACGCGCAAACTGTCATTTTCGAACAGAGGCCAATCGTTTTTCTGTGATCCGCCCTCTGTAAGATAGATTGATTTTTAAGATAGCAAACTCAATGCATAGATTGTTTATTGGCACGCTTAACCCACAAAATAGATTAAAATATCAATCTTAGATAGCTAAAATTGGATCAGGATTGATTATTAATTTCGGGCGTAAGTAATCAAGGCCTTTCCTTATCTGTGGCCAAAATCAAAGTGGTGATCTTTTCCCGTGAAAGGCGAGTTCCCGATATATCTGTTGTATATGATAATCAACCTATTCCAGTTAGAGGCTATGTTAAATTTTTGGGAGTTATCCTAGATTCGAAATTGGCCTTCGGTCATCACGTTGAATATATGTCACAAAAATGGGAAAAAAATATAAATATTCTTCGGTCTTTGTCTAGGGTCCCATACCATTTTCCCAGAAATTACTGTACAATGCTTTAATATGAAGTCACCTTGACTATGGATGTTTTCTCTTGGAGCATTGCAATAAATCATGCCTGAGAGTAATGGACAAAATTCAATCGAAATGTCTTCCAATTATTACAGCGGCAATGAAATCCTCACCAATAAATTTTCTTCAGGTTGAGTGCGTAGATCCTCCATTACGATTTAGAAGGCAATACTTTTCAGACAGATTCTTATTTACGATCTTATTTTAATTATCTTTTAACACATACAAGTACTCCTTTTGTGTGTATTTTATGTGATTTTATTAATACTAATAATATGAAACTTTAAATCCTTGTCACATTTAACATACTAATATGATTCTAATACGTGTGATTGTCATTTGGTCTAGGTAATTCAACAGATATATTTATCAAAGTTCTAGGAAGTAAACTAAAAGACTCGTTATTTTAATTTAAACCCTTATGGACTTAATTTAAAATAACTTTCATCTTTCATCTAATAAGTCAATGGCGAATTTTACCAAACCGCCACAAAAAAGAAAAGAAAAGAAATCCTTGTGTTCGAGGAGGAGAAAAAAAAAACAATAGTTTCAGACCAGCAACGATTAGTATTATTAAAGTAACTTTATTTTGTACCACATTGCATTTTAACGATGATGTGGAACCTCTACTGGAGAGAATTGGGGCCTTCAGCTCACGTAGCGGCACGTAGCTCGAGCGAAGCGAGAGCAAGTGACGCAGAAGCCCCAATTCTATCCTACTAGTAATTAATTGTACTGCCGCATAATTGTTGTATAAAGTCAATAAATTGTGTTAATTTTTCCCATCTTTCTTTATACAGACCTCTTAGTACTCGGTTCAATAGTCAAGTCAATTTATTAAAGTAAAAGTAAATAAAATAAAAAGAAAGTAATACAGTGTACTTACACACTCTCTACACACTATTTCGACTCCAACCCGAAGCTGTCCCTACTAGCAATGCAGAAAACATAACAAATATACATTTTAAGTACTTAAAATTGATTTTAAAATTTTATGCATCAATCTTCCCCACTTCCCCCTACGTGATATTGTAAATTCATTTCCAGTTGTAAAAACAATTATAATCCTAAAGAGCACCTAACTATTGACGAACAGCTTGTTGCATTTTGAAGACGCTGTGATTTTATCATGTATATGCCCAAAAAACCTTTAAACTTTGGAATAAATAAAAAATGGGGGTAGATGTGAAATCACGTATATTATTTTTAAATTTATGTTGGCGTAGGCCTGGGAAGGGCCTTTTCAAAATTCAAACAGTTCTGGACCTTACACTTCATATGTTGGATCCCGTCTGTGATCTCGGATGTAATATCACTATGGATAACTGGTTTATTAGTATACCGCTAGCCCTAGAGCTGCTGAAACCAAAAACTTATATGTCTACATCACTCAAGTCTAATAAACAAGAAATATCTTAAATTTTTAAAGACCCCCGTCAGAGAAAACAAAAAAGTACTGTTTTTGGATTTCAAAATCCACTCTTATGTCACACATACCAAGCAAAAACAAATCCATGATTTTGTTAACTACACGGCATCATGATCATGCCGTGTAGTGGCGATGTAAGAATATCACCCATATTCGTAATATCATCATCCGTCATAAAATAATAAAGATCTGCTGTTATCAACCCGATTGCTAAGCGTGGCAACTATGGCAATTATCTCCTAGAATATAGGAGAACAGGACAACTGAAGCTAACTAGAAAGCAGAAATAGTAACTTTTTATAACAAAACCAATTGTGGAGTAGACATTGTCGATAACATGTGCTATCAATATAATGTTTCAAAAAACAGTAGACAATGGCCTCTTACTATATTTTTTGAGTTATTGAATCTTACAGGTATACATAGCTTGGTCATTCATCAGGTGAATAGGATGGCTAACATTGAACAAACACTATCACATAGAATTTTCCTGCAGGATCTGAATTTGTGAAACCCGCTATTAACTTTAGAATTAGTGTTCAAAATATCCAACAGGAACTAATAACTAAAGCTCAGATACTTCCAAAACAGCAAGGCATTCAACCAAATCCAGATTAGGATGTCCAGAGAAAAAGTGGTTGATGTGTTTATTGTCCAAGATCACATGACCATTCTGCTTCAAGATTTGATGGGATTTGTCCGGATCATCAATTCCTAGTTTGTTCATATTACCCAGTGTAGTGGCGGCGTAAGAATATCCACTACCCCATATCATTTCATGGGTGTCGTAAGAGGCGACTGCGGGACAAAAATTAGGAGACGATCTTCCTAATAACGACTAAAAATAAAAATAAAACTATGGTTGCCAACCCGCTTGCGAAGCGTGGCAACTATGGCATACATCCACCCTATGAGGCAATCTAGGGGGGAGGCCTATGTTCAGCAGTGGACTTTAGGCTGTAACGATATAAAGGTTAAACTGTTAAACTTAAAAACTGTTAAAAATAATAACAAAAAGAATACGAAAATATCTGCAGACTCAGTAAAACTCATGACTTATTCCTCCTTTTCTTAAAAATTACTTACTTTTGTAGTGACTAATAAATAAATAACAATATTTAAACGCTTTTTATTTTTTATTTATATTAACCTAAAAAGAGATAAACGGTAATGGTACAAAAGTGTTAACGAGGGGGAAGAGGGAAGAGAACCGGGAGATGGGCTGCAGCATCTTCTTAATAACATAAGAAAAAATTACCGTGGTTGTCAACCCGCAAATCAAGCGTGACAACTATAGAAAATATCACGCTATAAGGCAATCTATTGGGGAGGCCTACGATGTAACAGTAACAGATGCAATTATTTACAAATACTCAATTGTAAACACTAAACAAATCTGTCAACACTGATTTATTTAACCGTCTGACTTTTTGCGGTTGGAAAGTTATGATGCAGCTGACAGTGTCGCACTAAGCCGGCTTTAGTTTTAAATCTCTCATTGCACACGTCACAAACAACGTTCCTCTCCTCCAAATGCTTTTCTTGATGGTCCCTCAACTGATACTTCATAAGGAAACTTTTGTCGCACTGTTTGCATTTGTAATTCTTCTCGTTCCCATGCTTTCGTCTCATGTGAGCCGAGTAGTAGGGCATCCAGTCGAATGTCTTTCCGCAGATCTCACAAGTCTTAATCTTGACCATCTCTTTGTGATTATCGAGTACATGCTGATGTCGCTGGAATGGTCGGGAGAATCTTTCCGGACAGTACGAGCACTTGTATTGGTCTTTCTCTGCATGTACGAGGTCAAAATGCTTCTTCATGTACTTCTTCAAATTGTACACCTTACCGCAAACCTCGCAAGGGAACCTCCCAGTATTGTGTACTAACACATGCTTTTTAAGTCTGCTCGCTGATAAGAAAGTATCACCGCATTCAGAGCAAATGTAACTGCTATAATGGGCGTTCATATGTCCATCCAGTATGTTGTAACTTGCAAAGGCTTCTCCACATAAAGCACATTTCAGCTCCCTTGCGAGGATATAAGGTATAACTCTATTGTAGGCCTCATCTAGAGCAACCTCGTGCACATCTTTAAGATGTAGGAGCATATCATTCCACGTCAGCAGGATTGTACAGCAAACTGTACAATGGAGACTGTGTATGTCAATCTTTAACACCTCATTTAGCCACTGTGGTCTCATTATCTGATCTACGGCTTTGGTCCGATCATCGACATGCTTTGTTTTAGTGTGAACCCTCAAATCATCAGCGTCATCAAAAGCCGGTCCATCTGTAGAGCAGTATGCACAGTAGTACCTTGACAATCTTGTTTTGTATGGTATTGCATTTGTGTAAGTGAGTATAGATTTAATTTCCTCTCTGAGTTTGTAGTGTTTTTCTTGGTCTATTATTTTTGATGCATCATCATCATCCGGTTCTGGGAAAGATTAAAAACTCTGTTAGGATTACTTTTGCAATTCATCATTATTTCTTTTATCAATAATAGGTAAGTTAGGTAAATACCCCATATCGAATCGTGGGTGTCGTAAGAGGTGAAACAAGCAAGGATAAGCATCTTACTGATTAAAGCAGTTATAATAAAAAAACTGAGATTGAAAACCCTCTCGCCGAGCGTGGCAGCTATAGCAATATACTCCCTATAACGAAGGGTACAAAGAGATGCTGGATGTCGATGAATGTAAGTAGCTCAAGTCCGTGGTTTAAGGCATTCCTCGGTGGAAGCCTACGTTTAGCAGTAGTCTTGTAATGGGATGTAATGATAATGGTGATGATAAATATTCGTCCCCATTGCACCGTTTACTGACTCAGCGGTCAGCCTCCGCAGTCTATATCAGGGATTCCCAAAGTGGACAAAAACGAAAACTGATTTTGGGGATCGACGAGGTCTAAAAATCGACCCCTATTAATTAACACAAGTTCTTATTTGAAACTTTTAAGATAGTGTATAAATTGTGTTACATGTACGAACTTGTTATAAGACTTGAGTAATATTTTAGTAGGAAGTATCATTGTTGTATTAAAAAGTCAATAAATCGATGAGCATGACAAGTTCGTGCAAGATAATGAGTTCGAGCGTACGAGTCTTAAGGCATAATTAAAATTATATTTTTAATGATTTTTAAAGTTATTTGGCTATGGGGTCTGAGATATCAGTTAATTTTGAAAAAGGGGTCTCTTGTCCAAAATAGTTTGGGAATTCCTTGTCTACATTATGTATCGTTTACAGGCGAAACACGTGTCGTTTTATCTACGACGGTGTGCCTTTCCTAGTGTAGTGGTGTTAGAATTAGTTCTGACGGGGATAGAGCACGAAATTAAGGAAGGGCAAGGGAAGGTGCTAATAAATTTTTAACATTTATAAGATGATGAATATGTCAAAATTACCCATGTGTTAGAAAAATTGTCAGATAGAGTTCCATTGTTCAGATTATGTCTAATGTTGAAGGAAGGAATGTACTTAAACCTTTCCACCGACGCAAATAGACGGGTGTTATAAGTTTGCATCATAGCTCCTGAACGGAACAACCGATTTTGGTTAAGTTTTTTTTTGTTTAAAAGGTGTCTTAATTGAGTGTTCTTTTAGGTATCTTTCAAGAAAATCTGTTGATCTGTTAAAAGATTATCAGCTCTTTTTGTTTCGGGGGTTTCGAAATTTTAAATTAAGTTATTTTTACTTGACTCACCCTCTTTTTTGGCAATAGAATTCTGAAGTCTAAGTCTAGAGTCTAGAGTCTTCTTAGGCACCTTAAACTTCGCTGACGCTTCGCTACGTGACATCTCTTCATTCTGGACAGCATCAATGGCCATTCTCAGTGCCTTTTCAGTATACTGCTTGTATGTTTTGTTTCGGTCTTGCTTTGGCAGTTTCTTCGGCCATTTTCTTTTACGATTTTCTTCTGAAAACTGCAATTGTTCTAGAAACCGTAAAGAACTTTATTATCTTCTTTAACAATGATATTAATAACTAACTGTCCCTCGCGACTTCGTCCGCGTGGAATTTATTACGATTGGATTTCGTGGCTTTTTTGTGCACCGAATCCTAATTCCTTTTCTAAAAGGAAATTAGCATGAGTTACTCCTTATAACTTGTTGTAGCACGAATGGGTCGGCTCGATCGGGGTAGGACTACGCTCTCACAGAATACCAGCGTAAAATGGCTGCTTAACGCTAGAGTGTAGAGTGTAGAGAACCGAAGACCCTTTTTAGTGGAGGCGAGGCATTCCATTTTAGCCCTCTGGAGAGACAACGCATCTGCATTTGATTCGTAATCGAGGATAGATATATATGTCTATGGGCCACAGCAGCCACTTACTATTAGGTGGAATGTGTGCTCGTTTGTCACCCTTATCTTATAAAAAAAAGTTCAATCTTATTTATTTGTATAGATAGTCCTCTAGATCGAATTTAAGTCATGGCGGCGAGTAGTCTTTGAGTTATCCTTAATAATGCGTATTTAATTGACTTCCACTACATTGATGTTTTCATTTCATATACCGGGTGTTAGTGAAACGCTTCCGAAAACGAAGACAGACGATAGTACTAACGATACCTTTGATGATGGGTCAGAAAGAAATTTGTACCGAGGAAAAAAAATCATCTTTTCACAACGTTTTATTAACTTTATTAACCCATTAGTGGCCAAAATCAAATAAAAAACTTTTTTAACGAAAAATGTTTATTTTGTTAATCTAGGCAGAAGTAGCAAACATAAAATGAATAAAAAAAATTTTTTTTTAATTTTTTTTTTATATTTTTTCAGGGGTGTACTTGTTTGAGTACAGCGGTCACTTATGTGTGAAATTTTTCGAAGCATGACTTTTCAAACACTTCTTGCATCGGACCCTTACATGGCAAATTACGCACCGTGATTGCTTTTCAAGCTTCCTTGGGTAGTGGCCTGAACCATCTTGAGGCAATCCTTCGACCAAAGAAGAAGACGGTCTGGCTCTTTTTACGAGTTTCTTGTCGTAAATAGTATCTGGCAAGACTACGTTGGTTCAAAGTAATCATAGTTAGTAGCCATCGTGCAGACACTATTGTCTTTCTATCTAACCAACAATAGTTCATTATTTTTATCGAAGAGGTAATCAAAAGCCGCTCTCTCTTTTTTCTTCATCTCCTTAATCGTTGTCAATGGGCACTTTTTAGTGCGAATCTCACGAACTGCTCCAGTAGCGCAGTATCCCAGATTTCGCAAATCAAACAAAAGATTACAGCTTGTTAATAAGATGTCAAAAATACTTTATGATTTTTTTGGGTCAGTATCTAATTTTGACAAGAGACACTTCACAACTCTGGTTCTCAAAGATTCGTCAGAAGAATAATCTAATATAAATAAAAATCTAAAAATAAAATTTGTAGTAGTACCCTGTGGAACTTGCAGCAACCCAGTTCTTATATCCAAAACGCACTGGTTTGCCTCGTAGAAATTGCTTACTGGGGTGGTGTCTCGAAATATTTTCATGAAATACGCCCCATTGGTTGATTGGTCAACAGTATGTCGGCTAGGGATCTAAGTTTGAACATTTTATTTCTGGAATTTGATGCTTCATCGTTATTCACAAGATGAAGATATCTTTTTATTTCACGAAATTTATTCCTCGACATTGCTCTTCAAACTAGTGCAACTCCGACGTCCTCATCCAGAGACCAATATAATGCTTTCCGAGGCAATTTGTGATATCCCGACAAAATCGAAATACCAATGAACTTTTTTAGGTCTGGTAAATCAAGTTGAAAAGAGTGTCTATTGTTTTGATTAGCGTACAAAACACTATTAGATACTCGTAATATGAGCTGTAATACTTGTTCATCCAGTATTTTTTCAAAAATCTGTACAGGATTTTGGTCTTTCAGCTGTTCCTTTATAGCATTCTGTTTATCTTGCACCTCAGACTTATGCTGATGGCCAAAAGTATAGGATGGTGAACATTTTATCCAGGCTGGAGTTTGCTGCCGCTGCTGAATGTTAGGCTGCCGACGAACTCGTTTTGCGGCCAATGGTTCTTCGTTACTGGAATCATAGTCACTCGACAAAGTACCTTCATCGCGCACCATAACGTCAATATATCCGGGCACATCTCGTGGCAACGTATATGTCACCATATCTTCGTCAGTCACGACAATGGGATCAGGTGGTATTATCGCCAATTCATATTCTTGGTCATCATCACTATCTGCTGTGACTGCTTCAATTGCTTCGTCAAGTCCTATAAAACTATTTGTACCGGAAATCATCTGGCGGCTCATTGTTGGTGAACTGAAACAAAGTTGTATTTTATATCTATTGAAGTGACCAATGTACTCAACTGAGTACATCAGTAAAAATCTTCATCTAAAGTTAGTAATAAACAATAATTGTTTCAAATTTGTAACTGACATTATAGATTACACTATATCTTATTACAATTATTACAAAAAACAGCATTTACACAAATAATAATAATAAAATATAATAAAAATACTACTCACTTGCACGCTAGTCCAGTAACATGAAATCCGGTTGCACCAAATGACACATATTTTAGAAATAACCTCAATTTGCACGACTCAAAAAAAAGATTTATATTATATATTAAGTAAGAAATCGTGTAACCAATTTTCCTTCATTTTAAAAGTATTCGTTACGCTTTTAAAAGCATGAGCATTATCCAATGTTAATCGTGATATGTGATTTGATTGACGGCGCTGATAAGCGGTCATGATTAATTTCCAAGAATAATGTTCATAAAATATAATATACATTACAATTATTATGAAGAATAGCAACAACCTTGTTCTCTTTTGTTTCGGCCATAGCAAACTTTTAATAAGTTGTCAAAATGTGTGTAGTCTACCGTCTATTTAATTTATTAAAATAAAAAATAACATACCCTCACATATTTACTCAATTAATTTATAAACAACTACTCGTTTGATTACAACGTCAGAGAATAGGTTGATGCTCCATCATGTAAGTACAGCTAAATGAAAAGATAATTTCATTAAAAAAATATCATGAAAATACTTCAACATAAAACCAACAATGGAATTACAATCAGCTGACTAGGGGTCAATGTACGCGCGGACGCCGAATTCGCGCGGCCCGCAGCTAGCGATGGTACCACAATACCTAATAATTTACAACACTTATCTAAATACGTAACTTATTTACTTAACCTACTATTTTGCCACTGTGCTTGTCTCCACCTAATCACTTTAATTCGAATTCACAGGTTAAATAAACCAAATACCTGGTTCGATTCCCCGCTAATAAAAAAATTACTTAAATGCTAACAAGGTTAGTCATGCTTTTTTATCCATCATGTAAGTATGTTTATTATTCTGATGTATTCAGTTATGTGCCTATTCAGATGAGTTCAGTACTAAGTTATTGCAAAAAAATTATGTATGAAACAGCTTACTGATCTAAATCCTCCGTGGCCTTATGAGATTCTCCAAGGCACATTAACATGTTGCCGTATTCACGAGCTCTATAAATGTACCTACGCGTTAGGTATTATTAAAACAAAACGAGAAACACAAAACGTAACAACAAGAATTTAATTAACAAGACGATTGAACTGTCGCTCACGCGCATGTAACAGTCAACACGGAACTGTCTCAAAAACTAAAATTAATAATCAATCCCGCCAAAACAAATGCCTCGTATGTCGTAACGTCCTTGAAGCACTGATCACTTCCACATACCGTTAAACCGTTACGATTTTGCCAACATTTATTTTATTTATAAGTTTTGTTATCCTTACGACTAGTCTTCATATGGAATTTAAAAGTTATGGTTGTCATTTTTAATACAATTACACAATCAATTGTACCCTGACGCAACAAGCAGTTCTTTACTACAAAAATTTAAATTAATAAACATACCTCTAATTGGGTACTCAGTACTCACCTACACAATTATAAACACTATTTCATCGTTATCTTTGATTTTGTATAAGAAAATAGAAATGAAAAGGTACTGAATAATTTAATAGTTAAAATCAATTGCAATTATGATCGACGGTTAATTATTGTAAAAAATAATAAAATCAGAATTAATGTAAAAAATAATAATTTTACTTTATATTAATTGACTTTCCGTATTTAATTCGACCAATACTTTGAATTTAAAAAGAAGTACGTCAAAATTATTAAAAATGACTTGCAAGTTTTATAGTGATTTCCGCCTCTAATTCTCATGTCACTGGCAAACAAATCTTAGTAGGTAAATTTCTGTGCAACATGGCAGCGTTGCCAACACCAATTTGTCAAATTCCCCGGAAATTCATGTCAAATACCCCAATTTAAGGACAAAACTTCAACAGATTCCCCACAGTAATTGTGTCCTACTCTATGTCTTCGCGCATGCGCGGGAGTAGTAGTCGCGCATGCGCGAAGACTTTGATTTGATATAAAATAAGATATTAATATAAAAATAATATAAGAATTTAATATAAAATATCTTCATCTAAACAAACATATTTCTAAATAAAATGTAATAATAATTATTTTATGGAATTCAAAAATCTTCAATTTACGCAAAATTTAGTTTGTATGGATTGCACTACAGTTCAGTTGAACATAATCAATGTTCGGAATGGCTTCTCTAGTACGTAGTACATATAACTCAATGTAATTAATCTATCAGAATTAATATAAAAAAGAATACTTTTCCTTTATTTTAATTGACTTTCCGTATTTATTATATATAGGTATTTAATTAAACCAATACTTTAACTTTTTTTAACTTTAAAAAGAAGTACGTCAAAATTATTAAAAATGACTTGCAAGTTTTATAGTGATTTCCGCCTCTAATTCTCATGTCACTGGCAAACAAATCTTAGTAGGTAAATTTCTGTGCAACATGGCAGCGTTGCCAACACCAATTTGTCAAATTCCCCGGAAATTCATGTCAAATACCCCAATTTAAGGACAAAACTTCAACAGATTCCCCACAAATTCCCCTAAGTTTTATTTTAAGAAATGAATCAATTTTCAACTAATTTTATAAGATTTACTTTTTATCTATAATTTATTTTGTTTAAAATTAACAAATGAAGAAATGAAAAGCATTAATGATACACAAAAGATGCCGAAATAAATCCGAAAATTAAATGTGGTCAATGAAGAAAATAAAAAAAGGGAGTCATCTGATGATTCTCAAAATCCCCGTATTTTCCCCCATAATACCAATCCCTATAAAATCCCCAACTAACTTTAATTTTGGGAATTCCTCACATGTTGGTAAAGCTGACATATATAAATTCCACAGCGCGAGGCGACACGAGCCGGCGGTAGCGCGTGTGTGAAAGGGAATTGTAAAGTGAGTAGGCATTGTTTCGCACCGGGCTAGATAAGAGTTCGGCGTCCGCGAGAATATTGAACCTATTGTCAGCTGATTTTATTTTAAGTTTCACTGCTGGTTTTATGTTTAAGTATTTTCATGATTTTTTTTAATGAAATTATCGTTTCATTTAGCTGTACTAACATGATGGAGCGTGAAAAAATTTAATAAAACAATGTGAAAAGATGATTTTTTTCCTCCGGATCGAATTTCTTTCTGACCCATCATCAAAGGTATCGTTAATACTATCGTCTGTCTTCGTTTTCGGAAGCGTTTCACTAACACCCAGTATATTGAAGTCTGTTTTACAAAATTCTTAATTTGACCACTTGTTTTTAAAAACTTACCCTCTTCTTTGTCTTTAATATTGCGGATCTTAGCAGAGATGGTTTTCCTGGGCACTTTAAAAAGCTCAGCCGCTTCTGTATGTGACATTTCATTGTTCTGGACTGCATCATTGGCCATTTGCAGTTCCTCGTCAGTATACTGCTTGTACGTTTTGTTCACCTCTTCCTTTGTGAGCTTTTTTGACCTTTTTCTTGTACGTTCTACTAGCAGAGAGTTATCTGAAAGTTATCTGAACTCAGCAATTGTTCTAGAAACCACATAAATTCTCATATCATCTGTCTTTAACAGCCTGTAGTTGCATGTTTACACTTAAAGTTAACATTATACAACCATATAAACTCTATATAGCATTTTACTATTGTACAACAAAACTATAATTAAATACATTTTGTAGTTTAACAATAGCAAATTTATTTCATTATATTAATTTTTGCACATGATATATATACATCACCTGTATATATATCATGTGCAAAAAAATGTGCCTTTAAAATAAATAAAGCGACGTTGCCAATTTTTAAAAGATAAGGGTGACAAATGAGCACAAAGTCCATCCGATGGACCCATAGATATCTATTACAAATCAAAACACAGATGGAATGCCTCATTTCCAGTAAAAAGGGTCTCCGGTTCTCTACACTGACCACATAAAACACAGCAGCATTAAGCTGCTATTTTACGCTGGTATTCTGTGAGAGTGTGGTGGACCCCGGTCGAGTCGACCCATTCGTGCTACAACTATACCACTAATATAGCTGTAGCATATCTCTACCACGTAAAACGCATTTCCACATTCTATCGTAGACTTGAATTTTGCCTTGCCTAAAGGGTTTTTTTTTTTAATTTCTTGTTGTTATTATTCATGTTGTTACGTTTTGTGTTTCTCGTTTTGTTTTAATAATACCTATCGCGTAGGTACATTTATAGAACTCGTGAATACGGCAACATGTTAATGTGCCTTGGAGAATCTCATAAGGCCACGGAGGATTTAGATCGGTAAGCTGTTTCATACATAATTTTTTTTTTAATAACATAGTACTGAACTCATCTGAATAGGCACATAACTGAATACATCAGAATAATAAACATACCTACACGATGGACAAAAAAGCATGACTCTAATCTTGTTAACCATTTCATTTAAGTAATATTTTCATTAGCGGGGAATGGATCCAGAAATTTGGTTTATGTAACCTGTGAATTCGAATTAAAGCGACTAGGTGGAGACAAGCACAGTGGCAAAATAGTAGATAAGTTAGGTATTTAGACAAGTGTTGTAAATTATTAGGTATTGTGGTATCACCGTTAGCAGCGGACCGCGCGAATTTGGCGTTCGCGCCTACATTGACTCCTAGTCAGATGATTGTAATTCCACTGCTGATTTTATGTTTAAGTATTTTCATTTTTTTTTATGAAATTATCGTTTCATTTAGCTGTACTAGCATGATGGAGCGTAAATAAAGTTAATAAAACGTTGTGAAAAGATGATTTTTTTTCATCCGGATCGAATTTCTTTCAGAGCCATCATCAAAAGTATCGTTAGTACTATCATCTGTCTTCGTTTTCGGAAGCGTTTCACTAACACACAGTATATTGAAAACTGTTTTACAAAATTCTTAATTTTACCACTTATTTTAAAAACTTACCGTCTTCTTTGTCAGTAATATTGCGGATCTTAGCAGAGATAGCTTTCCTGGGCACTTTAAAAAACTCAGCCGCTTCTGTATGTGACATTTCATTGTTCTGGACTGCATCATTGGGCATTTGCAGTTCCTTGTCAGTATACTGCTTGTACATTTTGTTCCCCTCTTCCTTTGTGAGCTTTTTTGACTTTTTTCTTGTATGTTCTACTAGCAGAGAGTTATCTGAACTCAGCAATTGTTCTAGAAACCACAAAAAATATCATATTATCTGCCTTTAACAGCCTGTAGTTGCATTTTTACAATTAAAGTTAACGTTATACAACCATACCAACACTATATAGCATTTTACTATTGTACAACAAAACTATAATTAAATACATTATGTAGTTTAACAATAGGAAATTTATTTCATTACATTAATTTTTGCACATGATATATATACATCACCTGTATATATATCATGTGCAAAAAAATGTGCCTTTAAAATAAATAAAGCGACGTTGCCAATTTTTAAAAGATAAGGGTGACAAATGAGCACAAAGTCCATCCGATGGACCCATAGATATCTATTACAAATCAAAACACAGATGGAATGCCTCATTTCCAGTAAAAAGGGTCTCCGGTTCTCTACACTGACCACATAAAACACAGCAGCATTAAGCTGCTATTTTACGCTGGTATTCTGTGAGAGTGTGGTGGACCCCGGTCGAGTCGACCCATTCGTGCTACAACTATACCACTAATATAGCTGTAGCATATCTCTACCACGTAAAACGCATTTCCACATTCTATCGTAGACTTGAATTTTGCCTTGCCTAAAGGGTTTTTTTTAATTTCTTGTTGTTATTATTCATGTTGTTACGTTTTGTGTTTCTCGTTTTGTTTTAATAATACCTATCGCGTAGGTACATTTATAGAGCTCGTGAATACGGCAACATGTTAATGTGCCTTGGAGAATCTCATAAGGCCACGGAGGATTTAGATCGGTAAGCTGTTTCATACATAATTTTTTTTTAATAACTTAGTACTGAACTCATCTGAATAGGCACATAACTGAATACATCAGAATAATAAACATACCTACACGATGGACAAAAAAGCATGACTCTAATCTTGTTAACCATTTCATTTAAGTAATATTTTCATTAGCGGGGAATGGATCCAGAAATTTGGTTTATTTAACCTGTGAATTCGAATTAATTTAACTTTTATAGTTTTGATTTCTGAACAAAATTAACTATTTTGAAATACTTTTGGCAACTAGTAACAACGCCTTTGGAACTCCTTGCCTGACGACATCAGAAACGCTCCCAATAAGTTTGCTTTTAAAAAGTTGGTGCGTAATCATCTGTTAAAGACAACGCTTCATAGATGAATCATCCATGTCATTTATATTTTAGACGTATATATTTATAGTTATTTATATGTATTATTTGTATATGTATGTTGGTATGAATATATGTATGCTTATGTATGTACGTATATATTTGTATACATGTATAAATAGGATATATTTTTATAGTTTAATTATTGTATATAATAGTAAAATGTATATATAACGTAATTAATTATACATTTCTATTTTCTTTTATTCTATATTGCTACACCTACTTCAAATTCTCACCACTCCATGGGTTGACTGGTAGAGAATGCCACAAGGCATTAAGTCCGCCCTTTGTATTCTTTTAGATTAAGGAATGCAATAAAGAATAAATAAATAAATAATAATCAAGTTTCCACATGACAGTATTAAACATGAAATCCACTACCCCATATCAACCCCAGGGTGTCGTAAGTGGCAACTGACGGAAATAAAACAGCAGGTAGGCAGCATCTTCTTGATATCTACCTTATTAGACAATCCATAGGGTAGGTCTATATTCAGTTGTGGACTCTTGATAGGCTGTAATGAATAAACTGGTGCACCAAGTGAACAAAGTGTGAGGTTTTATTGTAAGGAGAAAATTCAACCTTACACTGCTAAACCAAACATTAGGGTATATCTTGCAAGCTTGCACAAAGTGTATGTCAAAACTGACAACAATGTTATCATCATCACTGAGGCCATTATAGCTCCAATGCTGTACAGACATCCCGAGATATTCAGCTGCATCTATCGAGACATTGAGGTATACATAAGATTGTCCACCACATTAACAAACAAATACTTTAAATCCTACCATCTGATAATTGTTCTTCACATAATTCTTCTTTGTTTAAACTGTCTGGGATCTCTAAGTATTCCACTTCACTAAACTTGACTTCTTCTTCTTCCTCTTCTAAATTTTTCTCCACTTTCACTGTAGTATGAAGAAATACTGGAATAAAAAATTAAAAGAAATATTATTGTATGTGTACACTTAAGATGTTGTGGCTTATAATATAAATAAAATATGCTGCTTGAGGTAAACACTGCTAATAGCTGATAATGAACACACAAACGCGCTGTGTGGCGATGCCATGTGAACTGACTCGATGAACAATGCAACAAGTTTATGAGGCAGAAATGCTGATCGAGCGATATGTGTGGGTGCACCAATTATTTATTTATTCTTGTTTTGAGTACAAATCCTGTATTTTAAAATTCACAAACACCCTAACTTATAATTGTTGATTTTAAATCGAGTTTTAACTATCTAATATATAACAATTAATGTTTCTTTGTTCGCATTTTATGCACTGCCATATCGTTCATCAGATTTTGCTAACACTTTGTCAACTTGCTTGCTTGCACTCGTGTGAAGGTTATAGGCATAGTACAATTAACTTACAGAAAGTGGTGTACATATCGTACTTTATTTGAAAGTCATGTATCATTCTATTTTGATGAATGTATTATTATTTCTAATTAAAACAATATGAACTCTTCCAAATTTAAAACACTATTTCCACAAATATTTCTTCTGGGGCAGCAATGCGCCAGGTACCAGCTAGTGTGTTTAAATAATAATACTTAATTTGGGATATGTTTAAACAATGCAACACACATTTTTTATTGAAAACCAGATAATTCCTTAGGATCCACCAGCCTTGTTACAAGTGGAACAAGATAAACAATACCTAAATAAAAACAAGATTTCAATGTGTTACTTTAACAGTTTGCAATTGAATTGTTATTAGCACACTGGTTGCCAAACTGCATATTATTTGTAGGTGATCTGTTAAAAATAACAAAACAAAAGCACTTTGTACTTATTGTTGCCGATCATGTGATCCCGAGTTCAAGTCCCTGGTCTGGTATCAATTATTGGATTCTTCTGGCAAAAATTCTCAGCAGTAAGCGGGAGTTAGGAAGTTGGTAGTGTGATCCTATGGCTCAAAAAAATGTAAAGCCAATATCCTGAACCTGATCTCTCTCCGGTGGTGACTGATTACCCACTAACTGGATCATGAGCAAGGGCATAGAGTGCAACTGTGTTTGCACACACTAATGCACTATAATTTTGTGCTGCACATATGACTAGTCTCCCTTGAGGCTCTTATCAGTAACTGAAATTCAGTCTGGAGGACATTATTACTTGGGTTTTAATCTGTTTAATTTTTTCTGGTTTCCAAACCCTGGCAGTCACAATGGTTTATCATACATTTTCATACATCCAGTTCATAAATGTATAGCCTTACTTTCATCTTGATTTTCACGCAGCACCTCTTCGCTCACTAAAACTTCTCTTTTGAAGGCAAGTGCATCACGTAACCGAGAGATGCAAGAGATGCATATCATATCCATATACTTCATGTTGTCCTCTGGCTGCTGCCACTGGAATATCATGACAAAAAATATGTTAAAATTGAACAAGCACAGAGGTAAACAAAGGTGGAATTCTATGGGCAGAGGATGATTTGTTGTTGTTTTGAGCCTCTATTGACAGCCTCATACTATATTCAGCCTTTAATAAAATATAGTACTTTCAAGTAGTTAAAAATACTGTTTTCAAACTTCTAATACAGCGGTTCTTAAACTTTTAGTGATTAAGGACCATTTGACCAATTTTTGGCTTACCTTGGACCATCTAAAAGTTTTAGTCATACATAACAGGTATTATAAATTATAGTAAGGTTGATTTTTAACCATTTCGCTGTACCATGCACTACATACATTAGGTCATTGCTATTGTCTTACTATTGTGTCTGAAAACCAGACAATGAAAGTGTTAAGTGTGTTCTATAAACAAAACACACAGAAATGAATGTGACGTCATTACTATGCCTCATTTTAGTGTAAAGTTGATACCTTCATCTCAAAAATGTATTACATTGTTTTTATATTCGAGAGAATTGTATGATGCCTTCAGGGACCACTTTGGGAGCCTTTAGGGACCACAGGTTGAGAACCACAGCTCTATAGCAGGATTGGCAACCTGAGTCTTATGCTTTCCATTTTTCTTGCTGTATGTTTTTTGTGTGTGTTACCTCATTACTTTTTTCTCGGTAAACTGATTTCGATGATTCTTTTTTATTTGAAAGCTGGTTCTTCTCATGTGGTCCCATATAAATTTCATCAAGTTGTGACCAATAGTTTTTGAGTAATTCTTAATAATTTATATTAAAGTCAGTTGTACAAAATTTTAAATAACATAAAATTATTTTGTACAAATTGCAAGTAGGAAAGAGGTAACAAAACATAGTATGTTCTAATTTTAGTGATTTAAATACACAATTCTACTTGTTTCACAATATTTATTTAAATTATTAATATACTAACTATATAAACCAACCGGCGTTGCCTCACGGCATTGTCAGTTTTTATGAGAATAACAAACACAAAAATGAAGCTGAAGTTTCACCATGTGGCAACCATAGCAAGTATAAATTATAAATATTCGTATTTCTTGAACTCTTCAATAGTAATGGAAAAGGTGGTAAATTATACATTTTTCAAATATCCATACAAATAAATAAAATTGAAGTGTTTGTTTGTAATGTTGAAATAACAGCTTTTTACTATATGCATATTGTTACGGCTTACGGCTGCTCCCTTAAAGGTCAAATCCTCAGGGGCCCATTCAGCTGAGTTTCGACGAGCAGACGTAGGTCGGGCCTCCTCCAGGCCAAAGTGGAATTTCTCTAATTATACTAAACTATAAGGGGGAGCGTTCTATACTACGGCCAGTCGACCGGGAGGATATTAGACGGAGCTTACTTACCTATATCCAAGGCGACTGGTCCCTCCGGAGTCGGTCAGGTCGCATGTGGTTGTGTAGTGCAAGGGAAATAAGGTGATGTGATGTGTATCTGGGTGTGACTGATGGTGATTGACCCTAGACCTTGGTCGCTCCAAATTGAGGGAACCTTCCGCGGCGTTGTCCACAGTCACTTTCCTCGTTCGTCACGATGACAGTCAAATAACTCTATCGTACGATTAACTAACTTATAGAAGCCACTAACTCTCGCTGGGTATAAGGTTAACGCACAAAACGCACACGGAGTTTCCGGATCAAAGGTCACTACCGTTTCGAGTAGCAACAGTTATTTCTAGAATATCAAAGGCCGCACTAGCTAATATTGCCGAATGCACTTATGCAGATTCTGAGTCAGACACAATGTGTCCCTGGGAAGCTCTCCAGTAGGAATGCGCGCCACAAATCCTAGACCGTATATTTACTGTCCGCGCCTAATTATTCCGAGTTCCAGACAAAAATGACAGCGTGCTGTTCCAAGCACAGCTGACAGACGACTACTACGCTTGTGCGTTTTACGCACGACCGAATGTGCAAACCGGTATGACAACGAGCTGCGCGCCCTCTCGCGTTATTTCCTGAAATTAGCGTTTGGCGCGAACACATATGAAAGTATATACAGTACTTATACCAAAAACACGATTTTTAACATTTTTGTCTGTCTCTCTATTTGTTCCGGCTAATCTCCGAAACACCTGGACCGATTTTGACCAGACTTTCACTGGCAGATAGCTGGTTTTATAAGAAGTAACTTAGACTACTTTTATTTTAGAAAAAGAATTAGGGTTCCGCGCAAAAAATTAAACCCATGAAATCCAATCATAATAAATTACACACAGGCGAAGTCACGGGAAACAGCTAGTTATAAATAAGAAGGGGAGAAAAATAGTTGACAAAAATGACTGCATTTAGAAATAATTTATTTATAAATAGAGTTTAATAATTTTTCTATGATTTTTCAAATAAAAATGTATTTTAATTAAAGCCACAGTAAAAGCATTAATTTTTGGGGATATTTAATAGGTACCTTTAATCATTTTACACTATTCAAGTGTTGCCATTTACTATCTTCATACTATTTTCATATACACTTTGTAAGACTACCAACACAACAAACAAACAAAACATTTTTATAGGAAGTTATTATCTATACATATAATAAAAATGTAAATAGCAGACGTCTGTACATTTTTTATTTTTGTAATAAAAGTGATTGAGAGATACTAAAAATAGTAATTAAATACATTTCTATGGTTTTTAGAATTGTTTGTCTGTCTGTCTGTTTGTTGACATATCACGTATAAAGTACTAATTTATATCATAAGAATCGTTAAGGAAAATATAAAGTGTATCTTCGGGTTACATTTAGTCTTTATTTCATTAAAATCAGTTCATTCCATCAAAAGTTATAATAAATATTCTGAAGTACGTGTGCGAAGTATAGGTACAAATTTGTTCAATGGTGGCATTGGTTGAGTCATCAAGTGCATTTTAAACTAATATCATATTGTAAATTATAATTAAATGTTGTAACATAATGTTCTATAATGTTATAATTATCTTTAAAATGCAGTAAGCAAAAGTATTAAAGAACATAATAAATATATAGAAAAATATTTTAACCTTATTATCTACATCTAAAGTACAATAGTTAACCAATTTCATCGATAGATGGTGGTGTTGTACAAATGTAATAGAAAAAGATTTTGTTTTGTTTATTTTAATTGTGATTTTTTCCTGTAGATGAGTTTTATATTTGCTGCTAATCTTTATATTATTCGCTGCCCTACTGCGTGTTGACAAACTCATTTGTTCTTTACCGCCGTGTACTCTATATGGTAAAATAAATTTTAAAAGAGCTATTACAAATTCCGTTGGTTTCGGCGAGAATCAAACTTTCTTTTTTGCTTACTATGCAGGCACTATTTTATAAGTGTTTTTAAGTTTTATATAATGTATAAATTGCGTCAATTAATTTCTTTTATTTTTAGAACTGATGTTAACAGCGCCATCTCTCTTTAAATCTATAGGTACATATAATAAATATAGTGATAACATGTTGTTTCTGTTGCTGTGCATTTGTTGATCAAAGTGCATTGTATAGTATGTTTGTGGCTAAATCATCATGGGGACTGAAAATCATTAAATAAGTATATTTTTATATATTTTAGAATTGTCTGTCTGTCGGTCTGTCTGTGTCCTTATAAACGCATCATGTTTTGAATAAACAACTTTTTTCAAAGAAGTCGAAAATCATAAGGCGTATCCCCGAGTTCATTTTTAATCTTTGTCTTATTAAAATTGGTTAATTCTATCGAAAGTTATGATTATTATTTTGATATCTAGGTTCGAATCTGTTTAAAGGCGCCATAAAATCTCAGAAATAGTAATAAAATGATTCGTGTGTAAAAAAACGTTCTATTATAATATATTTATACTTAAAACACAGTAAACAAAAAAAATGTTTTCCTTTAATTAAAAAAGGATGTTTTCTCACAAAGAACGTAATAGATGGCGTTGTACAAATTACAACTTTTTCCGAATTGCGGTCTGTTCTGAATATTTCGCCGGTGAATCGTAGTGAGACTCTCTGAAGAAATTTGTGCCCATGAGTACGATGAAGTTGAAAGAACCGTGCAGGCTAAAAGCACAAACATCACCAGATACCAGAGAAGAAACACGCCCATCCAAGCTATACAACGAAACTCGATTAAAAGTATCAAAATTGCAACAAAATATCGCAATATTGTTTTTATAGCCAGAATCCCTCTAATACCAAATAACTTTCCTTTCAGTTTTAAGCGTGTTCAGTTCCCAGTCAGCGTATGTTATGTTATGCGATGACCATAAATAAAGCGCAAGGTCAAACTTTACGCGTTCCAGGAGTGGACCTTAGTATTGTTTTGCACATGGCTAACTCTACGAGTATGTTGCTTTTTCCCGAGTTAGTACCTAGGCCCCGTATCCTTTTTGTGTACACTCCGGCTAAGTCGCCTTCTAACGTCGTTTACGGAGAAGCTCTATCATAATCGACTTAGAACTTAAAAGATAACGATTTATTTTGTTACCACTTATTGATACAGTAATAATATAAATCGTTTAATATTCTTTTACCTTAACGTCAAATTCTTTATGTAAAACCTATATACGTGGGCTACGCCGCGGGCACAGCTATTAAGAATAACTATACTATCAGTAATAACAAAAATAAAAGTGATATGGTTGAAAATAAATCTCTTACAAAGAACTTCCTGCAATAATACATTATCTCAATCATAGTACTATGTAACAATTCCGTCTACTGTTATAGCAACACTAGCTAAAACAAAATGTCACTATATGTATAGATGTGCCAACTCGGAAAAGGCGGCCAAGTGCGAGTCGGACTCGCCCATGAAGGGTTCTGTAGCAGCAAGTAACATAATTTGGCTTAGCTTTTCATTGACTTCCGTCGAGTTGGGGGTTGATACATATTTTTACAGAAAAGTTACACTATTATAAGCACACACACAAAGTTACAACATGCGGAAACGCGTAACTTTTGAGAAAAAAGTTATTGAAAATCAATTATTCTTGCATTGTTTATATCTAATCCTACCATAAAACAGACGCCATTTTGTAATGTCATTGTCGTCAGTAGGGATGTCGATTCTTTCCGAAATAGGTCGATTTTTAAATCGATTCAAATCGTAAGCTGATGTATCGATTCACAAAAAATCGATTTCTAAAGTATCTATATTTTTTTTTATGTTTGCATTTATAATGTAGATATAAATCCAATTTATGAAAAACAAGAAAGATACCATAATAAATGATCTCTTATTGAAATTTGTTTTATTTTAACAGTACCAATTAAGGCAGATAACAAATAAAATATGTTAGGTTCAACTTATGTCAAAGAACCGAATTGATTGACCCCGACTCCACCTGGTACGAGTCTGTCCTACCCCTAGAGTGGTTTTAAAGAGCCGGAGGCGCGTAGCCGGAGCAGCGCCGGAGACGTAGCAGTCTCAAAATAGATACAGAAATCCTTCTGAATCAGTCCCCCTATATTTTATGATGAAGGGGATTTTTTTCTCATAAAATGGATTTATATTTACATTCTAAATACAAACATGAAAAAAATATAGATATTTTTGAAATCGATTTTTTGGGAATCGATACATCAGCTTACAATTCGAATCTATTTAAAAAATCTATCTTTTTCGGAAAGAATTGACATCCCTATTCCCTACTGACAATAACAATAAAAAAATGGCGTCAGTTTTACTGTAGGATTAGACATAAACAATACAAGAATAATTGATTTTCAATAACTTTTTTCTCGAAAATTACGCAACTTTGTGTGTGTGCTTATAATAGTGTAACTTTTCTGTAAAAATACGTATCAACCCCCAACTCGATGGGAGTCAATGGAAAGTCATACCCATAATTTATGATTTATGATGTATTAAAAAAAAACTACTTACTAGATCTTTTTCAAAAAAAAAAGTTAGAAGTTACATGGGGGGAGAATCACATTTTACCACTTTGGAAGTATCTCTCGCGATAACTATTCAGTTTAGAAAAAAGTGATATAAGAAACCTCAATATCATTTTTGAAGACCTATCCATAGATACCCCAAACATATGGGTTTGATGAAAAAAAAATTTTAAGTTTCAGTTCTAAGTATGGGGAACCCCCAAAATTTATTGTTTTTTACTATTTTTGTGTGAAAATCTTAATGCAGTTCACAGAATACATCTACTTACCAAGTTTCAACAGCATAGTTCTTATAGTTTCAGAAAGAAATGGCTGTGACATATGGATGGACAGACAGGCAGACATGACGAATCTATAAGGGTTCCATTTTTTGCCATTTGGCTACAGAACCCTAAAACTTACGACTCGAGTTGAAATTCACACAACTCGAGTTACACAATTCGAGTTAGCAGTACGAAACGCAGTAAATTATTTGCTACAAATTACTTTTTTATATATTTGTTTTTCTATCTAGCTCTTTGGTAGGTTGGGATAACTGTAATTACCAAACTTATTATGTTGGATTGACATAAAAAGGTATATATAGTATCACATATTTATGTATTTTTGGTTTTAATCTTAGTTAGAGTACCTTAATTTGACAACAAAACTAGCTATATAGCAATCTTCATGAAACAATATTAGCCTAGCTTCAAGATTAGATTAGATTTTTTTAAAACTAAATATAATAAAATATTTTTAAATGAATTTCATGTATCTTACAACGTAACTAACCTTTTTGGGTATTACACTAATAGGTCTGTGACTTACATAACTATATTGATCATAACTAATCAAAATTATAAAACAAATTAAATCACATAACTTAGTTATTATACAATTCTAAATATCAATTTGTAGTGTTTGTAGTTAATACACTTTGATACACAAAGCAAGCACACAACGAGCGAATCGCGCGCTCTCTTAATCCATTCATGTACAGCAGCCCAAACTCGAGTTAGGAAGATCTAACTCGAGTTAACTTGAGTTAGCTGCAACTCTAGTTAACTCAAGTTGACCCATCACTAACTATATGGCACAATTGCAATGAAGGCATGCCAGAAATATATATTCATAGCATGCAAATATATTATAGAGATACAATAATCTAAAGACTCAATTATGTAGGTTACATTATGTTGAGAATTTATTAAGCTAACATCAAACAACCACAGGACGCATAACTTTTTCCAAATGACATGATATAACCTAAAAAGGTTCAAATCTGAATATCTTTTTTAGACGCCTTCTCAGGAGAAATTTCGTTGACAAAGTTACTCAGGGACTGACGCTTAACATTTAAAGTTATTTTTGATACATAGACGCTACCATTTCTTCTCACGTAATTTTATGTATGAGTCTGCCATTGTTCTTTATGGTTATGATAAGATTTCTAATAGAAAATCTCGTACTTAACAAATGAATGAATAATCTATTATCTTTACCTAAAGCCCATAAAAAAGCGAAACAATTTAAACAAGCGATTTTACTCACTGATAGACCAAAACATTCTGTCAACATCATTCCATAAATTTCGGTTTCTCCTTCATATATGTACGGCGTCCACATATTTTTTAAATCTCCTTCATTAAGGCAACATTTACATCTTCCTATGATGATCACCATTGCACCATCACCGTCTAACGAATCCATAATTATTAGTTAGTTAATATTTTTGTAAAAATAAACAATCAATAAATAATCTTTAACATCTACACGCATCTACACTACATACAACTTTATAATTTGTGATCTACCATAGATAAATATATATGTAGCAAGCTGGTGATCTACACGACATTAAGCCATAGAGAATAGAGATAAAGTCAGTGCATCAAGCAAAGACAAGGATTGTCCATTTTTGACGTTTATAGCCTTTTTAGTCTATGATCTGTTTGATGTTTTAGCCATAACTATTGTTAAGATTCCCCTATAAAGTCATGCAAAAGTCATAGACCATACAGTCTAATACTATTAGCATTTTATAAATTCATAACATTTTAGAATATGCCATAGACTTAGAAAATACTGGCGTATAGACCAACATAGTGTGCAAGGGAGAGGAAAATTCCATATGGCAAAAATGCAAAATAGAAAAGGATACCAAATCTCATGACTCTGTAACCGATTTTGAATGACAGATCGGCTCAATTCGGCACGCAAGTAATAGCTTCTAGATACTTTGTAAATTTTTAAAGTGTTAATAGTAAGTAAGTAAAGTGATTTTTTTTTAGTAAGTAACTTTTTTCTATAATGCTTGCTCGTTCAGTGAGTGATTGTGGTGTTAAAAATAGAAATAATCCTGATAATTGTACATATTGTTAAAAATTGAAATAATCCTGATAATTGTACATTTCACAGGTAAATAAATACATTTTATACCCAAATTTTTACAAGTACGGTAGGGATTGACTCACTATATAAAAGTTAATGTCGATATTTATCTTGAATGTTTATAATGAATCGATAGACTTGCCTATACAACAAGAAAATAAATCATCGGCTTGCGTTCTAAAATGTAATTTTATTTGCCGTTTGTCAAACAGATTCCCTCCGGATTCTATAATTAGAAAAAATGGTTGAGGTTCATTGGACGGGTTGGTTGTAATGCAAAGAGGAACTCAACAATTTACAACAAACCTTTTTGTTGAGAAGTATAAAAGAAAAAGTAGAATAAAAACAATTTTATTAAAAGAAGTTATAATGTCGAAATAACTACTATATATATATATATAAAGGTTGAAATTTAGAATCGTTTGGCAGGAGGGGGGCAGGAGTGAGGGGAGGGGAGGGGGTTAGCGTCCCCTTACTCCCGATACCACTCCCATTAAAAGGTAATACACTGTTCTTGAGAAAAATCAAAAAGAATATCTCATAGACCTAACCTCAAAATGATAACATTTATCGTCTCTGGCACGAGGGGAGAAGAGGGGAGCAGAAGTGTGCCCTATCAGGGAAAGCCCCTCTACCCTTTCCTCCTTCCAGAAAAGTATAGTTTATGATTGATGGTTTTTTTTAAATCATTACCTCACTTTTTTTTACACAGGAACCCAGTTACTTCTACAACGGCTTCGGCGCAGCAAGGAATACAGACTCCTCGCCCTTACGTAGCGTAACCTTGCATTCCGCGCCTACGGCTTTACAAAAACACTCTAGGAATAGGGCAGACAAGACTACGTGGAGTCGGGGCGTGCTAATTCAATTTTAGTACAGATTCGATCAGATCAGATATCTTATCTATAAAGCCTTTTGCCGCCACATACTTCTAACCTATTAGAACTGAAAGTATATCTGGGTGTTCAAGTATTTCTGAGCATTTTTAAACAATTCTGAAATAAAACAGTACAATATTATAATCATTTCTTATTTGACACTTGACAGAGAGTATAGACAGTAGAATAATGTGACATTAGTCTTACGTCCTTGTCGCACTTACACAACCTCTTACTTCCTGGCCCTATCCGGCATAGGTATGGGATCGTTTGCATATAGATATTTATTCGTTATAAGGTAGTCGACGCATATTCTAAGTGGGTAGAATGCTACCAACTTACTAGTACCAATAGTGAGGCTATTATTACTAATCTATGGGAGATATTTAGTCGGTTTGGATTAGTAAAAACCTTAGTATCGGATAATGCTACAAATTTTCGTTCTGATGAAATAAATATTTTTTTTGTTTCTAATGGAATACAATATTTGAGTATCGCGCCTTATCACCCCCAATCAAATAGGCAAGGTGAAAATAGCGTTAAAACTGTAAAAAGAGGAATCAAATTAATTATAGAGGAAAATGGATTAAATATTAAAATTATTTAAAAAAAAAATTAATACATTTTATTTGATTATAGGAACAGTCGGCATTGCACTACCGGGTTTTCTCCAGCTCAGTTAATGTTAGGGCGCTCCTTGCGGTGTCGGCTCGATCTGTTATCAGTCACTACTGAATCGTTACCGCTGTCATCGACATCCGCCGTAAAAAAAATGTTTTGTCTCTACAGATCTCTCAATGTAAGCAGTATGAGGGCCGTCGTACAACTTCTTTTAGTATTGACGATAAAGTATTAGTTAAGTGTTTTTATAATAATGGTTCCAAGCATGTGTGGAGACTTGGAAGAATAGTTAAGAAAGTTGGTTCTAAAATGTATGTGGTAAAAAATGAAAGATCATGTAAAAGTTTAAAAAACATATTGATCATCTAATAGCTTATGAAGGAAATTGTACATTACAAGATGACTTAAATACGGATATTTCTTATACCGATAATGACGTCATTGATTATTATACACCTACTGGAACTGCTCGGGATACAGCAAAAGAACAAAATGTTCAAAATACCTTACAATGTACTCATTCTATGAACGATTCCTTAAGTAGCGGTCCATTGTCCCTGAGAATTCGAACTAGGGGAGGAGAGGATCGTTAGCGTTGAGCCGAGTGATACGGTTAGTGCGGCTGATAATGTCTTCACAGACTCAGCTCTTCCATAATCGGTTTCTGTACATGCCATGCCCAACCAGGCTGTCACAGAGCATTCAAGGGGTGTCCGTTCTTCTAGAAATAAGAATCCTATTTATAAAGTTTAGTTTACATACAAAGCTATGGAGAGGGCTATGCTCGGAGTTTCTCTGCGTGATAAACTCAGAAATGAAGATATCCGCAGTAGAACCAGAGTGACCGACATAGCCCAACGGATTAGTAAGCTGAAGTGGCAATGGGCCGGCCATATAGCTCGAAGAACCGACAACCGATGGGGAAGAAAGGTTCTCGAGTGGCAGCCTCGTACCGGCAGGCGAAGTGTAGGGCGTCCCCCCACTAGATGGAGTGACGACCTGGTAAGATATGCAGGAAGTCGATGGATGCAGTGGCTCAGGACCGTGCTTTGTGGCATTCTTTGGGGGAGGCCTATGTTCAGCAGTGGACTTGTGAAGGGCTGTAATTATGAGTTTACATTATATTATATAATTCTTTACTATTGGTGGAGGGAACTGTGATGTATTTAAAGAGCGATAATATAATAATATAAACGGGTAGGGAAAGAATTGTTAGTCTGTATTGAGCGATTAAACTGCCTGCTACGTAATCCGTATTTTATTGTAAATTTATTCCTAAACAGTACAAGGTTATAATAGATTTTATTTATTTATTCGATAACGGTGCATTACCTTTTAATGTAAGTGGTATTATTATAATCGGGGACCAAACCTCTATCAAATAAAACACCTTACTCCCCCAAATTCCTGCCAAACGATTCTAAATCCAAGCCTAGATAAATATAGAGACAGATTTTCATACATTATAAAACTGTAGTACATTAAAGACAAAAAAATCTTGAGATTATCCTCTTTAAGCCATTATGACCCTATTCTAGATGTTTCTACAGTGTATTATATTGTGCCGAGGGCTTAAATAGCTTGGTTCATCGCCTACAGCGTTAGTCGTAGAGAAGAGGAACTCGTAGTTAAGTAATAGCTGCGCAGATCAATAGATTAAGTTGCACTTGCCGCGGTCGGTCCATGAATGAGTGACCATTTTCTTAACATACCGAAATTGAGAGAATAGGGAGTGCATCTGTATCCTCAGACACTTAGTCCACTTTACTGTGTTAAGATCATTATATTTTTAAAATTCATGCAGCTAAAATGATAATAACTTTATTATTACTTTATACTTTTCAGGGATAGAAGAAAGAATATAAACATGAAGCATGATGAAGTCTTATAAACATATTGGCATTTAAGCAGAGCAATCTTATTTAACTGATTCCTACAAGTTTCCTTACTTCAGTCATTAATTCTCAATTCATATTTAAGTCAAACGTTAAAGTAAATTTTTATAATGTATTTAATTATTAAATGTTTGCAATTATTAAAAGTAATAGTTATATGAAAAATAAAGCAGTCGTTATACTCAGTATCCCCGTTTTTTATTTCAACAGCAAAACATTTTATAAAATATATAACGTATGAATATGTATATACTTAATTACGTATCTACTTATTTATAGTTGATTAACGTTATGTTAAAAAATAAATTCAGAGGAAAATGTCCATGGCAGTAAAATTGTATTTACGAGCTTAGACCTTTGGAGAAACCAATTAAATGAAACCAAGTAAACATATAACGTAAATACAAGTTTCCGATCTGATTATTGGGGACTGTTTTAAGTTTATCGGTAAAGTCACCTGGGATTTTATACATTTTAATTGAAATCCAACAAAAGGCAGGTAGGTTCAGCTTATTCCATTACATGTTATATGAATACTTTTTAATTATTTCAGAACTGTCATGGTAAAATTCATTTAATTTTTGAAGTTATTCAACGTCATGCACTAAACACTTTTTTTTAAATCTTTTTAACGCTTCCTTAACAATCATTTTCGTTAGTCTTTGTAAGTAAAATATACATCACTGGCTAACGCACACAATAACAAATCGAAATTGGTCACGCGTTTTCGGGCTGTCACGTGGTCTATACGCCAGTATATGCTAAGTCTATGATTCCCCTTAAAAAAAGCTCTCATTACGAAATTTCCTCACCTCCTTGGTGGGATGCAGAGTGCTCTTCTATTGTTAAAAAAACGCAAAAATGCCGAACAACAGTACTTTGTAAATATGTCCATGGAAAACTTTATAAAATACTAGCTAGCCAGGCAGACGTTGTTCTGCCATCTCCGACGATCCTGTGTCCTATAAAAATTCTTAAATCTATACAAATAAATAAAATTGAAGTGTCTGTTTGTAATGTCAAAATAACAATTTTTTACTAAATGCATATGAAATTATATACGGTACTTATAACAAAAATACAAATTTTAAAGTTTTTGTCTGTTTGTTTGTTCCGGCTAATTTCAGAAACGGCTGGACCGATTTCGATGGAACTTTCAGTGGCAGATAGCTGATGTTATAAGGAGTAACTTAGGCTACTTACAAAGACATTTAAGTAGAAGTAGTAATAGACCGGACATTAGTAGCAAAATTGTCGTCTGTAACTTATGTCCTATAGGATATATCTCAGATTTTTGTCATTTAGTCTTAGTGACATCGTTAAAAAGTCAAGTCGCATTCTTTTCATATATTTAAAGAAAATATGCCCGGTTGTGCATTAAGATATTTTAAGTCACGATATGGAGCAAGAAATGAACGTGATTTTGGTTTGTTATCGTAAGTATAACGTATATTTACCGAATAATCTTTAAATTTTATTATTTGTAGTAGATAGTTCCAGAACATTTATTTTTATTGTAATAAGCGCCCTCTGTTATCCAGTAAACATCACTATTTAGATACCAATTTTAATTATAAAACAATCATGTATATTTCCTATTATTATATCGAAAAGCATTTCAAACTTAGTAATCTTCAACAACATTATCGATACTTTGATATCGAAACGGTAACATTCCTAAAACGAGGTTATATTTATTAGCGTCACCTCCTGGGGAATAGCTAATATGTTGTCTTAATAAATGCTTAGCGTTGTTTTGCTATTTTTAGCTAGAGGGTGCCACACGCGCACTAGCTCAAAGTTTTTGTATATAAATGTTACGGACGGCGAAGTGAGCCGCCGCCCCGTCGCCCCTTCATATCCCGTTGCGCCACGCGCACCCCGCACACCGGCAGCAGATCACGCGATGTCGCCGACCAATCAGCGCGCGGCATCGTCTCACGACGCTACTCACATACTGAGACGCTCTCTTGCGAGATATAAGAAGGGCGTTTTGGTCTGTCAACGCCACCGCGGACAAACTCCGCCCCACAACAATCACAGCCCTCAATGGCTGATGACCTAAAAACGGTGTATTCCGCTATTAGGAACATCGATGTTGGGGAAATCGCTGTGTTAGCACGCAAATTGCGCGCTGCGAGGTCCCCTCAGGACCGTCTCCTCGCTCTTGCAGAGCATCATAATCTTTTGTGCTCGTTGTAAGTTAAGTTAACTTCATTAACTTAACTTCACGATGACAGAGCAGTTTGCTCTACCAAAATCCCACGGTCGTATCAAACCTAAGGGTTTATCGCTTGTATCGTTTAATATTCGTGGATTGCGAAATAACCTCCCAGAACTTAAGCTCTTTCTTCGAAGTCGTGAAGCCGATTTCCTCCTCCTACAGGAAACTAACCTCAAAACTAAGGACACTAAAGGCCTTTCTATTAAAGACTTTTCTCTTCTTCGTAATGACAGGATCGACCGCCAAGGTGGCGGTACGGCCATTTATTACAAGAAGACACTCCATTGCTCTCCCATTTCTACTCCGCAGCTTACCAATATGGAAGCCACGGTATGCAGGCTAGCTATGACTGGACATCAGTCCATTCTCATAGCCTCCTGCTACTTCCCCTCAAAAGAGATTTTGAGGCTATTTTATCTTTAGGTAACCCAGTCATTATGTTTGGAGATTTTAACTCCAAGCATACTGAATGGACATGCCGTAATACCACCCGTAGTGGCAAGTTACTGCTCGATATCACGCAGTCTCTTGATATTACCGTCCACAGTCCTCTCGGTGTTACTCACTTTCCCGATAACACCGACTATGCCCCCGATGTACTAGATTTTGCGTTACTCAAAGGAGTTTCTCTCAACCTTAGGGCAATCGAGACACTAGACGATCTAGGATCCGACCACCGACCGGTCTCTCTCATTCTTGGCCATCAGCCACCACTCCCAACACCCTCTACTAAAACCTTCACAAATTGGAAGGGCTTCAAGGAGTCCCTAGCGAAAGCTTTGGACTCACAGGACTCCCCCATCTCCCTATCTTCGGACTTAGACAGTCCTGAAAAAATCGACACCGCGGTCGATTCACTCTCCACCCTTATTAAAACCTCCCTTAAGGAGAATGAAAGGGTCGTCCCGGTTGCTAATAATAGTGGGCTTCCCCTGCATATTAGCAACCTATTAAAAGCCAAAAAAGCTGCTTTCCGGAGAGCAGCAAAATATCCCACGCCCGAATATAGGCGCACGGCCAATCGTCTTCAACGAGAACTCCGTTTCCGCCTCTCTGAATTTCGAGACCTCGAAAAGAGTAAGCTCATGGAGAATATCTCTCCCTCTCATACAGCGTACTATCAGATGGCTAGAGCCCTCCGTATAGACGCTATAACCCACATTCCCCCTCTCTCCCGCCCCGACGGTTCGGTTGCCTTCGAGGACGAGGAAAAGGCTGAGTGCTTTGCAGACAGTATTGCCGCTCAATGCTCTCTTAGCTCTCAACCCGTCGACCCTTCACACGTCCAGGCAGTGGAGGATGAGGTCCGCCGCCGGAACTCACCCCCTACGGCCTCCGAACCTATCTCTGTGTCCAATGATAAGATTTCATCCCTCATTAAAGGACTTAAACCTAAAAAGGCTCCGGGCGCGGATGGCATATCCAACCAAGCCCTTAAAAACTTTCCCGAGCAGGTGTTAACCCTTTTATCTATTATCTTCAACGCCTTTTTTTTTTTTTTTTTTTTTTACGGGGGGAAATCCTCATGGACTACCTCCGCCTGGGGAAAGGCGGAGGGGCGTGCCGGACTCTTACCGGCTAAAACCACCCCGGTGTCAACTCACACGTGCGCGTGGGGCCGCGGGAATCCAAATTCTTCCGCAGCCCCACACTAGTGCTGGCCCGGTCCGTCCAGGCCTCGTCTCCTGCACGGGGTAGTGAGGTGTTAAACTACCCCGTGTATCGCCTCAGGGGCGCGCACCGACACCCGCGCGCGCCTCCGCCTCGGGTCCATCGAGTAGGGGTGGCGGGGGCTTCCCCAAGTCCCTCGCCCCTGGACCCATTTATGGGGGCCGGAAAAGGGCGTTGTCCGCCCTTCTCCTGCGCCCGGTGCGCCTTCTGCGGCCAGGAAAGGGAGTCGAGATCTCCCTTTCCCGTTCCGCAGTTTCCTTCTGCGACATCACGTCCTCGCAGAAGGACACCACTGCATCCCACGACTCTGCGCTACCGACCATCTTCTGCACTAAGGCCGGCAGCGACAGATCGCCTCCTACTTTATTTGTGAGGACACGGCGCTGCTCCTCCCAAGCTACACACTCGGCGAGCGTGTGTTGCGCCGTGTCCTCCCCGCAATGGACGCAGTGGTGACACCGAGCGTCCGGCTCCCTGTCTATGCGGCGCAGGTACTTGCCGAAGCAGCCATGCCCCGACAGCACCTGCGTCACCCTAAACGACAGGGAGCCGTGCCTTCTCCCGAGCCAGTCGTCGAGTACTGGCCGGATCGCCTCGACGGTAGCGAGGCCGGCGGTAGGGCGCAGAAGCCTTTGCCGCCATTCCGCCACCAAGACCTGACGGAGCTCCTCTCGGCGCAGCGCGATCTGCCGCTGCACCGGCCTCGAGCCCCGTGCCCGCTCTTCCTCGCGCCATCGATATAATGACGCGAGTACTTTCGCCTCTAGGTCCCAGGGCGGGGATCCGGCCAGGACGCAAGCCGCCTCGTAGGAAATCGTGCGATACCCACGGACGACTCTGACGGCCATCGCCCTCTGCGGTTTACGCAGAATGGCAAGAGTGCTGGCCGTCATGTCCATCGCCCACACAGGGGCCCCATACAGGGCCATGGACCGCACGATTCCCACGTACAACCGCCTACAGGCGGCGCTCGGGCCCCCCAAGTTGGGAAGCAACGTTGATAGCGCGCCCGCTGCACCCATCAGCTTGGGCGCCAGCCGCCGGAAGTGGGGTCCGAATTCCCATCGGCTGTCGAGCACCAATCCCAGATACTTCATGGTGGACTCGACAGCTATCCGGGCCCCGCAGACCACGATGTGTGAACCCCGGCGGCGGCGCGCGTCGAGGGCCATGGAACACCAAGGCCTCCGACTTATTTAGGGCCACCTCCAGGCCCAGGCGCCGGATGCGGTTCACCACTTGTGACACCGCAGCCGTGGCAACCAACGCTGCTTCCCTGTGTGAACTCCCCCGGGCAGTGACGAGCGTGTCGTCCGCATAACACGTCAAGTCGGCGCCCGACGGGAGTTCACCTCTCAGCACCCAGTCGTAGCCGATGTTCCACAGGAGCGGTCCCAAGACCGATCCCTGCGGAACACCGCACGACATGACGCGCCGACCAGCGCCGTCACGTCCCCAATAGGTAACGCATCTCTCCTCAAGGTAAGCCCCTATTGTGCGGCGGAGGTAGGGAGGCACGCGATGGTAATTCAGCGCCTCCCGAATACAACTCCAGGGTAGGGTGTTGAAGGCGTTGGAGATGTCTAAGGACACCGCCAGCACCACCCCACCCCGGGATACTGTCTCCTCCGCCAGGGCCCTCACGCGCGTAATAGCGTCTATGGTGGAGCGCCCGCGACGAAAACCAAACTGGTTCTCGTCCAGGTCCGGCCCCTCTCTGCACAAGTGGCTGACGAGGCGATCTGCGACGATGCGCTCAAGAAGTTTGCCCGCCTCGTCGAGCAGCACTATGGGCCGGTACGCGGACGGTGAGTCCGCGGGGCGCCCCTCCTTCCTGAGCAGGACCAGCCTCCCCTCCTTCCACACACTGGGAAACTGACCCTGCTCGAGACATGCCGTGAAGAGCCCTCTCAGCTGGGGCTCTAGCTCTTTCAGAGCCAGGACGAGAGCTCGACCAGGAACTCCGTCGGGTCCGGGCGCTGTGTTCTTAGCCCGGAGTCGCGACACGGCCGCTCTCGTCTCTGTTTGCGTCACCTCGGGGACGTCGGTGCTCTCCTCTTCTGGAGAGTCTGTGGCTGAGGGCGAAGCCATCGCCGGGGGAACGTGTCCCACTCGCTCAGGGAAGAGAGCCGATACCACCGCCTCTAGCAACTGGGGTTGCATCGTTTGTGTTAGTGGAGGCGCCCAGGGACGCAACTTGCCCCGTACCCAACGGTAGGGGCGCCCCCACGGATCCCGATCTAGGGATCCCAGCAGCACTTCCCTGGCACGCGACTTTGAGTCGCCGATGGCCAGCCACAGAGTCTCCTTAGACGCGCGGTACACCTCATACAGCGCGTCCTCCTCGGCGGGATCCCGTCGACGCCGCCTCCGGTATCGGGTGTACCGGCGACGAGCCGCAACGCACGCTATGCGCAATTGCGCGATCTCGGCGGTCCACCAGTACACCTGGCGCCTTGCGGACCGTTGGTGGACACGGGGCATGGACGCGTCGCAGATCTGCGTCATCGCCCCGCGAAACCATAGCGCTACCGCTTCGACGTCGACGGGGCCGTCCGTCGTCGACTCCCGAATCCAGGACTGGACTAGGGCAGCTTCTTCGAGTAGTTCCCTGTCGATGCGCTTAAGCGCCCAACGCGGGCCGTCGTTGATCGGGGTTGTTGGATGGCGGCCGCTCGCAGTCTGGGCAGAGACGTCGAACCGGATATACCGATGGTCCGACAGCGTCTCCACCTCTGCGGCGACACGCCAGTCGCGGACTCGGCTGGCGACAGAGGGGCTAGCAAACGAGACGTCCACTATCGACCCACCCCGCTGCCGCACGCACGTGTATTCCGAACCCCGATTCAGGACGACCAGACCAGTCGTCACCGTCCACTCTTCTAACACCTCGCCCCGAGGGTCAGTGACCGGAGATCCCCACGCCGATGACTTGGCGTTGAGATCCCCGAGCACCAGAACGGGACGAGGGTGATAGCGGCCTACGACGGCGCCCAACTCGACAAGGAAACCCTCAAAGTCGGCGAGACTCTTGTTGGGGGAGAAATACGCCCCTACAATAACGATGCCGCCCGAGACCGCAGCAACCCAGCCGCGGCCCCGAGACGGGTCGATCAGAGTCTCGCCAATAATGGCCACCAAACCGTCAGCGCATCCCAACCAGTTGTCACGGGCGGGAATGAAGTACGGTTCGGCGACCACAGCCACGTGAATCGACCACTCTGCCATGCTCTGGAGTAGGAGATCCTGAGCTCTGGCACAGTGGTTGATGTTGCCCTGGAGAAAATGGAATTGTGCCATTATTGACATTCCATCCCCTCAGCAACGGTCCTGGGCCGGGAGTCGGCCGCGGAGATGCTAGCCTGCGGGGGCAGCGAGGTTAACCCGGCAGGCTTAGTACTCCTCTTCTTTTCTTTTTTCTTCTTCTTGCTGGCAGGCGCCCCACAGGCCCCTCCGCCTACTCTGTGCTCCGCTGGCCTTCCCGCAGCAGAACAAAGGCTGCAGTTTAGCGCCGCGGTGCACAGGGCAGCCTTGTGGCCAGGCTGGCCACAGCGATAACAAAGGTCACTACGGTCAACCTCGGCGGTGCACTTCGCCCGGACGTGCCCTTTTTCTAGGCACCGAAAGCACTGCAAAGCCCGGGGCTGTAAGAGCTTGGTCCTAGCCGCCACCCAGCCTACCAGCAATCTGCCGCTATCGGCGATCTTCTTCGCCGACGCTACAGGGCACCGAACCCAGACCGCGCCGAGTCCGGTGGCGTCGGTGCGTATATCGCCAGCCCGCACCTTGTCCGGCGGACACTCTCCGCTTCTGGCAACGGCCGCCACCACCTCCTCAGAGGTCACGGAGTCGTCCAGGCCAGCAATCCGCACCTCTGCGGTTTTCATTGGTCTGGAGACCCGGACGTCCTCAGGGTTGAGGACCTCCCTCATCTTGGCGGCCAGTGCGTCCGCCTTTTCGGCACTGCCGCTCACAGTGCCAGCCACCTCGAACAGCCGTGCACCCGTGGCAGCCTGCCTGAGGGTGACGGACTGAAGGCCAAGATCAGATAATTTGATCTTGGCCTTGGCCTCGGCGATGACCGACTGGTACGTCACGCCACGCTCCACAGCTCCAGGCTGCAACGTTATTGTCACAGCGCTGGACCGCGGAACATGTACAGCCGGTCTCTTGCGACCGCCTTTGGCAGTCCGCTGTGCAGGTTTAGGAGCCGTCTTTGTGGTTCCCCCTGGGGCACATGCGGCTGCTGCGGCCTTCTTGGCGGCTTTGCGGGCCTTCTTGCGGCCCACGACTTTCGCCCAGGTCTCACCCTTAGACCCGGCAGTCGTGGGCTGGTTGCTTGGAGGAGCTCCCTCCGCGGGCTTTTTATTACCCTCCGCGGGCTTCCCCTTTTGAGGCGCAAGTCTCGGCGGCTCCTCAGTTCTCCGAGTGTCCGCCGCCAAAGGCGGACGGAGGATTTCCGCCGGGAGACGCCGTGAAATCGCCTCCAGCCGAGCATTAACCATGCTCCCGCACTGGAGCATGCAGATCCGGACAATGCGCTCGACCTCTTCATCGGTACGAGGGCTTGCCGGTTGCGGTGCGGGAGTCGGGGCCACTACAGGTGCGGCATCGGTGGACGTGCGTCGCTGCTGCTCTTCGCTCAGCGCAGCGACTTGCCGTCGGAGGTCCTCCAAGTCATTTCTGAGGCGGCTGTTTTCCTCCTGCAACTTTGCGACCTCGTCAGAGGCCGTCCTGTTGAGGAGGATGCCAACCGCCTCCCTGATATCCGCGGCAGCCTCCTTTAAGCCACGGGTGAACGTGCCCTTCAGGCTGCCAGACTTGGTGGCAACCTTCAGGACTAAGTCCACCCCATCCAGAGCCAGCTGGCTTAAGGCCACCGCAGATGGCTCTCCCCCTTCCGCCGCAAGAGCAGCTCGTCGCTCGCGAGCACGTCGGGCCATTTCCGACACTTCGTCGGCCGCGACGGCTTTGCGCTGCTCCCTCTTGGCGGCATTGAGCTCCGCCTTTGAGCTCCCCAGCGAGGCACAGCTTTCACCGCCATCGCCAGGGTCCTCCGTAGTGAACCCCATGTCACTATCTGCTTCACTAGCCGCCGAGGTATTGGAGCACACGAATCGTCCGTGCTTATCCCTCCGCGGCTGCGAAGCACTCGCCCCTCTCGATGCCTGCCGACCCCTCCCCGAAGTCGGCAACTTGGGAGCCGGCAGGCCTTCCTCTTCTGAAGACCGGCACACTGGACGTTTCAACGCCTGCTTCAACCTTAGTTACTTTCCCACTGCGTAGAAAGAGGCAACTGTGATTGGTATTCCCAAGCCAGGCAAGCCTCTCAACCTCCCCTCCAGTCATCGCCCCATTAGCCTCCTTAAGGCCATGGGCAAGCTCTTTGAAAGAGTCATCCAAAATCGCATGAGGCGCCATCTGTTTCCCACAGACGGTGACCCTCTTATCATTCCCCATCAATTCGGTTTCCGAGCGAAACACTCCTGCCCCCAACAAGTTCACCGTATTGTGGAATATATCCTCAGCGGTTTTTATCCCCGTCGTCATAAGACTATCGCGGTCTTTTTCGACATCGCCAAAGCCTTCGATAGAGTCTGGCATACAGGCCTTATCTACAAACTATACAAAATAGGTCTCCCCGATCGTCTAGTACGTCTCGTGGCCTCTTATCTTAATCATCGTACCTTTCGTTTTAGACACGAAGGCACGCTATCTTCACAGCGCCCCATCAAAGCTGGTGTCCCTCAGGGTTCAGTTCTTGCTCCTCTGCTGTACATACTGTTCACCAACGACATTCCCATTCCGCCGAAAGGTGTTCAGCTCTCCCTCTTCGCAGACGACATTGCTCTCTACTGTAAAGGTATCTCGCTACCTTTCATACGGAACAAGGTCCAAAAGTCAGTTGATGACCTAGGAGCTTGGTTCAAAAAATGGCGCATCGATGTGAACCCGGAGAAGAGCTCCGCCGTTCACTTCGATTATAAACGACGCCGTCTCAAAAACACTCCACCAATACGTATGCTAGGGACCCCTGTCTCCTGGCATACGTCTGCCAAATATTTAGGTGTCACTCTAGACACAGGGCTAACTTTCAGGCCCCACGTCAAAAGAGTAACCCGTCACGCACGTTTTTACCTGAATAGGCTCAACAGTATGTTGGGCCGACACAGTAAAATGTCCCTCAGAAACAAGCGTACCCTTTATAAGGTCTGTATACGACCAGTCATGTCCTACGCGGGCCCCATTATCGCCCACTCTAACCCTAAAATTATTAATGAACTCCAAGTAGTTCAAAACCTTTTCTGTCGTCGAGCTGCGAACGCACCTTGGTACGTCCGCAATGCCGACCTTCATCGGGACCTAGAGCTCCCTACAATTCAACAATTCCTTAAAAAACTCTCTGAGAACTTCTTCAAAGCCTCAGAGTCGCATTCCAATCATTTTATTCGTGAGGCTGCTAATTATGCAGCCCCACTCCCCTCCCGCTATAGCGTCCGCAGGCCGAGGAACTCCCTCTCGGACCCGCCTAATAAACTTTCAAACGACCTGAACTGCCTCCTGGCGGCTCAGGCCAACTCTAATTAAGTTAATCATAATTAATTTGCCTTCGTAGGCACTCCCTCAGCGGCTAATAGCCGCCTGCGCCCTCTTTTCCCAAAAGAGGGTCGCTTCCGATACGGCATAAGAAGCTTTAAACAGCTAGTTGCCAGTCCCCAAAGGCGGTTTTAGTGGGTATCACTTAGGTTCCCCAGTAGGTAGTCACAGTGAGTCCCACATAACCACGATAGACCGGCTGTCGTGGTATGCGTAATGCATTTCCGCCTCCCTCCGGGGTAGCCGTTTTCCAATTGAATCGGGCGCAAAAAAAAAAAAAAAAAAAAAAAAAGTCTGTCAACGGTTCATTTCGGAAGCGGCACTCGAAGACAACAGCAAGAGAAGAAGCATCAAGAGAAATCAAGAGATACTCCATTGAAGATTGAAGACTCCCCTCTCTGTATATAGTTTATTAGTGCCGCATTTGTAAATATTTGAATACAGTACAGTCTACAGTACCATCTTTCCTTTAAGGAGTCCCTAGCGTAGTAATTAGTTAGTCAACCAGTTTTATACATTAAATTCATACAGTCCACTACAGTCCCTAATAATAAATGTTCCCAATGTCCGCTCTATATTATAGCTATATATTTAAATCTCTTTGGCTACTTATATTTGTATTATTATTGAGGGTCACTTATAGGGATAAAAACTATCCTATTTCTTAAATTGGACCAAACTGCACACAGTGTGCAAAATTTCATTGCAATCAGTTTAGTAGTTTAGGAATTCATCGCGGACAAACAATGTGACACGTAATTATGCTGCTCAAGCCAAAAACAAAACATTCTCGGAGAAGAAGAAAAAAGGATGGCTTTTATTTTGTGAGTCTTTTGTGAGGTTAATTTCATGCCGGAGAGATACATTTGGAAAGTTATTCCACAAGGCTCTGTTCTAAGTCCCCTTCTGTATAACCTATATACCCATGATCTAGATAGAACCGTAAACTGTCTGTCCAACATACACCAATATGGTGATGATTTGGCTCTCTTTGTTACTGACCATTCTTTACTTGACGCCTCTTCTCGATTATCTCGTGCGGTATATTACCTCCAAGAATGGCTCACAGAACATTGTTCATCTATCTCCCCCCCCCCCCCCCAAAAAGTATAATCGTGGTATATTCGAGTACTCACCCCAGAAGTGTCAATCTCTATTGGAGACTCATGGATTCCCAATGTGAGCCATGTGAAATTCCTCGGTGTTATGCTAGATAATAAATTGTCTGGAATTCCCCACTTATCCTACATAGCTTCTAAATGCGAAAACAATCTTAACGTCATTCACGCTATATCAGGAGCTTGGTGGGGCTCTCACATCCTTACTCGCAAAAGTGCTCAGCGCTTAGTCCTCTCCTTTATTGTATATATACACATGATTTAGAGCTTTCAGTAAACTCTTTCTGTAATGTCCTTCAATATACAGACGACTTAGCTCTATACATCTCTTTAGACAACTTCATGGTGGCATGTTCTTGGCTAAACTCATCCATGAACTATTTACAGAAATGGTTAAGTAATCAAGGCCTCTCCTTATCTGTGGACAAAATCAAAGTGTTGATTCTTTTGCCGTCAAAGGCGTGTTCTCGATATATCTGTTGTATATGATTTTTTTTTATAGAATAGGGGGCAAACGAGCTTGCGGCTCACCTGATGGTAAGTGACTACCGCCGCCCATGAACAACTGCAACACCAGGGGAATTGCAGATGCGTTGCCGGCCTTTTAGAAAGGTGTAAGCTCTTTTCTTGAAGGTTCCTAAGTCGTATCGGTTCGGAAAATTCGCTGGTGGTAATTGATTCCACAAAGAAGTTGTGCGAGGGAGAAAACTTCTTCTAAATCGCACAGTGGTGGACCGCCAATCATCCAGATGGTACGGATGGTAACGCGAGTTTTGTCGCGACGTGCGATGGTGAAATTGAGCGGCTGGAATTAGTCCGAACAATTCCTCAGAGCACTCCCCGTGATAGATGCGATAAAATACGCAAAGAGATGCAACATCTCTACGCAGTGCCAGTGTATCGAGCCTGATCGGAAAGAATTCGGTCGTCAACGATTCGAATCGCTCTGCGCTGGATGCGGTCAAGTGGAAGGAGCTGGCACTGGGGTGCCCCGGCCCAGAGATGAGAACAGTATTCCATGTGGGGCCGAACTTGCGCTTTGTAAAGTTGCAAGCGATGTGCCGGCATGAAATACTGTCTCGCTCTGCTGAGCACGCCAAGCTTTTTAGAGGCCAATTTGGCCTTCCCTTCCAAGTGACCACGAAACTGCACGCTATTCGATATGTCGACGCCAAGGATTCCGATACTGGCTGAGGCAGCAAGGGGAGTGCCTTGAAACTGAGGAGATACGACAAAGGGGTTCTTTTTAGCGGTAAACGCGCAAACTTGTGTCTTCTGGGGATTGAACTGGACTAGATTTAGTCGGCCCCAATCCGAGACTTTGTTAAGCAAAACCTCGACTTCAGACACAAGTTTGTCCCGGTACTCGGCGACGTTTTCCCGAGAAATATTGGCACGGCCGGTATATAAGGCATCCCCAGTGCTATCGTCTGCATAGCAATGAATGCTACCAGTTAGCAACATATCATTGATATGCAGGAGAAACAGCGTTGGTGATAGCACGCAGCCTTGTGGAACACCAGCGTTGATAGGCTTGTAATCAGAGCATGCACCGTCTACTACGACCTTGATGCTCCGATCAGCAAGGAAACTGGTGATCCATTTGCACAATTCCTCGGGAAGCCCATAGGAAGGAAGCTTCGAAAGAAGCGCCTTGTGTCAGACCCGATTGAAGGCCTTCGCTATGTCCAAACTAACGGCCAATGCCTCCCCCTTGGACTCTACTGCCTCCGCCCATCTATGAGTTAAGTAAACTAGATCACCCGCTGATCGACCCCGACGAAAACCGTACTGACAGTCACTGATCAGCTGGTGATCTTCAAGGTACCTCATGAGCTGGCAGTTTATAATGGATTCCATTATTTTGGAGAACAAGGAGGTGATAGCGATAGGCCTGTAGTTGGACGGGTCTGAGCGGTCGCCTTTTTTAGGGATCGGGTGGACCAAAGCTGTCTTCCATGAATTCGGGACTACGCCTTGGGAGTTAGGAGTACCGGAAAAGACGCGTTAAAACCGGTGCCAACTCCGGAGCACATGTCTTCAGCACAATGGGAGGGACTCCATCGGGCCCACTCGACTTGCTGACGTCCAGGGAGAAGAGTGCTTTGCGAACCGAGCGCTGTGTAAATCGCACATCCGGCATGGAGCACTCACATCGCGGGATGGTCGGCGGTGTGTTCCCCCCGTCATCTTGAGTCGAATTGGAAGCAAAAAGAGAGCCTAGCAGATCGGCTTTCTCCTTTGCGTCATGGGCCAGTAAGTCGTCCACCCTGTGCAGAGATGGCAGAGATGGCTGACAGAAGTTCCCTTGGACAGCCTTGGCGAGAGACCAGAATGCACGGGTTCCCGAAGGAAGGCGAACTAGCTTCTCGCCAATTCTGCCGATGTGCTCAGACCTTGCCTTGACGTGACTTGAATGACGCTTTTGAAGGACCTGGAGGTGGAATTATACTTCTTTTTAATAAATGATAATCAACCTATTCCAGTTAGAGGCTATGTTAAATTTTTGGGAGTTATCCTAGATTCGAAATTGGCCTTCGGTCATCACGTTGAATATATGTCACAAAAATGCGAAACAAATATAAATATTCTTCGGTCTTTGTCTAGGGTCCCATACCTTTTTCCCAGAAATTACTGTACAATGCTTTAATATGAAGTCACCTTGACTATGGATGTTTTCTCTTGGAACCTTGCAATAAATCATCCCTGACAGTAATGGACAAAATTCAATCGAAATGTCTTCCAATTATTACAGCGGCAATGAAATCCTCACCAATAAATTTTCTTCAGGTTGAGTGCGTAGATCCTCCATTACGATTTAGAAGGCAATACTTTTCAGACAGATTCTTATTTACGATCTTATTTTAATTCTCTTTTAACACATACAAGTACTCCTTTTGTGTGTATTTTATGTGATTTTATTAATACTAATAATATGAAACTTTAAATCCTTGTCACATTTAACATACTAATAAGATTCTAATACGTGTGTTTGTCATTTGGTCTAGGTAATTCAACAGATAGATTTATCATAGTTCTAGGAAGTAAACTAAATCCTTGTATTAATCACAGACTCGTTATTTTAATTAAACCCTTATGGGCTTAATTTAAAATAACTTTCATCTTTCATCCAATAAGTCAATGGCGAATGTTACCAAACCACCACAAAAAAGAAAAGAAAAGAAACCCTTGTGTTCGAGGAGGAGGAAAAAAAACAACAGTTTCTGACCAGCAACGATTAGTATTATTAAAGTAACTTTTTTTGTACCACATTGCATTTTAACAATGAAGTGGAACCTCTACGGAGAGAATTGGGGCCTTAAGCTCACGTAGCGGCACGTAAATCGAGCGAAGCGAGAGCAAGTGACGCAGAAGCCCCAATTCTATCCTACTAGTAACTAATTGTACTGCCACATAATTGTTGTATATAGTCAATAAATTGTGTTAAACTTTCCCATCTTTCTTTATACAGACCTCTTAGTACTCAGTTCAATAGTCAAGTCAATTTATTAAAGTAAAAGTAAATAAAATAAAAAAGAAAGTAATACAGTGTACTTACACACTCATCTCTCTACACACTATTTCGACTCCAACCTGAAGCTGTCCCTACTAGCAATGCAGAAAACATAACAAATATACATTTTATGTACTTAAAATTGATTTTAAAATTTTATGCATCAATCTTCCCCACTTCCCCCTACGTGATATTGTAAATTCATTTCCAGTTGTAAAAATAATTATAATCCCAAAGAGCACCTAACTATTGACGAACAGCTTGTTGCATTTTGAAGACGCTGTGATTTTATCATGTATATGCCCAAAAAACCTTTAAACTTTGGAATAAATAAAAAATGGGGGTAGATGTGAAATCACGTATATAATTTTTAAATTTATGCTGGCGTAGGCCTGGGAAGGGCCTTTTCAAAATTCAAACAGTTCTGGACCTTACACTTCAAATGTTGGATCCCGTCTGTGATCTCGGATGCAATATCACTATGGATAAATGGTTTATTAGTATACCGCTAGCTCTAGAGCTGCTGAAACCAAAAATTTACATGTCTACATCACTCAAGTCTAATAAACAAGAAATATCTTAAATTTTTAAAGACTCCCGTCAGAGAAAACAAAAAAGTACTGTTTTTGGATTTCAAAATCCACTATTATGTCACACATACCAAGCAAAAACAAATCCATGATTTTGTTAACGACACTGCATCATGATCATGCCGTGTAGTGGCGATGTAAGAATATCACCCATATTCGTAATATCATCATCCGTCATAAAATAATAAAGATCTGCTGTTATCAACCCGATTGCTAAGCGTGGCAACTATGGCAAACATCCACCCTATGAGGCAATCTAGGGGGGAGGCCTATGTTCAGCAGTGGACTTTAGGCTGTAACGATATAAAGGTTAAACTGTTAAACTTAAAAACTGTTAAAAATAATAAGAAAAAGAATACGAAAATATCTGCAGACTCAGTAAAACTCATGACTTATTCCTACTTTTCTTAAAAATTACTTACTTTTGTATTGACTAATAAATAAATAACAATATTATATGCTTTTTATTTTTTATTTATATTAACCTAAAAAGAGATAAACGGTAATGGTACAAAAGTGTTAACGAGGGGGAAGAGGGAAGAGAACCGGTAGATGGGCAGCAGAATCTTCTTAATAACAAAAGTAAAAAATTACCGTGGTTGTCAACCCACCAGTCAAGAGTGACAACAACATAAAATATCACGCTATGAGGCAATCTCTGGGGGAAGCCTACGTTGTAACAGTAACAGATGCAATTATTTACTAATGGTGCCAAATACCCAATTGTAAGCACTAACCAAATCTGTCAACACTGATTTATTTAACCACCTGACTTTTTGCGGTTGGAAAGTTATGATGCAGCTGACAGTGTCGCACTAAGCCGGCTTTAGTTTTAAATCTCTCATTGCACACGTCACAAACAACGTTCCTCTCCTCCAAATGCTTTTCTTGATGGTCCCTCAACTGATACTTCATAAGGAAACTTTTGTCGCACTGTTTGCATTTGTAATTCTTCTCGTTCCCATGCTTTCGTCTCATGTGAGCCGAGTAGTAGGGCATCCAGTCGAATGTCTTTCCGCAGATCTCACAAGTTTTAATCTTGACCATCTCTTTGTGCTTTTCAAGTACATGATGATGTCTCTGGAATGTTCTGGAAAATCTTTCCGGACAGTATAAGCATTTGTATCGATCTTTCTGCCCATGTGCGATGACAAAATGCTTCTTCATGTACTTCTTCAAATTGTACTCTTTACCGCAAACCTCGCAAGGGAACTTCCCAGTATTGTGTACTTCCACATGTCTTTTAAGTCGGCTCGCTGATAAGAAAGTATCACCGCATTCTGAGCAAATGTAACTACTGTAATGGGTGTTCATATGTCCGTCCAGCATGTGGTAATTCGGAAAGGCTTCTCCACATAAAGCGCATTTCAGCTCTCTTGCGAGGATATAAGGTATAACTCTGTTGTAGGTCTCATCTAGAACAACCTCATGCACATCTTCAAGATGTCGGAACATGTCGTTCCAAGTGGGCAGGATTGTACAGCAAACTGTACAATGGAGACTGTGTATATCAATCCTTAACACTTCATTAAGCCAGTGTGGTCTCATTATCTGATCTACGGCTTTAGTCCGATCATCGACATGCTTTGTTTTAGTGTGAGTCCTCAAATCATCAGCGTCATCAAAAGCTGGTCCATATGTAGAGCAGTATGCACAGTAGTACCTTGACAATCTTGTTTTGTATGGTATTGCATTTGTGTAAGTGAGTATAGATTTAATTTCCTCTACGAGTTTGTAGTGTTTTTCTTGGTCTATTATTTTTGATGCATCATCATCATCCGGCTCTGAGAAAGATTAAAAACATTGTTAGGATTATTTTTGGAATTCATCATTATTTATTTTATAAATAATAGGTAAGGAAGGTAAATAATGAGGTTGATAAATACCCCATATCGTCTCGCGGGTGTCGTAAGAGGTGAAACAAGCAAGGATAAGCATCTTTCTGATAAAAGCAGTTATAATAAAAAAAAAACCTGAGATTGAAAACCCTCTCGCCGAGCGTGGCAACTATAGCAATATACTCCCTATAACGAAGGGTACAAAGAGAGCTGGTTGTCGATGAATGCAAGTGGCTCAGGTCCGTGGTTTAAGGCATTCCTCGGTGGAGTCCTATGTGTAGCAGTAGACTTGTAATGGGATGTATATATAATGCTGATGATGAATAATCGTCTCCATTGCACCGTTTGCTGACTTAGCGGTTAGTCACCGTAGAGTTTATAAGAGGGATTCCGAATGTGGTCGAAATCGGTTTTCCAGGGGTCGAACCCTATTAATTAACACAAGTTCTTATTTGAAATTTTCAAAATAATGTAGAAGTTGTGTTATGTGTACCAACTTGTAATAAGCTTTGACTAATCTTTTAGTAGGAAGTATCATTGTTGTACTTTTAAATAGTCAATAAATCGATGAGTATGACAACAAGTTCGTGCAAGATGAGTTCGAGCGTACGAGTCTTCAAGCATTTTTAAAATTTAAATTTAATTTTTAATGCTTTTTAAAATAATTTGGCTATGGGGGTCTCAGGTATCAGTTCATTTTGAAAAAGGGGTCTCTTGCCCAAAATAGTTTGGGAATCCCTGGTCTATATGATGTATCGTTTACAGACGAAACAAGTGTCGTTTTATCTACGACGGTGTGCCTTTCCTAGTGTAGTGGTGTTGTGATTGGTGGTGACGAGGATATAGCACGAAATTAAGGAAGGGCGGAAGGTGCTAATAAATTTTTAACATCTATAAGATGATGAATATGTGAAAATTATCCATGTGTTAGAAAAATTATCAGATAGAGTTCCATAGTTGAGATTGTGTATGAAGGAAGGAATGTACTTAAACCTTTCCTCCGACGAAAATAGACAGGTGAATTTTGCATCATAACTCCTGAATGGATGAACCGATTTTGGTTAAGTTTTTTTCGTTTAAAACGTGTCTTAATTGAGTGTTCTTTTAGGTATCTTTCAAGCAAATCTGTTCAGCTGTTAAAAGATTATCAGCCCTTTTTGTTTCGGTGGTTTTTAAAAATTTGTAATTAAGTTATTTTTACAAAACTCACCCTCTTTTTTGGCAATAGCATTCTGAAGTCTTAATTCAAGAGTCTTCTTAGGCACCTTAAACTTCTCTGCCGCTTTGTTACGTGACATCCCTTCATTCTGTACAGCATCAATGGCCATTCTCAGTGTCTTTTCAGTATACTGCTTGTATGTTTTCTTTCGGTCTTGCTTTGGTTGTTTCTTCGGCCATTTTCTTTTACGATTTTCTTCTGGAATCTGCGATTGTTCTAGAAACCGTAAAAAACCTTACTATCTTCTTTAACAATTATATTAATAACTAACTGTCCCTCGCGACTTCGTCCGCGTGGAATTTTTTACGATTGTATTTCATGGTTTTTTTTTTGCGCCGAATCCTAATTCCTTTTCTAAAATAAAATTAACTTGAGTTACTCCTTATAACTATTTGTAGCACGAATGGGTCGGTTTGACCGGAGTAGGACCACGCTCTCACAGAATACCCGCGAAAAATAGCAGCTTACTGCTGCTGTGTTTGTGTTAGTGGAGACGAGGCATTCCATCTTAGCACTCAGGAGAGACAACGCATCTGCATTTTATTTCGCAAACGAAGATAGATATATATGTCTATGGGCCATAGCAGCCACTTACCATCAAGTGGACTGTGTGCTCTTTTGTCACCCTTATCCTATAAAAAAACTTGAATTTTATTTATTTGTATAGATAGTCCTCTAGACCGAATTTATAAGTCATGGCGGCGATAATGCGTATTTAATTGACTTCCACTACATTGATGTTTTCATTTTATATACCGGGTATTAGTGATAGACGAGAGTACTAACGATACCTTAATAAAAAAAAATACCTTTGATGATGGGTCAGAAAGAAATTCGTAGCCGAGGAAAGAAAATCATCTTTTCACGTTTTATTAACTTTATTCACGCTCCATCATGTTACTACAGCTAAATGAAACGATAATTTCAAAAAAAATCATGAAAATACTTAAACATAAAACCTGCAGTGGAATTACAATCAGCTGACTAGGGGTCAATGTACGCGCGGACACTTTGCGCGGCCCGCAGCTAGCGATGATACCACAATACCTAATAATTTACAACACTTGTCTAAATACCTAACTTAACCTACTATTTTGCCACTGTGCTCGTCCCCACCTAGCCACTTTAATTGGAATTCACAGGTTAAATAAACCAAATACATGGATCGATTCCCCGCTAATTAAAAAATTACTTACATGGAATGTTAACAAAGTTAGTCATGCTTTTTTATCCATCGTGTAGGTTGTGTATTATTCTGATGTATTCAGTTATGTACATATTCAGATGAGTTCAGTACTAAGTTATTAAAAAAAAAATAGGTATGAAACAGCTTACCGGTCTAAATCCTGCGTGGCCTTATGAGATTCTTCAAGGCACATTAACATGTTGCCGTATTCACGAGCACTACAAACATACCTACGCGTTAGACAATATTAAAACAAAACAAGAAAAATAAAACGTAACAACAAGAATGTAATAAACAAAACGATTGAACTGTCGCTCACGCGCACGTAACAGTCAACACGGAAATGTCTCAAAAACTAAAATTAATATCTATCATCTAATATCAATCCCGCCAAAACAAATGTGTCGTGCGTCATAACGTCCTTGAAGCACTGGTCAATTCCACAGACCATTAAATCGCTACGACATTGCCAACGTTTATTTAATTTATAAGTTTAGTTATCCCTACGACTAGTCTTCATATGGAATTTAGAAGTTATGGTTGTCATTTTTAATACAATTACACAATCAATTGTACCTTGACGCAACAGTTCTTTACTACATAACTTATATTGAAATTAATAAACGTACCTAATTGGGTATTCAGTACTCACTTACACAATTATAAACACTATTTTATCATTATCTTTGATTTTGTATAAGAAAATAGAAATGAAAAGGTACTGAATAATTTAATAGTTAAAATGAATTTCAATTATGATCGACAGTTAATTAATCTATCAGAATTAATGTAAAAAAGAATACTTTTACTTTATTTTAATTGACTTTCCGTATTTAATTAAACCAATACTTAAACTTTTTTTAACTTTAAAAAGAAGTACGTCAAAATTATTAAAAATTACTAGCAAGTTTTATAGTGATTTCCGCCTCTAATTCTTATGTCACTGGCAAACAAATCTTAGTGGGTAAATTTCGGTGCAATATGGCAGCGTTGCCAACACCAATTTGTCAAATTCCCCGAAAATTCATGTCAAATTCCCCAATTTAAGCAAAAAACTTCAACAGATTACCCACAAATTCCTCTCAATTTTATTTTAAGAAATGAAACAATTTTCAACTAATTTTATAAGGTTTACTTTTTTACTAAATTTTTTTTTAATTAAAAAATAAAGAAATGAAAAGCTATAATGGTACACAAAAGTTGTCGAAATAAATCCGAAAATGGTACAATGAAGATAATTAAAAAAAAGGGAGTCATTCGATATTCATAAGAATCCTAACAAAATGTTACGATAAGTATTTAGATTTCTTGAAAAAAAAAGGTTCTGACTTAGCCCTGGCTATCGATTTTCAAAATCTCCGTATTTTTCCCGCATAATAACAATAAAATCCCCAACTTTAAATTCCCCGCTATTTTGGGAATTCCCCACATGTTGGTAAAGCTGACATGTGTAAATTCCACAGAGCGAGGCGTCACGAGCCGGCCGGGCGGCGTTAGCGCATGTGCAAAAGGAAAGTGTAGAGTGAGTATGCATTGTTTCGCACTGAGCTAGATAAGAGTTCGGTGTCCGCGAGAATATTGACCCTATTGTCAGCTGATTTTATTTTAAGTTTCACTGCTGGTTTTATGTTTAAGTATTTTCATGATATTTTTTTAAATGTAATTATCGTTTCATTTAGCTGTACTAACATGATGGAGTGTGAAAAAAGTTAATAAAACAATGTGAAAAGATGATTTTTTTTCCTCCGGATCGAATTTCTTTCTGACCCATCATCAAAAGTATCGTTAATACTATCGTCTGTCTCTTCGTTTTCTGAAGCGTTTCACTAACACCCAGTATATTGAAGTCTGTTTTACAAAATTCTTAATTTGACCACTTGTTTTTAAAAACTTACCCTTTTCTTTGTCTGTAATATTGCGGATCTAGTAGCAGAGATAGTTTTCGTGGGCACTTTAAAAAGCTCAGCCGGTTCTGTATGTGACATTTCATTGTTCTGGACTGCATCATTGGCCATTTGTAGTTCCTCGTCAGTATACTGCTTGTACGTTTTGTTCCCCTCTTCATTTGTGAGCTTTTTTGACCTTTTTATTGTACGTTCTACTAGCAGAGAGTTATCTGAAAGTTATCTGAACTCAGCAATTGTTCTAGAAACCACAAAAATTCTCATATCATCTGTCTTTAACAACCTGTGTACAGGCTGGTGATGTGTTAATATAATAAATCGTATCACCAACTCAATATAGCATTTTATTATTGTACAACAAAACTATGATTAAATACATTTTGTAGTTTAGCAACAGGAAATTTAATTCATTATTTTAATTTTTGATATTGTGTTATTTTAACAGCCTGTAGTTGCATTTTTACAATTAAAGTTAACGTTATACAACCATACCAACACTATATAGCATTTTACTATTGTACAACAAAACTATAATTAAATACATTTTGTAGTTTAACAACAGATATTTATTATTTAAGTAACAATCAAGTTTACACATGACAGTATTAAACATGAAATCCACTACCCCATGTCAACCCGAGGGTGTCGTAAGTGGCAACTGACGGAAATAAAACACGAGGTAGGCAACATTGCTTAAACAAAATGTTAAGGCTTGTTCAAATACTTTTAAATTCCATAGAGTACTGCCAAAAGATATCGTTAAATATTTTAAAACTATTGATGTTAAGAAAATGGCAGACTTATGGGGGATTTCCGTTAAAGTTATTTTATCTATAATATATATAATAGCACCTTATTTAGCCACTATATTTAATACAAGCATCGAATCTGGTGTGTTTCCTGATTTAATGAAACATAGTAAAGTCATACCTATATTTAAATCTGGTAGTATATTAGACCCCGCCAATTTTAGACCAATTTCTGTACTACCAACATTTAGTAAAATTTTTGATAAAATTATTTTAGATCAGATGTTAAGTTTCTTTAATATTAATAAATTGCTACATAAAAATCAATTCGGTTTTACAAGGGGTCGCTCGACAAGTGACGCTGGAGTTGAGCTTAATAAACATATTTTTTGTGCATGGAAGAATTCAGATGCTTTGGGTATATTTTGTGACCTTTCCAAGGCCTTCGACTGCGTTCGCCATGCGACATTAATCAGGAAGCTACAGTACTATGGTATCAAGAACACAGCGCTTAAACTTATTACTTCATATTTAAGTAATAGAATGCAAAAAGTTATTATCAATGGTAAAAGTTCTTCCAGGTCACCTGTACTAATGGGTGTCCCTCAGGGCTCCTTTCTCGGACCATTCCTATTTCTAGTGTATATTAATATACAAAGGTAAGTCATTAGACTTACCTTCTCTTGTAGGGGATAATCATGAATAGTATTATTTGCTGATGATACTTTCTTGATTTTTAAACTTAAACATCAATCATTTTAATGTGACGAAGTGAATAATGCTATATCAAAATTAGTGCATTGGTTTAACATGAATAATCTACATTTAAACGGAAATAAAACTAATTGAATTAAATTGACAACAATGAATGTTAAAAATCTGAGTACCAATGTGTTTTTAAATGGGAAAGAATTAAGCCCTGTTGAATCCACTGTTTTTCTTGGCATCACTCTCGACGCAAAACTTCAGTGGGGCCCCCATATGTCCAAACTAGCAAGCAGACTAAGTTCTGCAGCCTATGCTGTAAAAAAGATTAGAGGTCTCACTAGTGTCAAGACAGCTAGATTAGTTTATTTCAGTTATTTCCATAACATAATGTCTTATGGGATTTTGCTATGGGGAAATGTTATGATTCAGAATGATTTAGAAACTATTTTTGTTTTACAGAAGAGGGTCATTAGAGCTATTTACAACCTATAACCGAGAGAGTCTCTTAGAAATAAATATAAAGAAATAAATATATTAACATTGGGTTCTCAGTATATTTACGAAAATTTTATGAATGTTCACAAAAACAAAGGTAGTTTTAGTAAAAAAAGTGACATACATTCTGTAAACACTAGGAACAAACACAAGCTAGTGATACCAGTTTCTAGACTCCACAGAGTCAGTAATTCATTCTTGGGGCAATGTATACGCTATTACAGCAAGGTCCCGAAAAGTGTACAGGTTCTCTCTATTACCAAGTTTAAATGTTTTATTAAGTTGAAACTGTATAAAAAAGGTTATTATAGTATAAATGAATACATGGTTGATAATGACCCTGGGAATGAGGTGATCGCTTCCAAGCTGTTTCTAAAATAAATATTGTATCAACCATTAATGTAAAATATGCTTTTAAAAAAAGTCCCGCTGGGTTTCTTGCTGGTTGTTCCCAGGACAGAGGCTTTTTTCGAACCAGTGGTGAAGTAAAAAATAACTTTCAATAAGAATTACACATGTGATCTATATTGAATAAAAAATTATTCTATTCTATTCTTCCTGATCTGATCCTGATCCTATCGTAGACTTGAATGTTGCCTTGCTTAAAGGGTTTTTTTTATTACATAATATATTTATTTTCTGTGAAAATTTAACTTTAATAGTTTTGATTTCTGAACAATATTAACTATTTTGATATACTTTTGGGAACTAGTAACAATCAACTTTACACATGACAGTATTAAACATGGAATCCACTACCCCATATCATACCGAGGATGTCGTAAGTGGCAACTGACGGAAATAAAACAGCAGGTAGGCAGCATCTTCCTGATATCCACCTTTTAGACAATCCATGGGGAATGTCTATATTCAGTTGTGGACTCTTGATAGGCTGTAATGAATAAACTGGTGCACCAAGTGAACAAAGTGTGAGGTTTTATTGTAAGGAGAAAATTCACCCTCACACTGCTAAACCAAACGTGTTGAAAACAGCATATCTTGCAAGCTTGCACAAAGTGTATGTCAAAACTGACAACAATGTTATCATCATCACTGAGCCCGTTATAGCTCCAATGCTGTACAGACATCCCGAGAGATTCACCTGCATCTATCGAGACATTGAGGTTTTATAAGATTGTCACATTATTTACCATCTGACAAATATTCTTCACATAATTCATCTTTGTTTAAACTGTCTGGGATCTCTAAGTATTCCACATCACTAAACTTGACTTCTTCTTCTTCCTCTTCCAAATTTTTCTCCACTTTCATTGTAGTATGAAGAAATACTGGAATAAAAAATTAAAAGAAATATTATTGTATGTGTACACTTAAGATGTTGTGGCTGATAATATAAATAAAATATGCTGTTTGAGGTAAAAACTGCTAATAGCTGATAATGAACACACAAACGCGCTGTGTGGCGATGCCATGTGAACAGACTCGATGAACAATGCAACAAGCTTATGAGGCAGAAATGCTGATCGAGCGATATGTGTGGGTGCACCAATTATTTATTTATTCTAGTTTTGAGTACAAATCCTGTATTTTAAAATTCACAAACACCCTAACTTATAATTGTTGATTATTGCTAACTTAAATCGAGTATTAACTATTTATACAAATAAATAAAATTGAAGTGTTTGTTTGTAATTTCGAAATAACAGCTTTTTACTATATGTATATGAAAGTATAAATGGTAGATATAACAAAAATACACTTTAAAATGTTTGTCTGTCTGTTTGTTCCGGCTAATCTCCGACTACTTTTATTTTAGAAAAAGAATAAGGGTTCCGCGCAAAAAATTAAAACCCATGAAATTCAATCGTAATAAATTACGCGCGGGCGAAGTCGCGAAATTAATGTTTCTTTGTTCGTATTTTATGTGCTGCCATACCGTTCATCAAATTTTACTAAAACTTTGTCAACCTACTTGCTTGCACTTGTGTGAAGGTTATAGGCATAGTACAATTAACTGACAGGAAGTGGTGAACGTATCGTACTGATAAATTTATTTGAAAGTCATGTATCATTCTATTTCAATGAATGTATTATTATTTCTAATTAAAACAATATAACTCTTCCAAATTTAAAACACTATTTCCACAAATATTTCTTCTGGGGCAGTAATGCGCCAGGTACCAGCTAGTATAATTAAATGATAATACTTAATTTAGGGTATGTTTAAACAATGCAACACTTGCGCATAGCCATCAGGACTTGGAAGCAGTTTAAAAATAACCAGTTAATTATATCAGTTTTGTGGTTTGCTTAAACTGTGTTTAACATTGTTATTGAAAACCAGATAATTCCTTAGGATCCACCAGCCTTGTTACAAGTGGAACAAGATAAACAATACCTAAATAAAAACAAGATTTCAATGTGTTACTTTAACAGTTTGCAATTGAATTGTTATTAGCACACTGGTTGCCAAACTGCATATTATTTGTAGGTGATCTGTTAAAAATAACAAAACAAAAGCACTTTGTACTTATTGTTGCCGATCATGTGATCCCGAGTTCAAGTCCCTGGTCTGGTATCAATTATTGGATTCTTCTGGCAAAAATTCTCAGCAGCAGGCTGGAGTTAGGAAGTTGGTAGTGTGATGCCATGGCTCAAAAGAATGTAAAGCCAATATCCTGAGCCTGATCTCTCTCCGGTGGTGACTGATTACCCACTAACTGGATCATGAGCAAGGGCATAGAGTGCAACTGTGTTTGCACACACTAATGCACTATAATTCTGTCCTGCACATATGACTAGTCTCCCTTGAGGCTCTTATCAGTAACTGAAATTCAGTCTGGAGGACATTATTACTTGGGTTTTAATCTGTTTAATTTTTTCTGGTTTCCAAGCCCTGGCACAAATAGGTTTATCATACATTTTCATACATCCAGTTCATAAATGTATAGCCTTACTTTCATCTTGATTTTCACGCAGCACCTCTTCACTCACTAAAACTTCTCTTTTGAAAGCAAGTGCATCACGTAACCGAGAGATGCAAGAGATGCATATCATATCCATGTACTTCATGTTGTCCTCTGGTTGCTGCCACTGGAATATCATGACAAACAATATGTTAAAACTGAACAAGCACAGAGATAAACAAAGGTGGACTTCTATGCGCAGAGGATGATTTTTTGATGTTCTTCTTCTTCTTCTTCTTTACTTTTTGGCTTCTCTTATAAGAATTCTGCCAATGTCACAGGGGTGTCACTTCCACTATGGAAGGTATGGAGCACTCCATACCTCAAGTTTTTCAAGGTATGGAATTCCATAGCTGAAATTAGGAAATAAATCGCATATTACTACAAACCCCATATAAATAAATCGCAAGCCCTTAAACCTCAATACCCCACATCTTATAGTTCAATAAATAAGTTGAGTATATACACTGCAAACTCTTAAACCTTAATACCCCACGAGTAATGCGAACAAATTTGAAAATCGCGCCACCATTTTCCATACCTCAGATTTTTACAAAGTGACACGCCTGCAATGTCAAGTCAGTCATGGGAGTGACAACAAGGTAAATAAAATCTTTTTTTTTATAACTATTTTTTTTATTTTTTTTTTTGTGTTTGGCTTCTAATCTACAACAAAAGACAACACAAACATTTATAATTCTACCACCAACAATGATTAGTTTTATGTTACAACTTAATACTATTAGTATAAATAAAATCACATTAAATATGAACAAATGAGGAGAACACGAGAGACAGCAGACATGTAGAGTTAGTAGGACGAGCGATGATTTGAGGAAGGATATCATACAAGGAGAACTTGAGTCGAGGACATTCGAAAAATATGTGATCGGTGGAACCTTCATCAAGACCACATTCACATAAAGAATTATCCCTTATCCTTAATTTGGCTAGGTGTAACGGTGTGCAAGAACGACCAAAGCGAAGACGGCAAATGGTTGATGTAGTGAATTTGTTAGCTTCACGATAATGGAAAAGCCAAGGTTTGTATGGGATTGTGTCTTGAACCCGAGCGTAGTGTTTACATTTTATGGTTTTAGTTTGATCCCAGAGACTTTGCCAAGATGCCATGAAGTCAAATCCTGCCAGTGGAAGTAAGTCATGGGGGAAAACTTGATACTGAGAGAGGATACCTGTTTGTGTTACTTTCTTAGCCAAGAAATCAGCACACTCATTACCACGTATCCCAGAATGGCCTGGAATCCAGGCCAAAACAACTTTTAGGCCTTTCTTGTGACAATTATATAATGCTTTTTTAATAAAGAGGATAGGAAAAAGATTTGATTTAGAGTGGAAGGAGCTGGAGATAATGGTTTGGAGACAGTTAAGAGAGTCAGAGAGAATTAAGGTATTTTCCAGGTTGTGAGTTTCGACATATAGAATTGCCTCTAAGATGGCAATAGATTCACCTGTGAAAACTGATGATTCAGGAGGGCACTTAAAATTTAATATTATTCTATATTTAGGGATCCAAACTGCAGAACCTACACAATCTTTGTTAGAAGTTTTTGAAGCATCTGTGTACATAATGATCCAGTCTTGCCAATTTTCTGAGATGATTTTCTTTAATTTGCTGTTAGGATCAATGGTTTTCTTGTCAAGTCCAAAGTCAAGGATGACGTTTGGATTGAAAACTAGTGCTTCGTAGGGAGTGGAGAAGAGTAAGTTGTTGCTATTTTGGAAGATTGGAGATTGAATGTTTACAAACTTTATATAGCTTTTTAAAAGACATGGTATAACTTTATGTCGCCAGTATGGGGAAATTGAAATTTGTTGGTGAAGTGAGTTTAGTATGTGGAACAGCAGATGGTTATGAAGAAAACACTTTTTGAAACAGAATTTGTCAGCTAGGTACTGCCTGCGAAGGAAGAGAGGACCCTCTCCACACTCGACCTGGAGAGCGTTAGTGGGGGTAGATTTCTTTCCTCCTGTTATAATGCGGAGGCATTTTACTTGAATTTGATCCAAAGTTTTAAGCGCACTTTTATTGTATGGTTCCCACAAAAAGGAAGCATAGTGAAAATGGCTCCTAATCAAAGCATTATATAAAAGCTTTTGGGAGTAAGGATGAGAGCCCCACCATTTTGAAGCTATGTAGGATATGTGGGGAATTCCAGACAGTTTGCTATCTAGCATAACACCGAGGAATTTCACATGGCTCACATTGGGAATCAATGAGTCTCCAATAGAGATTGACACTTCTGGGATGAGTCTTCGTCTCGAAAATACCACGATTTTACTTTTTGGGGGGGAGATGGATAAACCATGTTCTGTAAACCATTCTTGGAGGTAATATACCGGACGAGATAATCGGGAAGAGGCGTCAGGTAATGAATAATCAGTAACAAAAAGAGCCAAATCGTCAGCATATTGGAGTATGTTGGACAGACAGTTTACGGATCTATCTAGATTGTGGGTATATAGGTTATACAGAAGGGGACTTAGAACAGAGCCTTGTGGAAGACCTTTCCAGATGTATCTCTCTGGCATGAAATTACTCTCTACGCGCACTAGAACACGTCTTCCTGAATAAAGGTTTCACACAAAGTTCGTTATCCTCACAGGGATGCTCAGCTGATGCATCTTATGCCTGAGCAGCGGAAGTATAACATTATCGTAAGCTGCGCAAATATCCAAGAAGACACCTACAAGGAAGTTGTTTTGGGAAAATGCAAGTCTTACATTGGAAATCAAAAGGCTGAGGCTGTCAGAGGTACTCAAACCCTTTCTAAAACCAAACTGGCTTTTAGGCAAGATGCCTCTATTTTCTAGTAACCACTCTAGGCGGTTTTTGACGAGGTGCTCCATTATCTTTGATAGAGTGGATGAAATGGCTATTGGACGGTAACTAGTGGCTGTAGAGGGGTCTTTTCCAGTTTTAAGGATAGGTATTATGACATGGGTTTTCCAGTCATCAGGAACTGCCCCTGTTGAATATATACAGTTGATTATGTCTAGGAAATATTTTTTGCATGTGGGGCCATGTGAGTTAAAAGAGTACGGAATCCCATCGATACCTGGAGAGGAGTCCTTCAGATGGTTCAACACCAACTGAAGCTCTGTGAGGGAGAAGGTATCATTCATAGATTCATAAAAAAGATGGGAAGGTGGGGAGGTTACTGGGAGTATCTCCTCTAAGGAAGGGACCCATGGAGGAGACAAGCTGCTACAGAAGTTGTCTATCCAAAGTGAGGGGTCAGGATTATTTATTTGGCTATCATTGAGAGAACCACAAAATCGCTTTATGTTTTTCCAAACAAGGGAGGCTGGAGAGCGAGGTGACAGACTCTCACAGAATAAAAGCCATGCTTTTCTCTTCATCTCCGAGAATGTTTTTTTTGGCTTGAGCGCCTATTTTTTTTATAATTTATAAAGTTATCCATGGACATATTTGCAGAGTACTGTTGTTCAGCATCTTTGCGTTTTTTAACAATAGAAGAGCACTCTGCATCCCACCAAGGAGGTGAGGAAATTTTGTTAATGGAGCTATTTTTAAAGGGGATAGATTTTGTAGCAGATTCATTTAAAAGGGAGATAAAATCAGAGTAGGCATGTTGTAAGTTAATGTGAGACACTGGAGGGAGAGAATGAGCTTTAGTTTCTATATCAGAAAGATATATATCCCAGTTGGCTTTGGACACGTTAAACTTTGAGATGCATGATTTATTCCTAGTGGGAAGGCTTCTACTGGACAAAGACAAAAGGATGTGGGGAAGTGGTCACTACCAAAGGTGGACGATAGAGTGTTCCAATTGATACTTGCAGCTAAATTAGCAGAGCAGAGGGATAGATCTACAACAGAATTAGGACTTTGGGAAGGGTAGACCATGCGGGTGGGAGACCCATTATTCAAAATGCAAAGGTTAAACTCATTAAAGATGTCTATTAAAAGATAGGAGAAAGAATCATTTCTATGAGAACCCCATAGTACATTGTGACTATTGAAGTCCCCAATTACAATAAAGGAGTAGGATTGGAAATATATATTGACACAATTGTGATGTCCATTACTTTTACAGCTGTTCCATTAATATTCTCTTGCAGAGGTGGAAGGGGATTGAGCAAGAGGTAAGATTTCTATTTAGAAGAATCATAGTGCCACCGTAGCCATCACTGCGGTCGTCACGGATACACGAAAAACCAGGGATTCTGAATCTGAAACCAGGTATAAGCCAGGTTTCCGCAATAGCAATGACTGAGGGGTTATGAGTATTTATCAAATTAGTTAGTTCAGATTTCTTGTTCTTGATGCTCCGACAGTTCCCATGGAGGATGTGGAGGCGATTGAATTTTATAATTTTTTTGGAAGAGCATGTCAAGTTTATTTCTCACGTTAAACGGTAGGTGTATGTCGTCAAATTTGCCAATTATATCAGAGATGGAGGACACAAGGTTTTCCAAGAGATTATATCATTAGGGGATAAGTTAGTTTGGAGAGCATGACCATTTGGAAGGGAAGAGGTAGGGGTTCTTACAATATTGTTGTGTGCTACCTTATCATAGCCTACCGAATTTGGAACAGGTCTAGTTGGGTTAATTCTGAAAACAGTCTTTCTGTAAGATTGAGGAGCATGAGGAGCAGGGTGAGTACTTGATAACTGTTGTGATGAAGTGGGTGGACAAGGAATCCCTAAAGATGCAGCTACATCAGCGTAAGGTCTTCTAACTGCAGGGAATCGAGCAGATGCCTCTAAATATGAAATATTTTCTTGGAACATGACCAGTTTATTGCTTTTTTGTCTAGTATGTTCAGGGCAACTTTTATCAGTTGCCAAGTGATTAGCAGAGCAGAACAGGCATGTTGGGATATCTGTAACGCAATAATCTCCAGTGTGTTCTTTTGAGCATTTGAAACAGCGTGGGTTTGATCTGCACTGAGCCTTTACATGTCCAAAGCGACAACACTTCAGACACTGTATGGAAGGGAGTATATAGGTTTCGACAGGAATTGAGGTGTAAAAGCAGTATAAGTGAGAAGGAAGCTCTTGGCCTGAAAATGTAAGGACAACGGTTTGGGTGGCCACCCACTCAATATCATCGCCTTTCTTTACTTTTCGGTGTAATCTCCTAGCCTTTATAATTTCTCCTCTACCTGGGGGAAGTACCGACTCACACACCAACTCCTCCATGGAAATATCGGTTGGTATGCCTCTAACAACACCCATTCTGGTAACATTGAAGGTTGGAATGACTGCTGATAGTTTATATTTAGCAAGAAAGGATGATTCGATAAAATTATTGGCATCTGTAGCAGTTTTAAAAGCTATTGAGACCCTGTTACGACCTAAATTTGTTATGCTTTGTTTTTCAATATTGGAAACCTTGTTTTGAGATAGGATATGGCCGATCTTGACAGGTCGGATTGTATAACCAGATGAAGGATCAGGTTCTATACGCTTAAGGTGAATTGTAAAAGGCCCTTTATCACTATCTGTGTATTTTTTCTTTTCTAGAAAATCAGGGTGGGTGTAAATGTTTTGATATGACGCTGAAGGCGTGTTATCATGACCAACTTTTTTTTTGTGAAAGCTTGATATTATATCCGTACATTTTCGTTTAGAGGGACCGAAACCAGATGGATTGTCTTTATCCGGTGGTTCCGAATCCACCCCGTCAACGTCCATCGTGTTAGTTAAGAATACATAAATTGATTAACTATCGCTACTTACCAACAAATAAGTAATGAACAACACAACAGAAAGTTATATAATAACAAACACAGAAGACGGCAAAGATATTAACGAAGCTCAACACAAAAATATATCCGAAAATCGCTGAAACACGTGTGACTACCAATCACTCTGACAGCAGAAAAAAAAACTTTTTTGATGTTTTGAGCCTCTATTGACAGCCTCATACTATATTCAGCCTTTAATAAAATATAGTACTTTCAAGTACTTAAAATACTGTTTTCAAATTTCTAATACAGTGGTTCTTCACCTTTTAGTGATGAAGGACACTTTTTGTTGTTGTGGTTTTAATCTTAGTTAAAGTAAATGCCTTAATTTAACAACAAAATTAACTATATAGCAATCTTTATGACACAATATTAGCCTAGTTTTAAGATAAGATTTAATTATCGCAACCAAAATATTTTAAATGAATTTTATGTATCTTACAACTTAACCAACCTTTTTGGGTGTAACAATAATAGGTCTGTGACTTACATAACTACATTGATCATTATTAACAAACTTATAAAATAAATTGAATCACATAACTTAGCTATTATACAATTCTAAATAATAAATTGTTGTGGTTGTAGCTAAATACACTTTGATACACAAATCGTGCACACGAGCGAATTGCGCGCTCACTTATTCCGTTCATGTACAGCAACCCAAACTCGAGTTAGGAAGATCTAACTAGAGTTAGCATCAACCCGAGTGGACCCATCACTAACTATATGGCAAAAATGCAATGAAGGCATGCCAGAAACATATATTTATAGTATGCAAATATATAATAGAGATACAATACTCTAAAAACTCTCAATTATGTAGGTCGGTACATCATGTTGAGACTTTATTAAGCTAACATCAAACAACCACAGGACGCATGACTTTTTCCAAGTGACAAGACATAACTTAAAAAGGTTCAAATCTGAATATCTTTTTTTTTTTGACGCCTTCTCAGGAGAAAATTCTTCGACAAAGTTACTCATGGACTGACCCTTAACATTTTAAGATATTTTTGATATATAGACGCTACCATTTCTTCTCAAGTAATTTTATGTATGTCTGCCATTGTTCTTTATTGTTATGATAAGATTTCTAATAGACAATCTGGTACTTAGCAAATGAATGAATAATATATTATCTGTACCATAAAAATAAAAAAGTGAAACAATTAATGGATGCCATACATGATCAAGTTTACCGTCAAGTTTGCAGCGCGCTTGAAGCAGCGTCAAGTTTGCAGTGCATCCATATAGGCCACACACGTTCAAGTTCGCTGTCAAGTTTGCATGATGCTGTATCAGTTGAAACCATGGCGTCACTAGTGACAGACGACGATGCGTTAGCCATCCTAGGCTTATTGCTCGCAATTACTTTGCAAAAACTGGTTAATGAAACGAAAAATATTATCTCAATAGTAAATAGCAAAAAATGTGAAACAGACAAGTGATGACTCCGTGGCGCAGTGGGTTAGTAATGAGTTGCAGCGCTAAGAGCTACGGGTTCGAATCCCGGACGTAACAAGTATCTGTAAGACCTACAAATAATTGTTCTGGGTCTGTTCTATGTATGTAAACTGTCCCTGCGATACAGAAGAAAATCCTAGTGTGGAAGTAACATTTTTTTTTAAAAGAGAGGAAGAGAGACATCTAATAAAATTAAAATTTTTGTACAACCGACTTCAATACGAATACGCATTATTAGGGATAATTCCAAAAGTACTAGTCAGATCTTGATCAAATTTATATGTGATGTTTAAATTATAAGCACCAGCTTTCAAATAAAATAGAATCATCCGAATCGATTCACCTAGAAAAAAGTTCTGAGGTTACACACATTAAAAAACAGTCGAATTTAGTACCTTCTCCTTTTTTAAAGTAGGTTAAAATGGTAAGTAGGTAAATTATCTGAGTTTCAAAGACGTTCACGTTGTGATAATATTAATTTTCCTTGATGTTTCATATTAACCTTCCTCACATTGAACAATAAAGTTTTGGCTGAGCAATGAGTTGCAATGCTGGGGACGCGGGTTCGAATCCCGCACGGAACAAGTATTTGTATGGCCTACAAATATTTTTTTCGGGTCTAGATGTTTGTCCTTGTGCAATTTATGTTTGTTAACTGCCTCCACAATACAAGAGAAAATCCTATTGTGGAGGTAACGTTTTTTGTTTAAAAAAAATATTAATACATTGCATAACACCTCGGTGTATTCTACTATATACCGCATGCGCGCGTCTTCGCTTGCCGAAGCCGACTAACGTCATGCATACTTGACCGCTCATACACACGTTCAAGTTTACATGACGCTGCAAGCTTGATCAAGCCGGCAGAATCGAAATTCAATTTTTGCTTCAAGTAGACTTGTCATGCACAAACTTGACGGTAAACTTGATCGTGTATGGCGGGCGTTAAACAAGCGATTTTACTCACTGATAGAGCAAAACATTCTGTCAACATCATTCCATAAATTTCGGTTTCTCCTTCATATGTATACGGTGTCCACATATTTTTTAAATCTCCTTCATTAAGGCAACATTTACATCTTCCCATGATGATCACCATTGCACTATCACCGTCTAACGAATCCATAGTTATTAGTTAGTTACACAAACTATATAGAAACACGTTAGTTAACACTTTTGTAAAAATAAAAGAAACAATCAATAAATAAATGTTGTTGTTTTTATTATAATTGTTGTTGTTTTTATTATTCGCTCGAGAGAGCAGGCAAAGGAACTATGCCATACAGCCTTGTCTTCATGTATAATTATCCTTCATAATTCATTGCTTCACAATATGTTGATGCGTCACATTGAGCAGTCGTTTGGAGATTTTGACGGCAACAGGGGGATGAAACTGCCATACAAATTTACAAGAATAAAAAATGCATTGGAAGTTCTGCCCTCTAGTGAACAAGGTACATAAATTTGTAGGCTAGTTTTGTTTAGCCTTGTATAGATGGCGTTAATTTAGCCAAAACCCCAGAATCCAAAGCCAAAAAAACCTAAATCTATGGCAGTTTTGGTCTATGGTTATGGTTGACACACTCGGTTGACAGTTCTATCTAATAAATACGAATATTGCTACGATAATTCAGAAAACGAAAATGTTTTGCAACTTTTCGTTCCTCTCGTACGAATATCATAATTTAGGCTTTATGATTATTTACTAAATTTAACAATAAATGTGGTTGTTCACAGTTTATACACCAATGTTAACAAGCTGCTAAATGGAAAATTATTAACTACTGATTTGTGATTGTGAAAATGATAATGTTAACACTCAAGCTATTAAATATTATTAGGTACGACTTTCCATTGACGTCAGTGGAGTTTGGTGTTGATACGTATTTTTACAGAAAGATTACACTATTATAAGCACACACACAAAGTCTCAATATACGGAAACGCGTAATTTTTGAGAAAAGAATAATTGAAAATCAATTATTCTTGCAATGTTTATGTCTAATCTGCTAATAAACTGGCGCCATTTTGTAATGTCATTGTCGACGTCAATAGGGATGTCTATTCTTTCCGAAAAAGGTCGATTTTTAAATCGATTCAAATCGTAAGCTGATGTATCGATTCCCAAAAAATCGATTTCTAAAATATCGATATTTTTTTCATGTTTGCATTTATAATGTAAATATAAATCCATTTTATGAAAAAAAAACCCCTTCATCATAAATAAATAAGGGGACTGATTCATAAGGATTTCTGTATCTATTTTGAGACTGCTACGTCTCCGGCGCTGCGGGAAGAGCAACCTCTACGCCTTAGCGTAACAAATCTCAGGCATCCCTCCTCGCCTCGGCAGCTTCGGCTTGTTGGTCGCCTTCGGCGACCAGCCTCAGTCGCTCCGGCTCGTCCGATGCCTACGATTTGTTACAGCAGGCGGAGGCTGCTCCCCCTACGCGCCTCCGGCTCTATAAAACCACTCTAGGGGTAGGACAGACTCGTACCAGGTGGAGTCGGAGTCAATCAATTCGGTTCTTTGACATAAGTTGAACCTAACCTATTTTATTTGTTATCTGCCCTAATAGGTACTGTTAAATAAAACAAATTTCAATAAGAGATCATTTATCATGGTATCTTTCTTGTTTTTCATAAAATGGGTTTATATTTACATTATAAATAGAAACATTCTAAAATTAGATATTTTAGAAATCGATTTTTTGTGAACCGATACATAAGCTTACGATTTGAATCGATTTAAAAATCGACCTTTTTCGGAAAGAATCGACATCCCTATTGACGTCGACAATGACATTACAAAATGGCGCCAGTTTATTAGCAGATTAAACATAAACATTGCAAGAATAATTGATTTTCAATTATTCTTTTCTCAAAAATTACGCGTTTCCGTATATTGAGACTTTGTGTGTGTGCTTATAATAGTGTAATCTTTCTGTAAAAATACGTATCAACACCAAACTCCACTGACGTCAATGGAAAGCTAAGCCTATTATTACATTCATAAAAGACAATAAATACATAATTAAAATTCTGTTCAGTGTTTGATATTAATATTAAAATAAAATCTTATGTGAAATAGATTAAGTTTTATTAGTGTTAATGTTATCTGCAAAATTACTATTTGAAGATTTAAGATAATCATTGGAGATATCCAATAATTATTATTACGTATGGCAATTCACAATGCTGTGTTAGTACCTACTTTAATGTATGGTAGTGAAAGTTGGGTGTGGCAGAAGAAGCACGAGAGTAGAATAAATGCTGTAGAAATGCGGTCATTAAGCAGTATGGTAGGGATGAATCTGAATGACAGAGTGAGAAATTGTTTAATAAGAGAAGAGTGTGGTTTGCAAGATGATGTTGTGACCAGGATTAAGAAAGGAATGCTTCGGTGGTTTGGCCATGTAGAAAGAATGAATGAGGAAAGAGTGACAAAGCAAATTTATGTTGCAGAGGTGAACGGCATAGTCGGGAAGGGTCGCCCTAGGCGAAAGTTTATCGGCCAAATTGGCGATATATTAAAAATGAGCCAAATCAAGAGTACCTTTAACCGACGAGCGTGTATGCGTAGGTATATGGATGTGGAGGAAGCGAGAGAGGTGTGTCAGGATCGTGCCAAATGGAAGTCCATAATCTCTGCCTACCCCTCTGGGTGACAGGCGTGAGTGTTTATGTATGTATGTATATCCAATAATTATCTGGTAGAATACATAAACAGAAACATTATTAATAAAACTGCATAGTTCAGAATTACCAATATAGTCATTGACAAAATCCGCCATCTAGTGGTAACTATGTGGTAACTACCGCAAGCCGCGTTATACTAAGGAATACAGCGGCATCTAGCGTACACGGTACACCCATTCGAAAACTGAAATGTGAGTGGCGCATCTATCCCTGTTATATAGTGTATTATCTATGGACGGCAACTTGAGCCAGCGGGCAGCTGACAGTTGGCGATGGTATCTATAGGCGCCTATGCAAACATACATCATATCTTGAAAATCCATCACCATCAGAGCACTTGTTTCACAGTTTTCACTAATAGTTCACATGCACAGACACTTAATATACAAAATCGCACCGCTTCTGAATCACAAAGTCCACTTCAAACCATTATTTAAAAAATAATAGAGGAGCAGCAAGCCGCCTCCGGTCAAGTTCCCGCCAAAAACTCTTAATCAATAAATAATTTTTAACATCTACTCGACATCAAGCACACAGATAACTGTGTACTAGTCAGAGATCAAGCAAAGATCATAGATAATACACTCTATACAAAGATTATCCATTTTTGACGTTTATAGCCTTTTTGGCCTATGGTCTGTTTGATGTTTTAGCCATGGAGTATAGAGTATCTACTCTATACTCCATGGTTTTAGCGTGTTTTAGCCATAACTATTGTTAAGATTCCCCTATTAAAATAAAAGTCATAGACCATACAGCCTAATACGATTAGCATTTTATAAATTCATAACGTTTTAGAATATCGTCGTTGCGCGTGCAAAACCGCGGAAGAGCAGTTTGTAAATACCGCGTATCTACATTTTTAGAATTTTACAGGAAGAAGAAAAAACTTAATAACTTGGTAATTTATAATTATATTACCGACTGAACTTTATAGCAGCTTCTTTGTTACTTATTTTATAGAAATTTAACGTAAATGTACTAGAAACTTGTTTAGATTTCGTGTAAAGTCACTTACGCGGTTTTGTACCAGCAAATTACATTTAAATACTATACTTTTAGGAGATACGCGGGCTTAAAATAAAATACATAATATTATATTATTAATTTGAATTTATTATGATATATTATAGTAGAAAAAAACATACAAAATTATACATCTTCTTAGAAAAAAAAAAACAATAACTCTTACTCTAGATATCAATTTAATCACACAATCCCTGAATTTCTCTAATTACAATAAAACAATTACGTTCACTTAATTAAGAATAATAAACTAATCAGCCTCCTCGATCTTCTAAAATCCCAGCATTTCAATCTTTGTTAATTAGTTTCTTGGACGAATACGATTTTTTTTTATTAAAAGCTTTAACAATTAAATATGGCAATCATTACACCTGGGTGCTCTTATATTCTTCTTATCTTAGACGTAGAAGTACTTCTATTATCTTAGTTCTTAAATTCTCATTAAAACGATTAATAATCACAGCATTTAAGATCGTGGTTATTAGGAATATTATTTAAAAGGTAAATTATCGTAAAAACTATGACAGTCTTTAGGTATGACACTCTTCAATTCCTGTAGGTGATCATACTTTGTTTTGGATATTGGTTGTCTGGATTCATACAATGGACCTACGCAATCAATTAAAGAGTCAGATAATATCTTTTTTGGTCTCCTAGGTAAAGGAACAAAATCGTCTACAAAGTGGAGTTTAAAATCAATTGTCCCACTAGGACTGTATCTTAGGGCCCTTATGTCCATGACGACACGATCACCCGCCCCACGACCAGGTCTTATTGAATCATAAATGAGGTGATCTTTATGAGCAAAGTTTTTAAAAAATGTATGATCAGGAGTAATAACCTGGTAAGGACTCGGCACTTTTCTGGCCTCCTTCGTGATTGTTGCGTATTGTGAGGGTAGAAATATTTCTCGATTTTTCAATTTTCTTTCGATCACCGAGTGCACCGAATCGACTTCCATCTGAGTGTGGCCCTTTTCCAAGTATTTTTGAGTTATAACTATGTTCTTGGCCATGGCCAAACGCAACAACGCATTCGACACAATATTATTTCTATTCTGGGCTGTGCAGCCATCTGTGAACAATACTACATCCTTTGGATTATTTTCCAGTAATTTAGTTAAATAATCTACAAGAAATGATGCGTATGTAGTAGCTTTTAAGTCGCATGCCGTCTCGTCGAACCAGTAACACGCGACTCCATTAGTTCCCAGGTTGTAAATTGTAAAGTTGTGGACGGCAAGTTTTGTCTTAAAATATAGTGCACTGGCGTTGAGTGAAGGACACAATTTGACTGCTTGAAGATCTGCTGTTAATGCATGTATCGTCCCTTTCCGTGCTGCTTCTTTGTCAAGGGTTTTTTCAATTCTAGCTAAGTCTTTTAGCTCAATATGTTTTATATACTGCTCATCTGACATGTTACCTGCTTTGTGAGCGCAGCACTGGTCGCATGCGTCTTTTTTTGGTTGAAATAGACTGATGTTCTCTTCGAATAAAACCCCTTCAAATACCTTCCTAGAGGCCACAGGTTCATTTCGCGAAACTGAGTAGTCTACATATAGACGATACAATTGTGATTTTGTTTGTATGATGGGTTCTAAATAAAGCTTTGAAGTAGATTGTCTACAGTAATGAGACGGTAGTTTCGGTAGCGCCATCAAGTATTTTCTGGCTGATTCTTTTTTTGTTTCTGTGGCTACTACAGCACTTGGTTCAGATTCATTGTCGATAGTCGTCTTCTCTCCTAGCCAATATCGAACTGTCCATTCTTTTATGCCCAATGTTTCCAAAAATGTTTTTAAGCAAACTCTTTCCTTTTTATCGTTTACTTTTAAATAGTAAACTTTGGTGTCACTGCGCCTTGAATTTGAGTTCTTAGTTTTTCTAGTTGTAGGTGTCTTACCCACCATTGAAGCTATATACATTTTCTTTTCATGCCAACTCATTTTCCAATAGGTTTTAAAAATTTCTGACCGCACTTCTTCTGTTAGCTTTGGGCAATACATAGCTTTACCACTGAAACATCTCTTCGACATACATATTGGACCCATTATTCTGGCGGGTTTAGGATCATTTTGAACGAATTTAGTGCCATCTTTTTTAAATCCAATGTATTCCTCGCCCATCATCCTTTGCCGCTTATTTATTATTCTTTTCCAGTTATTAGGATTCCCTTTCCGCTTTCTTCCATTTTTCTTCCCCGTATTTTCTATTTCCCTTTCGGGAAACCACTCCGTATTTGCTGGTGATAGTGGCTTTAAATTTGTTATGTCTGAGAGGGCGACAAATGAAGGATCAGTGACTGAAT